CAGTACAGCTAGTTATTAGTGCTTGGGACAACGTTCAAGCTGGGCCTCGGGAGCTCATCATCCGGAACCACAGTGACAGGCAACGAGGCGTTTTGAAAGTGGGTCTGGGTTTCATACCCGGAAACTTCGCGGTCGATAAACCTTGGCTCAGACCCTCGACCTCTAAAAAACCGGACAGCCTAAAGCCTCTCCTCACACAACCAAATAAGAGCAATGCTCGGCTTTTTGCTTCTAAATCTTCATGCCTACACAACCTAAACCGCACGACCCTGAAACCTGAAGATCTGCTACTGTACGGCCCCAAAGCGAATACACAGAGCACCTTCAAACCCTAACACCCTGGGACCCCGATATGTCCAAGCCTGAAGCCACTAGACCCCTGAAAGTGCTACCTACCATGACTGAGTTCGGCACAGCCTGACATCCACCGGACATATTCCTCTTGGATTTGAGGGTTTCGCTGCTTCGGGGGTTTGGTGGGATCAGGGCTGAGAAGGTTTGTTAGTGTTTTAGGGGTATCAAGACAATGTAGGTTCGACTGCGACCATTTACGGCTACTTCTTTTACTTCTACTTGTACTTCTACTTCTCCTTCTACTTGAACTACTACTACTACTACTACTACTACTACTACTACTACTACTACTACTACTACTACTACTACTACTACTACTACTACGACGGCAAGCTCAGAGGCTTGTAACAGGTCCTGCAACAGCAGGAGAAGTGTTGTCGCCCTACACCATGGCATACTGCAAGACGGCTGGTGACGATGACGGTGTTGATGGCATGAGTATGATGATGATGATGATGAGGATGATGGTGATGATGACCAGCATGCACATGACCATCACAATGTCACATCGGTGCAACAGAAATCTTGACCAAGATGGGGTTGAACGGGTAAAAATCGATGATGTCACTGATCTCCTGAGAAAGGATTGCGCCCAATCGGGAGCTTCGGACCAAAACCGAACAAATTCACGTCCACAGGAGCATTCCTGAGGTTGAGGCAGCAGGCCAGCAGGTTTGCTTCGGCAGTTCCACAACCTGACGGAAACGTGGAACTAGGGAGCTTAAACACATTAAAAGCAAACCTCAACTTTGAAACGACTTCTTTGAGGCTGTCGCAATTTCAGTCTGAACTTTGGCAGTTCAACGAACGAAACCAGGTGGGTGCAGCATGCCACGCAGTCTTTAAAGCCGGCTCGACTCGAAGCTGTTTGTTCGTGTCGAGGTTTTGGGGGCTTGGGGCTGCCGCAGAACGCAGCCCTTTAATTCACGGGCCCGGATCAAGATTGAATATGGACTTAGGTTCGATCGAACATTAGGTTCAAGTCTAAGATGAAAGCCCAGGGGTCGAGGGTGGCCCTATGTCAAGACAACCAGGCAGACGTGATCGCGGAATTTAAATTAAACTCGAAAAGCATTAGGGCTTCCATTAGCTTGAATATTCGAAAGCTTTCAATGAAGCCCGGGGTCAAGGGTTTGAAAACCATGAACGGAAGCGCCGGGGTCGGAGGTTGGGAGTTGGTTTGCGATGGGAAACCCAGCAACGGAAGCCGGGGCCGAGGCTTCGTTTTTAATTGGAAAACTTGGAACGTATGCAAATGTCGAAGGCTTGCTAATTGGAACGGAAACTTTGAAAAACAAACGGGCGTCGATGGAAATCATCCCAAAGCAGCTCCTGGTTTGGCAGTAATAAACCCTCACTTGAAGCCGGTAATTCGCTTTAATTTCGAAAACCTTCAAAGGGAGGCCGGGATCGAGGGTTTGGTACTAGGTTTTAATTTGGAAACCCTCAAGGGAAGGGAGGCCGGGGTCGAGGGTTTGGTACTAGGTTTTAATTTGGAAACCCTCAAGGGAGGCCGGGGTCGAGGGTTTGGTACTAGGTTTTAATTTGGAAACCCTCAAGGGAGGCCGGGGTCGAGGGTTTGGTACTAGGTTTTAATTTGGAAACCCTCAAGGGAGGCCGGGGTCGAGGGTTTGGTACTAGGTTTTAATTTGGAAACCCTCAAGGGAAGCCCGGGTCGAGGGTTTGGTACTAGGTTTTAATTTGGAAACCCTCAAGGGAGGCCGGGGTCGAGGGTTTGGTACTACGTTTTAATTTGGAAACCCTCAAGGGAGGCCGGGGTCGAGGGTTTGGTACTAGGTTTTAATTTGGAAACCCTCAAGGGAGGCCGGGGTCGAGGGTTTGGTACTAGGTTTTAATTTGGAAACCCTTCAAGGGAGGCCGGGGTCGAGGGTTTGGTACTAGGTTTAATTTGGAAACCCTCAAGGGAGGCCGGGGTCGAGGGTTTGGTACTAGGTTTTAATTTGGAAACCCTCAAGGGAGGCCCGGGTCGAGGGTTTGGTACTAGGTTTTAATTTGGAAACCTTCAAGGGAAGCCCGGGTCGAGGGTTTGGTACTAGGTTTTAATTTGGAAACCCTCAAGGGAGGCCGGGGTCGAGGGTTTGGTACTACGTTTTAATTTGGAAACCCTCAAGGGAGGCCCGGGTCGAGGGTTTGGTTCTAGGTTTTGATTTGGAAACCCTCAAGGGAGGCCGGGTCGAGGGTTTGGTACTAGGTTTTAATTTGGAAACCCTCAAGGGTCCAAGGGCCGCCCCTCGATGGTTTGGTCCAAACCATCAAGGAATCGAGGGTCGTCCCTCGATGGTTTGGTCCAAACCCTCAAGGACCGAGGGCCGTCCCTCGATGGTTTGGTCCAAACCATCAAGGAATCGAGGGTCGCCCCTCGATGGTTTGGTCCAAACCCTCAAGGACGATGGTTTGGTCCAAACCATCAAGGAATCGAGGGTCGCCCCTCGATGGTTTGATCCAAACCATCAAGGAATCGAGGGTCGTCCCTCGATGGTTTGGTCCAAACCATCAAGGATCCTGGTGGCGGCAACACGATCACAACCACTGAATGGTCATGGCTTCGACTTCCCAACATGACAAGTTGAAAGGGTGATGGTTTGGACCAAACCATCACCTCCTGAAGCTTCTTATCCACCCACAGTCAATATCGGTCACACACTTTGGGGATATATTTATAATATGCCTTGTGCTGAATAAGAAGCTTCAGGAGGTGATGGTTTGGTCCAAACCATCACCCTTTCAACTTGCCATGTTGGGAAGTCGAGCCCATGACCATTCAGTGGTTGATCATCGAGGGACGACCCTCGTTTCCTTGATGGTTTGGATCAAACCATCGAGGGGCGACCCTCGATTCCTTGATGGTTTGGACCAAACCATCGAGGGACGGCCCTCGATTCCTTCCTGGTTTGGACCAAACCATCGTCCTTGAGGGTTTGGACCAAACCATCGAGGGACGACCCTCGATTCCTTGATGGTTTGGACCAAACCATCGAGGGACGGCCCTCGCTCCTTGAGGGTTTGGACCAAACCATCGAGGGACGACCCTCGATTCCTTGATGGTTTGGACCAAACCATCGAGGGGCGGCCCTTGGACCCTTGAGGGTTTCCAAATTAAAACCTAGTACCAAACCCTCGACCCCGGCCTCCCTTGAGGGTTTCCAAATTAAAACCTAGTACCAAACCCTCGACCCCGGCCTCCCTTGAGGGTTTCCAAATTAAAACCTAGTACCAAACCCTCGACCCCGGCCTCCCTTGAGGGTTTCCAAATTAAAACCTAGTACCAAACCCTCGACCCCGGCCTCCCTTGAGGGTTTCCAAATTAAAACCTAGTACCAAACCCTCGACCCCGGCCTCCCTTGAGGGTTTCCAAATTAAAACCTAGTACCAAACCCTCGACCCCGGCCTCCCTTGAGGGTTTCCAAATTAAAACCTAGTACCAAACCCTCGACCCCGGCCTCCCTTGAGGGTTTCCAAATTAAAACCTAGTACCAAACCCTCGACCCCGGCCTCCCTTGAGGGTTTCCAAATCAAAACCCAGTACCAAACCCTCCACCCACCAATTAGTTACAAACACCGGGTCCCGGTGAGGCCGGGGTTTGCACTGATCTTAACAGGTAAGGCAATTCTTCAGATCTTCCTGGTGCTTCCCGTGTCGCGTTTTAGCAACGCACTGTTTCGGGGTGGGCTCGAAAAGCAACGAAACAAGGTGAGAGGCGAGAGGTGAACATTGAGATATGAGACGAACAAAATAAACTTTCTCTACTCCGTGTTCTGACATCGTCCTGCTGCAATATGACAATCGTAGACAACAAAATTTGTATGGTTGATTGACAAACACTGTATGGACTTCGAAATACATCGTTTCAAAGGTGGATCCGGACCGCCATCGCGATTCCGACAGTGTTCATCAAGGCGGCCGAGCACGAGTACAACTGGCGACGCTTGCAGCTGAATATCCAGGCCACGGAGAAGCAAAGGCGCAACATGCTGCAGCAATGCTTGATCTTCCATGCTCGGGCTGAGGACATTCTGGCAGATAATTGGCAGCAATGTGTGGACCGATAGCAGACTCTAGCACAGGTGTAAGAGATGTTATTCTGACAATGTGCCAGTTCGCAGTTGCGTGGGAGCTCAGATTGCCCACCCCAGCCCACTGTCACTGTTAGGATTAACTGATGTCAGTACCCGTATTGCCGTCAGAGCCAGAGAATCATGGCAGTAGGCTATTATTAACATAGTATCAATCTGCACATATTATTCAGTTGATATGGAACCTGCTCTTGGTATCTTGTTGTGTATCGTGCAAGTTACCCTCCATGTTTGGGTATGGGTGGATGTCGGCCTTTTTGACTGCAAGTTAGTAATCATCCTACGAGGCATAAGGGCTTCAATCACCACCACCACCACCACCACCACCACCACCACCACCACCACCACCACCACCACCACCACCACCACCACCACCACCACCACCACCACCACCACCACCACCACCACCACCACCACCACCACCACCTCCACCGACAACAACAACAACAACAACAAGAACACCACCATCACCATTATCACCGCCACCACCACCACCGATCACCACCAATTCAATTCAATTTCAATGCTTTCAAATTGACGTTGAAGCCGAGGCCACGGCCGGGGCAGCGAAGAAGGACAGCAAGGAAGCATACCACACGGCTTTCCTGGCGGCCATCAGCGAGTACAACAACTACGGGGCTGCCAAAACAAGCTCGAAGTATCAGATTGACAGTGGCACAGCCAATGCGATGTTTGGCTTGAAAGCTGCTTGTATGCATTCCTACTGCCTCGATTGTTCAACACAATAATACCTGCTGACATGACCTGTTCACCCGGCCTGCTCGAGGTGGGCCTTTGTCCTGAAGGATGGAGCTTGATTGAACGGCATCTTCACAAGTTCAAGCAGGAGGACTCAGGCCGTTGAGTTTGCAAACCTTGACTGTCACATGACAATAAGACTAGGAACGACCTCAAATCTATTGGTTTTGGGCGTGATCTTGCATCCCTGCAGCCTTCCACAAAGACACCCTCCTCAGCGCCAGATGGTACTTGGGCAGTACTTCCAGTGGAGCTCAGGAGCCCTGGTACACACTGCTCCGGGTCACACCGGCAACCCAGCTACTCTTTCTCCAGCGATTACTACAGGTTCATGAAAGGACCCTGCGAAAAAGGACGAGCAAGTCCCAGTCCTGCAGGTTGCCGCTCCAGAAGTGGGACCGCGAGGTAGAGATCGTGACCTTGTTGGGCACCGTTCATGAGCACATGGTTAAGGCTGTCGATGCGTCCGGGAATAGCCTTTTCTCCAAAGAGGTGCTGGAGGATGTGAATCGCAGAATCTTGGAGGGGTCCCTTTGGCTCAGCATTCGACAAGTCAGAATAGAATTTAATGGGCTCACAGTCAATGATGACCTACCAAACAGAAAATTGTCATTCGATTTCTGAAAACTTGCACCTGAGGGACTATCACGAGGAAGCCGGCACACACCTGGAAGCCATCTGCCAGGCGTTCAAGCCGAACCACATGGCAATGTGGGCAGACAATCTCCCAAGCCTACGTTCCGACTCCGCAATGGGCGATGCCGAGAACGCCCTCAACCAGATGTCCGCCGAAACGCAACGATTGACTTGGGAACAGGATACTCTCAAGCTAGCCTCTGACGTTGCGATGATTGGCAAGATGTACAGCAGTTTCCAGAAGAGTGAACGAACACGGCACCTTCAAAAAGTTACACACCTGAGGCTGCAGAGACTGGACTGATTCATCAGTTTGCTCAGGCTGGGGGTGGAGGAATCAGTTTGACGAGAACAACCCATTACAACCCCAAGCCCAGACCCCTGAGAACACCAAATCAAAACCAAGAGAACCCCAACCCTGACAGTCTCAAGCCCTTAATAGTCCCAAATCTTTGAAGCTGAGGAATTCCTTGGGAGCTACACTTGTCGAGAACACGATGGACAGGTGGTGCAAGCACGTCACTGGGACGGAGGCTGAGATCGCGACTGCAATGAACCAAGCACCGGCCTGAGTCATTGCGTGCGTTTGCGTGATTGAACAAATCGTTTGTCAATCAATATCCTTGAGTGCGTCTTTGCATTGCGCGTGTTCCCTGAAGTTCATCGGCAAAAGCTCTGCAGACCATGCCCCAGTGGTCGTGGTGTGCGATCTCACGAAACTCGGACGATTGTCCTTGAAGGACTTAAACACCATTGCCACCCAGATCAAGAATATCCTGAGCCGCAGACCCCTCGCGAGCATGGCAGTGGTTATGGCGCCGCACCTCCTCTCAGACAAAGTCAAGAATGGACTGCGTGGAGAGATGAAGCGACCTATCAACAAGAGTTCTGTGCGGAGTGAGTTCATCGGCAGTATCATTCACTCCTTGTGTTTCAGTTAACTAAGGCGAATCGAGGAGAAGCTGGAGGCAAAGGATCTGACCTCGGAGATGATCATCGTGAGGATGGAGAATCCACCCAGCTCGAAGGCGGTGCCAATGAACCTGCCAGGATGGCTTGTTTATGATGATGCCGGAGTGGACGACAACGAGTTTGCTTCGTGCCGCTTGAGAATGGACAGGCTCGGAAGTGAACCCCTAATAACCCTAATAGAGCCCTAAACCCTACATTCCGGAACCGCACACTGTGAATCCTCTAACAATTAAAACCTGAACCCTAGGCGCTGTGCTGCTGTGGAAGCTTGCCCAACGACCCTGACCCCAAACCCTAGAAACATAAACATAAGAAGCTACCATCATGATGTCAGGGGGACCAGGGAGCCCATACCCTGGACGCCTCAACGCCTCTACGTTGTGCCGAATGAGCGAAGGATGGCACTCCGTCTACTGCTGGAGATGCCAGGCACGGGACGGTCACTTGCTCAAGTCAAGCTTGTGATTAAATTTATGTTTGGTGGGAGGGCTCATAACACTAACCCCTGCAGGGCGTTCTCTGACGTCCAGGAGGCGGCGCAACTCCTGGCAGGAGGTGAATTCCCTGTGTCTGTGATGAGCGCCTGCCTCACCGGCGCGAACCAGGCCCTTTTGCCAGCAGTCAAAGCCAGCCGCTTGGTCAGGGTGATCAACATCACCCCTTACGACGGGCATTTCGAAAAGGCAATGCTCCGCTATCATCTGGGGGAAGACGAGCGTCCTCGCATTTCCTGCTTATCAGTCGGGCAAGACCCTGCCATCATGCAGTACTCCCAATCGGTGCTCGCCCTGTCGCTCATGGAGGACTGTCGTGTGAGTAAATCGAGAACATAACATACGACCATCCTGATTTCACCATGACGTTTGACTTAGGACTGGAAGAATGATCACAAGATGCTCCACTCGGAGCCCGGCTACAAGAAGTACGAGAAAAACCCAGTGGAACCCACAACGGACTTCGACCTCAGAGACTTCCCCTTGAAGATGGTGACCTGCACCCTGGACAACAGCAAGCGAAGCTTGGAGAAGCTTCGACTTGCCCTGCCTACGGAGATTCGGACGAAATACGCCGCAGATCCCTTGCGAAGCCAGGAATGGTTGGAACTCGTGGCGGCTTTCGATTCGCAGCCCCTCGGCCTGCTTACGGATATACCTAATCCCCCAACCTCTAGCAAACCTCATAATCCTAAACCCTACAGATCCTAGACTATTTCCCATAGCTTCACCCCCTTACTTAATCAACAAATCTATGTAAACGTACATACATACATAAATACATACATACATACAGATGTATGTGACATATGGCCTATGGCCAATCATCATACCTGATTTGCTAGTTACTTAGTATCTCAGCACAGGGAGATACTGACAAGAGGTTCGGCATCATGCCAGTTAAGATTGAAAAGACGAAGGATTCCAAGTGCTACTTCATCTACCAAAATACTAGAATAGATTTCTTAACATTTATTTGTAACACATCAATAGTATTGGGCAACCCTGAAACTGAATATGAATTTATTCGCGTAGGTCCGAAGCCGTACCATGATGATGAGCCTGATAAGTTAAGGTTTGGCACCAACACGCCTGCCGCGACCGAAGCCTCGGCTGCGCCAGCTGCTGCTGGGACCTCGAAGCCAGGATGGTCCAGTGAGCCAACGACTCTGGATGCCCTTTGCTCTACCTACGACATCGAGTTCAAAATCGCATCAAGAACACCTGGGGCATCCCTGTTCATTGTCAAAGCCACTGATCGAGGCGGGAATCTCTCGGAGGTCGAGGAGGGCCAGGACATGAAGATGTTCCTTGTAGCTTCCCTGGGTTAAGTATACTAGTAGACTTTATAGGGTTTAGGGTCTCGATTTTAGGCGGTTTGAGCTTCCTGTTTTTCTTTTGGTAACTTTTACTTATGTTCGGGTCTACCTAAGGTGGCTCACAACGCGGTGTCCGTTTCGAAGTCGAGTTCCTCATCAGTCATGGCCGATCCACCTTTCTTAAGGAAGCAAAGGCAACGAAGCTCATTCGCGAGACCCCAGGCGAGCTATTATCACTAGCATTCAATTCTTAGTGTGTGCCTGCACGTACAAGCATAGTGTGAGATGCCTTGAAACGCTCCTGCGATCCAGCGTGCCTCTCGTAGCTTAGTTAGTCTTAGAGGTTTTGGACCAGAAAGCGGTAGTAAAGCTGCCAATGGCGCTGAGTCAGCTGCTGGCGAAGCATGGGTTCAATCAGGACAGGACGGGAGAGTCACATTCGGGTATTGTTCGTACTGCTAATTATCATGCATCCCGATAGGATCTGCACATGATGCTCCAAGATTCCCCGTCGGCTGCGATTACACCTCCACCGCCTACGACGCGAACCCACACCGCCAGCCCGCTCAATGACTCGGCCTCCGTCGGGACCCAAGAATTGAAGCCGCCACCCCGTGATGTTGCATAAGCACACTGTGATACTATGGTGATATGACCTTGGACGTTTGAGACTGAATTGGTGTGCAGGCCACAGCCGCAGCTTCACCAACGACGGCCAGACCATCGCCGCTGCCAATGCAATCAGAAGATAGGACCGACCCAATGCAGAGGGAGAAGCGATCTGAGCTGGCACAGAGCTTGGCTGTTGCCATGAAGCAGACCAAAGAAAAGCTCAAGAAGGACGGTGGTGACAGCAAGGCAAAAGACAAGCTCAAGAAGGACAGTGGTGACAGCAAGGCAAAGGCCACAGGTCTGAGTGCAGCTCAGAGCTGGGCAAAGGCGAAAAACGAGGGCAAGAATGACGCGAAGAAGAAGGGCCCGAAAAGCAAGAAGGCCAAAAAGGCCAAGGCAGAGTCAGAGGAGCACCACATCGAGGGGGAGGGCGAGGAGGAGGAGGACCTAGACGAGGTGGACGCCCTTGGCGAGGGCTTGTTGGACAGTGACGAAGACATCAACAAAGATGAGAAGAAGGAGGCAAAGAAGAAGGCCAAAGCCAAGGAAACGGCCAAGGATGAGAAGGACACAGAGGAGACAGACGACAAGAAACCCGCCCCCAAGACCAAGGCGAAGGCCAAGGCGAAGGGCCAGGCCGGCGCGAAAACCAAAGCCAAAGCCAAGGCAAAGGGCAAAGCGAAGGAGAAGTGAAGGGCCATGCATAAGAGGGTGAATTGGGCAAGTACATAATGTGCACAGTCTTATTCAGTTAAGTTCAAATTCAATAATATTAGATAGCCTGCGGTTCGATTCAACACCTAATCATTGAAGCCCTGTTCCTTGTACGAAACACTCAACCAAGTATTGAATTGACGATTCCATGTAAAGCCCGTTACACCCTCAGCCTTAAGCGAGTTAGTTCTCTATGGAATAACCTTATTGGTTTAGGGGTTTGGGGTTTACAGGTTTTGGGTTTTAGGGTTTCGGGGTTACGGGTTCAGTAGTTTAGGGTTTTGGTGTTTCCGTTTTAGGAGTTTTAAAGTGCAAGTGCTTAAGGACTTGTGGTTTAAGGATTTGGGGCTTAGGGTTTCGATCTTGGGAAATAAATGACATGAGCCTTACTCCAAATCACTCCAGGAGCCCAGCGAGGGCGATGAAGCCACGGAGCCGGAGCCAACTGGCAAGCTAGGTGCGAATATGCTCAGCGAGTATCACAAGGCTATCCATGCTGCTACGGCTCGCCTAACAGCAGAGCACCCGGACAAGAACATCAAGGAGATTAGGAAGCTTGCTCGTGAGGAGCACCCGGGATGCATTAAAGGGCGGACGAGTATTGAACCCATTAAAGAATTGAATAACCTTGCCCGAATAGTACGAAACAATCCCAACAACGTCTTAATCGAGAAACATCTTACTCTTGCTATAACTCTATATGAAGACATCTTGATTGTTGAAGTTGAAAGTAATGGGTCTTCGGTGCACAATGGAGGACACACGAGTCTGTGGTTTAGAGAATAGGCATGAACACACTGTCATCCGATGAAGTAGCTGGCATTGCTTTTTGAAGTTGGGGCATATGGGGTTCGGGTCTCATTATGCGAACCCCTCAAACTTAAACCCTCAAACTTGAAAACCGAAAGCCGAGAACACCGAAGCTCCCAAGCCCCAGAGTCCTAGCACCATCATCCCAAACCGAAACCTCCAACCGTGACCAACAACTGGACCCAATTCCTCAGGTGGCAGAATAGCGACGTGCGCCGAAATTGGATCAACAACATGAGCCAAAGCCAGCGTTCCAAGCGCCGGCTGTGAGTGAGGGCACATTTTGCCAACGACGCAATCAAGCTAGGGGATTGTGTTGGCTCTTGAAAGCCGACTACCGTCGGCATGATTTTGAAGCTTAGATGGAATGTCAAATTTGTTGCAGAGAAACTGCAGCTCCTCGGATTCCCGTCACCAGCTGGCCTCGTGCAACTGCTTGAATAAATCCGCGAATCTGTCACAGGGTGCTGGCAGCAGGTCATGCATGTCAGTCTGTTAGCCGAGTGCCCACTCAGGCGACGTGGCAAACATGCTCAAATGCGCATGGCACGACGACTCAGATCGTGTGGTGATGGAAGTGAATGTGAACGCTCGAGCAAGCGACTCCGAGCCCTGTTCATTGAGACAAATGCTTCTCGAGCTCGAAGAAGCTGGCCTCGTGGATTCCAGTTTGAACGGTCACACATGCGTCCGGCCTTCTGCGACATCCGAAGGCAGCTCGGTTCGACCTCAGGAAAGTTTAGTGTGTAAAGTTTAAGGTCTAGGGGTTCACGGCTCGGGGAGTTTGGCTGTTGGGTTTTTTGCCAAATTTGGGGCTTCCCCATTCGTCGATCTACGTGACGAGAATGCCTATTTAGGGTCTAAGCTTTAGGACAACTAGACTTGTTATTTAGGATGACCCATCTCGGTGGTGTGGGTGATGATGTTCCGTTGTTCACGGGTTTCACACATTCAGCTTTTGAGCTTCAATCTAGTTCTAAAGTACTGATTTAGTAACTGCTTCAGCTGACGCTACATGTTCATGTTAACACATGGGACAGCATGTGCGTGAAATGCAGACCTGTGCATCACCATCCTAGGCAGGATTGTGCATGTAGCCCCGATCCTCTTCGTAGTTATGGTCATAGTCGCGAATATGTTGAAATGTGAACGGCACTGACCGTGGGAATGCAATGGCGACAAGATTAAACAATTGGTTGTTTTGACAGAAAAACTGTTAGAATTGTGTTTTGGTTGGTGCATTACTAAGTTAGTAATGCACCAACCAAAACACAATTCTAACAGTTTTTCTGACAAAACAACCACTTGTTGTAGCACATTCGTTATTGGATTGATCTAAGGTGACGACCGCTTCGAGATCACACCCAAGGCCTCACCGCTCTATTATCAGTACACGATGGTGGCAAGGACGGCGATTGGAGGTCAGAAGTACACGAGTGTGGCCTCTGCCTTCCCAAGCAAGGTCGTTTGGATTGCGAATAACACTACCCTAGTTCTTAACCTTCGACTCATAAACCCCCTGATGTCAATACTGAACGAATGTAACCACCACGGGAATTAGTTACCTTATTTACTTTCGAATTCAGTGCCGCCCTGAGATGGTTGGCTTGATTTCGGTGGTGATCGAACTATTTATCTAAACATCGGGAACCTGGCATAACACTCAACTTCAGCTCAGCTGGAAGCCCCCCAAGTTAGATCCCCCGAAACCTGCAGTAAACGTCGAAGGCACATGTTCAATATTGCATAATTCTAGAACTCTTCAGGTTAGTAGCCTGGCATTGGGTTTGGGTTTGAGTTTGGGTCCAGGATACAAGGTTAGGGCTAGGGGGGTTGCAGGGTTAGGGGTTCTCCCGTAACGCCCGGTTCTGAGGTGCTCCTGGCGTCCCGGGCTTTGCACATGCTCTGGCGCGTCAGCATGGCGCCTGAGCGAAACGATGCTGGGATCGAAGGTGATTCAATGAGTGAGGGATTTAACGCGAGTCCGTGATCAGCCAACCCGCATCTAAGGAAGTCTCGCCTCGAAACTCAGCCAAAATAAGCGTTTTGGATATGGATGTGTTTGGTATCATAGCTTGATCTGCTGAGGCAAGCCACTCTACTTCCTGGACCAGGACATGGAGCTAGCAGCCGACCGGGTGATGCGATTGCTCTGAGGACATGAACATTCTGACATGACAACCGGACTGTGGTGTGATCGATGGGCCCGCAGGATCTGATCCTGCTCTAATAAACTAGACTAGAGTAGCCTAGAAAGTATGCGATAATCTTTTGGGGCCGCGAAGATCTCACATTTTGACAGCCCGCCCGTAGCCTTACTTCTGGCACTTCCTTATTTTCGGCACTGCAGCGCAAGGCACAGAGAAAGATGAAAGATGTCAATCACCAGTCTGAGTTCTCCAGCCCGAAAGGTTTTGCCAAAACCTTGAAACCCATCCCACCGTCTATTTTAAACCTCCCCCGAAAGAATACTAATACGTGGCTAAAACCTTGAGGATCAACCCCTGACCAATTCCCAAACATATCTTTGCGCCCACCCTAATTTCTATGCCCTGCAGCTCGAAGCTTAAAACCTGTCATTCATTCTTTATTTTTGCCGAACCGACAGTGAGTATCAATCCAACCCCAATCCCGAACCTAAATCCTACAGCCTACAGCCCAAGAACTGAAATTTCAAGCTGCTGCCAGACACTTCAAGGTCCATCCCAACCCAATCTGAGGCCCTGCAGCTTTATCACTGCCCCCAAACCCAGTGCTGAACCCGTTTGCCCGAAACCTACAACATGTGTTTGCTTGAAGATCAATCCCACCCCAATCCTAAAGCCAGACCCTACATAAGCCCAATTGCCAACTCTAAAACGTGTACTTTATGCCACTGACTGGTCAATCCCCCGAGATTTAAACCCTCCAAACCGACACCCAACCCCCGGCACCCTATTTTAAACCCTACGCAGCCTGATAAGTCAAATAAATTAAAGCCCGCCGATCCGAGGTCAGGTCCTCTCCGTCTCGCCGGTTTTTGTCCTTCGCCTGGGCCGCAGGGTGGGTGACAACAACAACGACAACCACACCAACGACGACATCAACGTAACAACAACTTCTTTAACAGCACTGTCAAGGACTACGGGCTGAGTGCACTTCAGTCAATGATCATGTAAAAAAGCCCAGCACCTCGCGCCGATGGCAAGGGTCTGAGTCTGCTCGTTAACTGTGCAAGCATGCTCGCACAGGGCTGTTTGCAGCCAATTTCGGTTAGGGTGCATTCAGAACAGTAGCAGTTGCTATGAGTATCTCTGGAGAATCAGAAGTTAAATGCGTTTGGGTAGCGTGCTACATGTGTTCAATGCACTCGATGGAAAAATTTGGCGCTGATGGCAGGAGCACGAAGCAAACCAGTCATCACTCAACCGGGCATCATCATATTAATTAATAGAAAATCATCCTGCTCCTCACCATCAGGCTATTCGAATGACAAAGACCGGCGAGGTAGCGAGCATCTGGCCGAGCACTGAGCATCATCAAGCATCGTAGTAGATCTGGTTTTGGAGCTGCTGAAAAGCTGTAGCTTGTTTCAGGCCTGCATCCACCTGGTCTGTTGTGAGTTGACCATAGCCTTCCCAAACTCGATCGCTCACGATTCTGGCAAATCGCTTACCGATGGGAGTGCTGACACCCGTCACCTTCAAATCGTTGATGGCACGTTGCCGACTGGAATGACTCCGTATACTGCTTATTTTCACGTCCGTGCCAGCAGGCGGGACAAACGATGCTCGTGCCCTTCTGATAGCTGCTGATGCGGTGTCCTGGTTATCGAGATAGCAGTCTCAAGTTTACTCACAGACTACAAGACTTAAGACTTAGCTACAACCGTCTATGGTCCTTGTTCATGTGCTTTGCAACAGCATCTTTCCGTGTCGCGGGGAAGAGGAATGCCTCGGGATCTGTTGGCCAACTCCATGAGTCTTGATAGGTGACGTACCCTCGGCTCCCAAAACGGCGGGTCCTCTGCTCAGAGTGACCAGCGTTGTCTCGCAATTGTGTGAAGAAGGTCTTCGCTGTGTCTGTGAGCGGTTTCAAGATCTTCTCTTGCTTCTTCAGCTCCCCAACTTGCACACGCCCAAAAGCGAGATCGACATGCTTGGCCTGAAGCCGGAGAACCTCCGTCACTCTACAACACAGAAGGTGACACATTGAAGCCAAGACGTAGCACCAGGTGGGGCCAACACCTTTTAGGTGTTGCAACCATGATTTCATGGCTGACCCGGCTAGTGTGTCTGCTTTGCCGCGGGATGCCTTCTTTCGACGATTTCCTGCCGGCTTTCGCAGAACTCCAGGCATGTTTTGTGCCAGCAAACCTGTACACTACGAGTGAGTTCCAATTGAGCCACTTACGACCGACCACGGGTAAAAGCTTAATGCTCACAGCCGCAGGGCCTTGAAGACTTGGCGGTCACTCAGTACCCAGACCACGGGTACAAGCTTAATGCTCACAGCCGCAGGGCCTTGAAGACTTGGCGGTCACTCAGTACCCAGACAACGAGTAAAAGCTTAATGTTCACAGCCACAGGGTCGGCAGCATGCTTTCCCGGCGCAACTTAACTTAGCTCGGTCGGCAGCATGCTTTCTGCTCGCGCAACTTAACTTAGCTCGGTCGGCAGCATGCTTTCTGCTCGGGTCGGCAGCATGCTTTCTGCTCGGTAAGCCGGCTCCCACGAGCCTTTCGCGAACTCCCCTTTCCGAAACGACGACTCCCACCCCTACCTTAGCGATCTCCCAAACCCTCTAAGACAACTCCCGGCCCTCAGAGACAACTCCCCCACACACACACACACAGTCACACACTTGAATGTCCCGACAGAGCCCCTGTCCGAGGCGCCCTCAAACACGAACCCTAAAACAATTAGCAGACAACACCAGGCCCTTAAGACTAAGAGACAGATCGCTACCATCGTTGTTGCATTTTAGACGTGCCCCTTCGTCTACCCTGTACTTAGAGCCATCAACTGGGAATCCCTTTCGTTCGACTGAAACCAAACCCTTGTTGCTGAGACTGCCCGAGGCCCCAGCATCCGAAAGAGTTCAAGGCACTGTCTCAGCCTTGGTGTGCAAAGCAGGGGTTGGTCTGGGTTTCGACTTCAGCGCTAGTAACCAAGTGCTTCAAGATGCATAGTTGGGATTCAGCGACATCAGCGACGTTCCAGTGAAATTCCATATACTTACCAATCTGCCTCAGACCAAATCAAGGCCCTGGCTTCCGAACTGAGACAGACCTCGCCCGAACTTTTAGCCTCGGCCGCACGACCATGAGGCAGGCTCAGGTCTGGACGAGGAAGGGTTGAAGTTGGGGGCATGGCTCTTGGAGAGGGCTCCAGCTCAAATCACTCAGTCAGGATCGATGAGTTAAGTTCAAGGACTCAGCGAGGCTCAAAGCGTGTCCATCTGAGTCACGGACTCCACCAGGCGTTCTGACGCCCGAGCAGGAAGCAGAGACTCTAGGGCATCAGTTTTTGTTGATTGGGTGTTTTGAGATTTCAATCATCGGTGTATGGTTTAGGGTCTAGGGGCACGTCTGTTTTATTGGTAAATATGTGCTAGTATGTAGGATATCGAAACACATCTTGCGCCAGGAATCCGAGCAAATTCAATATGTGATTTTTTTCAACAAAAAAGCAAACGACTTCGATTACAAAACCCGTTCTTGTTTCATGAGGCGGGCTGGCTCGTGCAGAGTGCAGAGTGACCCGTGGCAATATTTCCTGTTTGTTTTAAGCGATGCAGCGAGTTCAAGAATTAGATGACCCCAAGGCCGTCTGCACGTGACTGTCATGCCAAATGCTCTCTGAAAATTTGTCGCACCAAATGCAACTTGTACATCTCAACCTGGCAGCTGGAGCCGTATCTAGTGCTGGATGCAACGGTTTTTACATCTCAATGTGGTAGCTGAGCGGCCGGAATGGATGCTCAAGTGGTGTGGTTGACAGCAACTTTTCAGACCCAAACCCAACCAAATCAGACCCAAATGCAACCAAATCTTCTTCCTGGCTTTCGCTGTTTGTATACATGGTTTTCATCACTGGATGTCACTGGATTTATTGTGATTGTTTGTTTAACACTAACGATGATGATTTGAACAAGTGTCATTTCTAGCTTCTTTCCTCGCTCTCTTCTCATGGCTTTCATCCGTTTGTTCCGCAAGTGTTTCTGTCTTCCTGCCTTCCTCGGGCTGGCGGCCCTAAACCCTCCACGCTCTAAGGTTATACTCTAATTGGGAGGTTAAACTATATACAACATTTAGGATGTTGGGTTATATCGTAATATGGGCGTTTCCGAAAATTAGGGGTACCTTATCTTGGGGGTTCCTTAGAATAAGGATCCTACTATTTAGGGTACTATATTAAGGTCCCCTATGTTCGGAAACTCGAGGCATTAAGGGCTCAGGGTTTAGGTTTAGAGCTTAGGCTTTAGGGTTTAGGGTTTGGGGTTTGAGGGTTTAGGGACTACTGTCCAACACGAGATGGCTCAGAGTAGCCTCAAAGACGAAATCAGCCCTGAAAGGACTTAAGGCTCTTCTGCCATAGTGATGGTAAAAGAGCCGCATTAGCTATAGCCTCCACCCTAGTTCCTTTTTGAGTTACCTTCTGCGGCCCTAACTACAAAATCGCATGGTTTAACCGAAGAAGGACCTGCAGTGGAGACTGCAGGTAGTGTCCAAAACGAAGAGCTTCAGGCTAAAGTAGTACAGGAACGGTTGATTATATAAATCCTGCATTACCTTAAGGACCCTAAACTATGGGAATTATGGTATATTCCCTATGATGGGTAATGCAGGATTTATATCATCAACCGAAGTACGTGGCTGGGATAGCAGCGAAGTTCGCCCCGACAATTTAGTAGTACTGATAGTCTCCATTGTAGTTCCCTTTCTTGGTTTAACCAGGTGTATATTAGGGATCCTAAAAGGTAACCCCAAAAAGGAACTACAAGTAGTAGTAGTAGTAGTAGTAGTAGTAGTAGTAGTAGTAGTAGTAGTAGTAGTAGTAGTAATAGTAGTGACAGGTTCGGGGTCAACGGTGCGTGGCACCCTGCACCGGGCTTCGACGGGGATTCGCTCCCGGCCACGCGGCATGCAGTTGCCTGCGGGCTTTTATCTTAGAGTCTGGGCTTGTAGATGCGAGGCCACATCTGACCGTCGTGGCTCATACTTCCGAAATCTAGGGCATGTTGAGCCCATGGTCATTGCATTGCTTGACGGTGTGGTTACTTTAGGCTTACTTAAGGGCCGCTTACACATCCACCGGCTGAAGAGCGTGCTGCGGAGGGGTTCATAATTTCTGTCGGTCGAATTGAGTTTGCTTTCTCTGGCTTCTTAACAGTGCTTAAAGGATCATGGGACTTAGTAACTAGGGTTATAAATAAAGTAACTATACTTATAAGTACTCATAACCCCAGCTAGGTTACTTATAACCTTACTTACCAAGTCCCCTGATCCTCCAAGTGAGGACATGTCTGGAGACCCGTCAACCTCTCGGCCACTGATTTCCTCAGGTCCTCATGACTCTGGACCAACCAGCAACCCAAATCGCATGCCCTACCCAAACCCTAAACCCCTAAACGCCTAAACCCCTAAACCCTTAAACCCTTTAACGCTAAACCTTAAACCCCCAAACCCTTTCCTAAACCCCGATCCCTAAAACCTCGGGAGTTCCAAACTTGGAAACTCCTGTTCGGCACATCACGAGAACGAGGCTCTTATTCTCGAGTTTAGGGTTTAGGGGCTTTCAGGGTTTGGGGTGTTTAGGGTCTACAAAATAGTATAATGATAGCATATACAGAGTATCCTCTTTCACATGTTAAACGCCATTTTCAGGCTTCTGCTCCGACTCGTCGACGACGACTGATTCTAGTGCTACCCACAATTTAGGCACTGCACTGCTTATGCGAAGCAGCCTTTGCCGGAGAACAACACCGTACCCATGACAACAGAGGACCACTACTACTACTACTACTACTACTACCACTACTACTACTACTACTACTACTACTACTACTACCTCTACTACTACTACTACTACTACTACTACTACTACTACTACTACTATTACTACTACTACTACTACTACTACTACTACTACTACTACTACTACTACTACTACTACTACTACTACTACTAGTACTACTACTACTCCTCCTCCTCCTCCTACTACTACTACTACTACTACTACTACTACTACTACTACTACGAGAGAGAGAGAGAGAGAGAGAGAGAGAGACACTAGAGACACGACCAACACGCTTCCCGTTATGATTTACACTGAGCTGCGTTTTCCGGACAACGCGCGGCTACACCGAGAGTGTGTAAATACTGGAATGTGAGCGCAAACTGTGCACCGCGCCACAACGGTAGCACACGAACCATTTCCTTTCACAGTGAACGCAAGAACCCCAAGTGCATAAATACCGCACTGACCACGCTTTTTCAACCCCAATCCCTAAATTGACTTTTCATCATGGGGATCGCTTCAGAAAGTCCCCGATGGGACTGCAGAACCCTACACCCTGAACCCTAAACAAGAAAAGACCCTAACCTCCAAGGGGAAAAGGAGGGACCCTTAATAAGGACCCCTAGGTATATACCCTTAATATAGCTATTATATACCCATTCTATAGCCCATTATAGGGTAGGGGTCCCCATGGAGAGTCTCTCCTTTTCCCCTTTGATAAGCCTAAAGATGCCTAGGAGGGTGTGGCGCTCTACCCGGCGATCTCCTTCGAAGGCCATCAAGCAGTTGCGTTTCCCTAAGGGTCCATGTGCTTAACGGTTCCGTTAAAGGGATCTATAGGGGTTTTGTAAGGGCTCTATACGGGCTCTATCTGGCGTCTAGGGTTTAGGGGTCCATGTAGCCGATTAGTGGATACTTGGCCTGAATGTAGTTCCTACTTAGGTACCTTGGGGCCAAGTACGTACTATTTCGGTACATGGACCCTTAGGGTTAGTTGAACTTAGTATGGCGAGTATGGGCTGCACACGGTTGTATCAAGTTATTGCACCAGATCTTGAAGTGTCGTAGAAATATCTTACAGGGCTTGGCAGGGATGTACAATTTCTTTTAAGGCTGTAGGCTCAATGTAAGCTCTACATTCTACCTTCTAATTTGGGGTTCCTTAGAAAAGGATCCGATTATGTTGGGTTCTGTTCAAGGTAAATTTCAATTCTGAAAGGGTGCAGGGTCCTTTACAGATACTTTTCATGATGATGACAAGGATGCTTCGCATAAGCAGTGCAGTGCTTGAATTGTGAGCAATAGAACCAGTCGTCGTCGTCGACGAGTCGTCGCCGCGGCCTTAGTAGTAGTAGTAGTAGTAGTAGTAGTAGTAGTAGTAGTAGTAGTAGTAGTAGTAGTAGTAGGAGTAGTAGTAGTAGTAGTAGGAGTAGTAGCAGCAGCAGTAGAAGTAGAAGTAGAAGTAGAAGTAGAAGTAGAAGTAGAAGTAGAAGTAGAAGTAGCAGTAGCAGTAGCAGTAGCAGTAGCAGTAGCAGTAGCAGTAGCAGTAGCAGTAGCAGTAGCAGTAGCAGTAGCAGCAGCAGCAGCAGCAGCAGTAGTAGTAGTAGTAGTAGTAGCAGTAGTAGTTGTGGTAGTAGTGGTAGTAGTAGTAGTAGTAGTAGTAGTAGTAGTAGTAGTAGTAGTGGTAGTAGTAGTAGTCGAAGGAGTCGTAGTCGTAGTCGTAGCCGTAGCCGTAGTCGCAGTCGTAGTCGTAGTCGTAGTCGTAGTAGTAGTAGTAGTAGTAGTAGTAGTAGTAGTAGTAGTAGTAGTAGTAGTAGTAGTAGTAGTAGTAAGTAGTAAGTAGTAAGTAGTAAGTAGTAAGTAGTAAGTAGTAAGTAGTAAGTAGTAAGTAGTAAGTAGTCGTGGTGGTGGCGGTGGTGACATAGTAGTAGCAGCAGCAGTGATGGAGTATTTGGCTGGTAAACACAAATGGTAGAACCACTACTGGTCTCCTGTCTGAGTTCAGCTGGAACCGTCGTGTACACGCCTACCATAGCTTTTTTGCTGACTTGCTCTGCCCATGTAATGCTGATCTCTCAACAGCTTAACTGAAAGACGCTGAGCGACAGCAGTACAACTACAACCCTAAACCCTAAAGCCTAAGCCCTCAACTCTGAACCTTCTGCCTCAACCCTCAACTCCGAACCTTGACCACAAGGAAGGCTTTGCTCCTGGAGCCTTGGACCCTTTTTGTTCGGTAGGTCGTGCAGCTTTCGTCTTCCAGGAGCTCTGTATCTTGGAGATGCGGTTAAAGTTCAGGATTTGGGGTTTAGGGTTCAGGGTTTAGGGTTTAGGGTTTGGGCTTTAGGGTTTAGGGTTCAGGGTTCGGAAAGTGTTCGACCAAGTAACGGACGAGGGTGCCTGCCTTCGACGGATCGCTCAAGACGACTCTATGCCAAACCCGACACTGGTAAAATACCCGAACCCGAAACCCAAAAAAAACATAGACACCTGAAGACGAAGAGAGCCAGACCATCGCAAGAACAGCCGCATGAGCGATTGCGTCACATGTCGGGCTCGAGAAACAACAGCAGTAGAACCTGTGCGTATTCGGTGTTTGAGCTCGCAGTCTTTGTATGAGTGGTCAAATGGAAGCAGCTCCGATAGCAATTGTAAAGCTTCTGTGAGTGGACGGCCGTTCCAAGTTTCGTTGCTGTTTTTCGTTCTGAACCTCTAAGCTCTCCCGATATACAGTACAAGCCCAAAAGTTGGAAACCCCAGAGCCTCCATCCTTAAGAGTCATGTATAGGGAATCCCAGCACTATTTGGCCTTAATCCAGTTACCAACTTTATGGGATTTTCTGTAAGCCTTCAAGCCCTGAACCCTACAAAACCCTAAACCCTTCAACCCTAAACCCTAAACCGTTACACCCTCAAAGAAACCTTAACGAGGCCATCCCCCACCAGACGATCAGAAGTTCCTTCCGTGGCCGCGGACACATCGCGGACCCCGAGCCAGCCGGGGAAGTCGTGACTAATGGTTTAGGGTTTAAGAAATGTACTTAAAGTGTCATGGGACTTATAAACTGGGGTTATAAATATGGTAACTATACTTATAGTTACTTTTAACCCCAATTAGGGGACTTATAACCTTACTTACTAAGTCCCATGATCCTCTAAGTAAGAAGTCTAGGGCTTAAGCAGTTTAGGGTTGATGGTTTAGGAAGTCTCGGGGATTTTTTGTTTGGGGTGTACCGAAACTTAATGAACTTTACGTTAATGTTCACCAAGTTTCGGGTTTGGGTTTTACAAGTTTAGGGTTTAGGGTATTGTTGTTTGGGGTTTGGGGTTCAAGAACACTAGGCTTTGGGATTCGGGTTTATAAGTGTTCGGGTTGAGAACCTTACGGTTTCGGTTTGAGGTTTGGAGGTTTAGGGTTTGCGGTTTGGGGTTTAGGGTGGTTTTGCTGTTTGGGGTTCGAAGTTTAGGCTTCGGGGTTTAGTAAGTTTAGGTTCGGGGTTTGGGTTTTGGACTAGGGCTTGGGGCCAGGAGTCTCGATTAGTGGCATGTTGAGTGTAGACTTGAGGTTTTGGATTTGAATTTAGGCTTCTGTGCCATAAGGTTTAGACTGCTGCTGTTCTTGTGAGGCTGACTGCTCTCTCTCTCTCTCTCTCTCTCTCTCTTCTTGTCATGGTTCTTTTGGACCCAGATCCTATGCTCCTATGGGCTATTTGCACAACTGCTCGTTTGCTTCTAGTGTTGTTACCCAGAGTTACCAGTGGTAGTAGTCGTAGCACGGAGTGGAAGTAGTAGTGGCAGTAGTAGTAGTAGTAGTAGTAGTAGTAGTAGTAGTAGTAGTAGTAGTAGTAGTAGTAGTAGTAGTAGTAGTAGTAGTAGTAGTAGTAACAGTGCAGTAGAACGGTTGATGATAAAATCCTGCATTACCTCAAGGACCCTAAACTATGGGAATTATGGTGTATTCCTTATTCTGGGTCATGCAGGATTTGTATCATCAACTGAAGAAGGAGGGGCAACGATGATAATGCACACACCCAGACACTCTTCACGGCACAGGCACTCTAGTTCTTCTTGGGTGCGCTGGTCCCTGCTCATGTTCCCACCATCATTTGATCTTCGCCACCGTTACTTTTCTCTCGATGTGGCTAGTCGATTTGAACTTCTGCATGAGTAGTGTGATTCTAGCGCTGGGCCTATTTGCCTATTTGTCTCCGAGACTGGCCTTAGTTCATGTAGCCCTGTTGTGGCACAGCTGTTTGCACCGTCCAAATTTGCGAATCTTCAGAGTGGATCAAATTATGTCGCTTTGGGGTGCAGTCTGGGGGGTATCGGAACACGAGCCGGCGTAAGACTTTGGCCCTAAGTGGGGGGACCGACTCATGCCCTGAGCTTGCAGGAAAGTTTCGAGTTGACTGCCCGAGAATTGGCAACTCCGATGTCCTCGGGATGTACAAGGACGGATATCCCCAATTTTCCATAAGGGTGGTTGTCAAAATTATAGTCCCTTTTTGGGTACCCTAAATATTAGGTGCCGTACTATTTTAAGGACCCCAAAAGGGACCATAGTTTTGACAACCGCCCAAAGTGGTGGTGTCATTCGCAGGGTTTCTGCTCATGTTCTTCTGATTGCGGCTGCTATCTTACCTAGCCGCACCTGCAGAAGATGGCAATGAGTATTGAATCCTCGTAACCTAGTAGTAGAGTAGGTAACCTGTAACCTTTTTGGGGGTAGTATAGTCCCTATATCATCCCTATATTTTGGGTTAACCCTTAGTTCCCCATGATACCCGACAAGTAGGGAACGAAGCCACGATCACTCCAGGTTCCTTTCTCATCATGGGCACGGAGCTGAAACCACCTCCTATAATATGTGCTGTGTTTTATGTACTTCACTGTTACAGAGTTCCGGATATGACCGCAGGAACCTTGCCCCAGAAGGCAGCAGACTGGAGAGCTTGAACAAGTTGAATGAGAACACAAGGAAATAGACGGAACCACAACAATCAGCAGAATTTGTTTGGGCTGTTCCTGGCGAAAGGGTGGAGGGACAACTCGGTGCAGGTGTTCAGCCGGTCTGTTTGCTGTCTTGATAGGAACAACGTAAGTTGGACGGGTCCCAAGCCCCAAGGGTCCATGTGCCAAGACAGTATACACTTCGGCTCCAAAGTACCTACCAAAGCATGGAGGGACCCTTTAGGGAAGTACAGATACACAGGGGCGCTTGGGCTACAGACCTCTTGAACTTGCGACACAAAACACCGAAGCTGAAGCCCTAAACTCTCAACGACTCGAGACACACTCTCTGAATCCTGAAGCCTGAACCGTAAGCCTCAGCCCTAAGCCCTAAACCCTAAATCCCAACCCCGAAACCCAAAAGCTGTTCACGCGCCTCTCGAGCACTTTGATGCACCATTGGGGAATCTGAACCCTACGACTTGAACCCTAAAACCTAAGTTTAAATCCGTTATATCATAAACCCTAAACTGTTAACCCTATGACCCCCAGCATCCGGCGTTTTGAGGCTCCGAGGGTCAGGGCATGCTTTGTTAGGTGACGTATCTGCGTCTAGAACCTCTGAGCTCAGCCCCCGAAACCTTGTCCTGTGATGTCGGCCTGCCAGGGTTTAGGGTTTAGGGTTTAGGGTTTGAGCTCTACATCAGGGGTTTTAGAGTCTACTCTATTTTTTGGGGGGGGCAGGGGACTTAGTAGGGGTTCGGGTTCCTTAAAGGGATCCATGGGTCCAGGCTTTAGGGTCTACTTGGAGGGGCAGGGGACGTAGTAAGTAGGTTATAGGTAGAGTTTATAAGTACCCTGAGTGGAGTTGCCCCAATTATAACCCCACTTAAGAACGACCTACCAAGTCCCCTGGCCTTCCAAGTAGATCATCTCAGCCTCGGTTCTATTTCAAGCGCGTCTCCAGCTAGTCTTCAGGGCTTCCAGACTCAGAGTTTGGGGTTCAGGGCTTCGGGTTTGGGGGTTCAGGGTTTAGGGTTCCGGGTTTAGGGTTCGGGCCTCCGACATCAGGAGTTTCAGATTCACGGGGAAGTTTGCTTGAAGAAGCATGTCCAACGGCTAGTAGCGACCAACAAGTGCGCCGCAAGCTTTGCATTCCACGGGTTTAGAGTTTGTGCCTACTTCTAGGTTGAGGGTTTGGTTAGCTGATTAGGGATCGGTTGACATCGGCTCTGCTGTGGGATTCTGGATGTAGGTGCAGGCACCTTGAACGTACCACTTCCGACCGACTTCAGGGCAAGTTGAAAGTCACAACTACCATCATTGCCGGTAATCAGTACCACTGCCACTACCAATGCCACTACCACCGACTACTCCTACTCCTGCCACTACAAGATCTTGAGTCTGCATGTCCGTGCGTCCCTGATGCTAAGGTTTTGTCCAGAACACCAAACGCAGTCCTACCAGGTATGTCCCTATTCTGAGTACATCGACCCGATCGTCTACGACGTTTTGAACCAAACTCACGGTCGCGAGATCTGTTCAGAAGCCCAAACACCCTCCATACCCAGAGACGCCTAGAACTTAAATGGAAGCCCTAACCGAAAACCCTAGACTTTGAAGTTTAAATCGGAGCTCTGAGCCCAACCCGAGCTCTCCACAGGTACAGAGAAGCTGCCAAGTACGAGCGCTCTCGCAACATCGAGATGACCAAGGCCCGGTGGACCTGCCTGCTGAGACAAAATTCCCGGGTCTAGCATGCCAGGATTTTGAGAGCAATTAGACTAAGTAGCCTTTAGCCTTTTGTGGGTAACTATTGCAATAACCGTGAGTTCCCCATAGGTAGCTTCACAAGTAAGCCATTGGTTTATGGGTTCAAGGGTTTACTAGCAAGTAGGCTTTATAGTAGCAGCCAAAAAGTTGGAACATTATAATTTATAATCCTCGTTCCTTGATCGTAAACTATAAGGGAATCCTAGCACTAACCATCCCAAACCCATGTTCCAACTTTCTGGGGTTCGCTGTAGGGCTTGGTGTTAGGGTCAAACGGGTTTGGGGTGTGCAAGGCGGCTGCTTCGGCTGATGATATAAATCCTGCATTACCTTAAGGACCCTAAACTATGGGAATTATGGTACTATATACTGCATTACCCTAAGGATCTTAATTATCTAAATCCTGCATTACCCTAAGGATGTTTAACTATGGGAATTATTGCATATTCCTTATTATGGGCAATGCAAGATTTGTGTCATCAACCGTGCACAGACCGCGACCGCAGCAGGCAACTCAGTAGGAGCTCTCGCTACACCGTTGCCCCACGTATAAACCTTACCTTAACCCCAAATAACTTTAGGGACATATATAAAGAATTCATAACAAGGAGGCCTAAAAAGGTAGGTTCTTCAGGTCTAAGGTAGAGTAGGCCCATATTCTTCTTTTTGGGATTCAGGTTCCCTTATGGTTTAAGCTTAAGCCCTATGTAATCCTTTGGTGAACCCCAAGCCAAAGCATCAGGCTTATCCTGAAATCTCCTACACTTCCGTCCAGAGCCGCATGTGGCATGGGGTGCATTTTTGAAACCTATATAAGTGTCAACATTATTCCTTGGGGTTCCTTGTTATGCATGCAAAAGAGGCCCAAACCCTAGCCAACCCTTAAGGCCCCTCTACTATAGGGCTTCGGGTTCAGGGTTTAGGGTTTAGGGTTTAGGGTTTAGGGTTTAGGGTTTTGGGTTTAGGGTTTAGGGTTTAGGGTTTTGGGTTTAGGGTTTAGGGTTTAGGGTTTAGGGTTTAGGGTTTTGGGTTTAGGGTTTTGGGTTTAGGGTTTTGGGTTTTCAGGGTGTTATGGTTAAGGTCCGTGGTCTGGACAGTTGCATACCGAAGCTTTGCGGCCCGCATGATGGGCTTCTGCGGGTGGAAGCGGTTTCTGGTCCCGAAATGTAGAATCAGGATGCGCGGTATAGGAGCCTATAGAATCTATATTCTTAGTGTTCCTTATTGCAGTTTACTTTATGTCTTATATAAGTCCTTAACAACTGGGCTCTTTGGGATCAAGCTATGGCTCGGAAGGCTCAACCCCTTATTATAAAGGCTTAGGGTTGAGGCCTCTGTCGGTTTGTCAACAGCAAAGATAGAGTCTAAAACCTCAACAGCTCTCAGACGCCTGATGACTCAATGTTGAGTTCTTCGCCCCAATGACCCGGAAACCCTAAGCCGCAAGCCCTAAATTCGTAAACCCTAGACCCCTCAGCACAAATCCCGACACCCTTAACCCTAAACTCCCTACACCCTACTCCCTACGAGCAAACAACGCCAGGCTGGTGCCCAGGACGGCACGTACGTCAAAGCCGGAGCTTACAACGATGCTCCCCTCTACCACTGCAGCTGGGCTTGTAAGGCTAAGGGGCTTAAGGTTTGGGCTGCAGGGCCTTGAGCTTTAGGGTTGTTAAAGTTAAGGGTCGAGGGTCAAGGTGTTCATGCTGGTTTCATTTTTGGGGCAGCCTGCATGAAAGTGCGAGAACTGGTTGAGTTGGTGGTTCTTGCGCTCACGTTTGAAGCCCTTTAGCCCTGCCGCCTTTAAGGCCCATCCACCGGCTGGATATTCTTTGACCGGCCGCGCAACCGGTGGCTCATCAAGGCACAGCCAAAAGACAATGTGAGTTTGAGCTCGGGTTGGGGATCGGGCAACTTCAGTTCTGGAGCGGATAGCCTAAAACCCTAAACAGATGTTCGGCCGAACAGATGTGCTCAACTTCGCTTTCGATTCTGGAGCGTTGCTGTCGATGCAGTTCTTCAAGGCCGTTCGTCGTCGTCGTAGTTGTAGTATGAGTAGGTGTAGGAGTAGGACTAGGAGAGTAGGAGTAGGAGTGGTACGGTGGATGGGGGAACTCTTGCACCACCTACATACACTGTCTCGGGTACACATCCAAGCAACAACCTCGCGCTGCATTTTTAACATTGACGACAGATCTCTTGGGGCGGTGCAAATTTTATGTCATTGGAACGATTTTGCAAAACCCTGTGTAGGAGGAGGAGGCGGAGGAGTAGCTGCAGCAGTGACAACAGTAGGAGTAGTAGTAGTAGTAGTAGTAGTAGTAGTAGTAGTAGTAGTAGTAGTAGTAGGAGTCGGAGTAGTAGTAGTAGTAGTAGTAGTAGTAGTAGTAGTAGTAGTAGTAGTAGTAGTAGTAGTAGTAGTAATAGTATTAGTAGATAGTATAATAGTAGTAGTAGTAGTAGTAGTAGTAGTAGTAGTAGTAGTAGTAGTAGTAGTAGTAGTAGTAGTATTAGTAGTAGTAGTAGTAGTAGTAGTAGTAGTAGTAGTAGTAGTAGTAAAGTAGTAAAGTAGTAAAGTAGTAAAGTAGTAAAGTAGTAAAGTAGTAAAGTAGTAAAGTAGTAAAGTAGTAGTTGTAGTAGTAGGGGTAGTAGTAGTGGTAGTAGTAGTGGTAGTAGTAGTGGTAGTAGTAGTAGTAGTAGTAGTAGTAGTAGTAGTAGTAGTAGTAGTAGTAGTAGTAGTAGTGCATTGCATTGCATTGCATCCGTTGCTCCGGTCTGTTGAAGCGATACGAGGAGACAAGGCCTCTTGCCCCGGCAGCTTGTAGCTGCAGCGCTTAGCGCTTCTCTGAGATCCTAACTCAATCCATCTTATGTAGATCAAAAACATAACAGCTGTAGCTAACATCCTCTGTGTTGCCAGCATCCGCTTCGAGCTGGAGGTTGGCTTCATTTTGAACTTGCAGCGGCACCAGCGAGGAGGTGAGTGCATCGATGAAGCCATCACCGACTGAGTACACTCCGGCACATGCTCATCGGGAATCTCAATGGGCGACGGGGTTGGAGTCTCGGAGATCGGACTCCCACTGTTCATAGGCCCAGGTGCCGACGAGCAAGAGCCCTGTGCGGGATAAACCAATTCGCCCTCTCCAGCAGCAGATGCAGGCACGTCGGTACTCCCCATTGGCCGGGCACTCGGATCATGATGGACCGTATCAGTTCTGTTCGGACCACCGTGACCACTGCCACCCTGCTCCGGAATGTAGTGCCGTGCCGGCGGTCGAGCATTCTGCCCGCGGCAACGATTAGTAGTAGTAGTAGTAGTAGTAGTAGTAGTAGTAGTAGTAGTAGCAGCAGCAGTAGTAGTAGTAGTAGTAGTAGTAGTAGTAGTAATAGTAGTAGTACAGTTGTAGTGGTGCTCGAGTACTCCTCCGTGTAGCGCTTGGAGGCGCCGTAAGTTGGAACAACCGTCATCATAGACACCCCTCGACTCTTGTGTTTCTTCCCATCACTTCGGAGTTCAGGCCCCGGCCCACCCTTATGCTAGGATGCCCAGTAGTACCTTTACTACTTTTTTGTAGTCCTAGGCGTCTTATAAAGTTACCCAATATCAAAAAGGGAGCCTTTTTTGTTCTTAGGTTACTGGGCATCCTAGTATGGCTTCAAGGCCTCCTGAAAATCTGAAAGCTCCCATGGCTGCTATGCGCTCCGGGGAGGCAGAGACGGGAGGGAACCCCAAGGCGCAAGGGCTCGTGGGGTTCGGAGTTGAGAGAGGCACTGTCTTAGGAAATGGGTCCCCTCAAACAAGTGGTCTATAGGGACTACCATAAGGGCTATTATTATAAGGGATACTATAGGAACTGGGGAATGGATCCCCATAGTAGTCCTTATATAATCCCCAATAACAGTCTCCATAATCCATTCCCCCACTCCCTACTTAGAACCAGACAGTCTAGTACCCATATAGTATCCCTTATAGTAGCCCTTATAGTAGTCCTTGTAGACCCCTTTAAAGGGACCCATTCCCTACTAAGAACCAGACAGGCTACGTTGGAGGGTCAGGCGCTCGTGGCTGCGGGTTTGCTACATCGGTGGTTGTCAAAATTAAGGTCCCTTTTCAATAGGTGCCGTATTACAATAGGGACCCCAAAAGGGACCATAATTTTGACAACCACCCACACAGATACGCCCTAAGTTTCAGTCGGAGGTGCGCTGCCATGAAGTCTGCATTTCAGCACTTAATCTAAGGGTTTTTGTGGCTTCACGGCTTTAGGGTATTGTTTACCCAGAGGGCCCAAAGTAGTTCCTTTTCGGGAATACCTTATAGGATTCTATATATGAACCCCACAAAGGAACTACTTTGGGTCCTTTGCCCCCATACAGTAGTAGTCTATAAGAGGGCTACAATTAAGGTCCTAATATAATTCTAAATTATGCATATTCTTCAACTATTACTAAGTGGGGGCCGCAGAAAAAGATATTGTAGCCAGGTTTTGGAGGCTCTGCCTAAAGTCTAAAGCACGGTCGAAAGCTGAGGCTTAAGGCCTGTACTATAGGGGTCGAAATAATTACCTATACTATGCTGGGGGCTCCATATTATGATTATAGTGTGATGGGCCCCAATACCCTATTCTAATTATTAAGGCCTCTATATATTAGCCTATTTCCTTTCATTCGCTTCCCAGCAGTTAAGCAAAGGCGCTTTGCTTCACGCAAAGCCCTCAGCTCTTGCCGTACGCTTCAACCCGGAACCCTCCCCAGTCGATCCAGTGTTTTTTTTCAGCCCGGCACTGACGGCTCAAACTCAGCATTGGGACTGGATAGTGCATGATGCTCTGTGCTCCTTGCTTCCATTCTCTTATGCTGACAGTGAAGATAGCAGTATGCGGGAGTGGTGTTTCAAGGCCCTCACATGCGGCACCAAACCTGGTATATGGGCGAGAGAAGGGGTTGGGTGTGACGGGGGGTGGGTGGGTGGGTGGGTGCTACCTAAACCCGAAACCCCTAAACCCTAAAACTCTCCTCCTCAACCCTATCGCACAAGTTCTAGGGTTCACGGTCCCTACTCTGGCAGGTGGTCGTCGGCATGCTGGTCACCACTCAGCGTACACCGGGCGGCACTCAGGCAGGTCGGGTTCAGAGTTGTGGTATTCAGCATACCTTTATGGTGCCCTAGGACTACTTTTCAACTTGGGATCCTATCGTCTTGGGGATTCTATTCGAGCCAAAATCCGCTCCATCAGTGAACCCCCGAACACCAAAAGAAGTCCCCGAGACAGCAAAGGGGAGTTTCCGAAAATTTGGGGTACCTTACTTTGGGGTGCTTATCATAAAGATCCTACTATGTCGGGCACTATATTAGGGTCCCTTATTCTCGGAAACTCCTATATGAAGTCCCCAGGACTCCTGGGTAAAGGCATCCTTAGTCATCCTTCAATCCGGCTGTTTTTCAGAGCACAGGCCGGCGTCGTCGCGAAAATCATGAAGGTGGGCGTTAGGGTTTAGGGTTTAGGGGTTTAGGGTTTAGGGCGTCGGGTTTACAGTCCGGGCTTGGTTTTCCAGAAAGCTAGGTGCCATTGCCCTACGGGTCCATGTGCCCAAATCGTATATACTTTGGCCCCAAAGTGGAACTACATCAAGGCCAAAGTATCTACTGTTTGGGTACATAGACCCTTAAACCTAGACGCTAGATAGAACCCGTATAGAGCCCTTATAGAACCCCGGCAGATCCCCTTAAGGAACCTTGGTACATAGACCCTTAGGGTTTGTATTGAATTTTGTAAGCTCCGTGAAGACTTTCGTCGTGGATTTCAAACGCCATTGTCGATCTTGTGCTTTCTCGTGGCTGTTTCACTTCATGAAGGCCGTCGCTGAGCCTTACCTACGGTTCTACGTGAATTTAAGGCGGGGCATAGGGTACGCTGTGCATTTTTCTACGGGTTGTTATGGAGCATTGAAGGAGCTTCTCACTCGACTTACGTAATGTTGTATATAATGTAGGAGCATGAATGTTGACTAATAGTATTCCACAGGGCTCCATATTCTAAGATGATGATGAATCCCCGAGCCCCATTCTACTTGCTTTGGCCCCTTATATGAAAGTAGAAGCCAGAAAGTTGGAACATCATAATTTCCATGCCCTCAAGGTCAAGTATAAAGGAATATAAAGGAATCCTAGCACGAATCATCCTAAATCCATGTTTCAAGTTTCCGGGTGTCGTCGACTGAGCTGGTAGTGAGAAGTCGCAGGGACTTTCTGGTTTGCACTGCACTACGGCTGGTGATATAAATCCTGCATTGCCCATAATAAGGAAGATACCATAATTCCCATAGTTAAACATCCTGAGGGCAAAGCAGGATTTAGATAATTAAGATCCTTAGGGTAATGCAGTATGCAGCACCATAACCCCCATAAGGGTCCTTAAGGGAATGCAGGATTTATATCATCAACCGTAGGTTCTCGGCGGTCCGTCCATCCAGGGAGAAGGGCCGTCGGAGATACCTGTTACCTGAGAGTCTACAAAACGGACCCAATACCCCAGGGCTCCAAGTATACAAATAGTACCTACTTTGGGGTCTAAAGTCTATAAATAGTACCTACTTTGGGCTATTTGGAGCCCCAGGGATATGAACCCCTCACAGACGGGAGGGCCTTCAGAATTATTTAGGGAGTTTAGGGTTTAGGAATCCACAAGATGGCAGAAGCAGACGTTCTAGCGGAGTACTGGCCACAGTCAGTAGGAAATGGGCATTAGAAACGTGATGGTAGGAATCAAGAGCATATAGGGGTGCAGGAGCGGATAGGCAGCGCGAAAATCTCTAGGCGTCCTTCACTTGCACTTCAGGTGCGTGGCCCTCAACCCGGACCTTCGAAACCCTCAATCCTAAAACCCTAAAGCCCTGAAACCCTGAAACCCTAAATCCGAAAACCCTAAAGCCCTCAAGCCTGAATCCCTGAACACAACCTCTTGGCAGGATGACCAAGTTGAGATCACCTGGGCCGATGGCAATCAGGTCGATCAGGTCAGCTGGGCGTGCTTAGTACCTTTAATCCTTACGATACGTGCGTAAATAATTTCCTATACGATTTTGTATGTTTCCACGTTATATTTGTTTTATAGTGGGCCCCAACACCCTATTCTAATTGTTAAGGTCCTTGTATGAATTCTTAACTGTATTCCCCCAAAGCGAAAACAGGTATATAGTTCGGTTCAGAGGCCACTGTATAAGTTGCATAGGGCCCGACATGTGTCAATTTCGTGCTTGTGGTTCAGTCTATTGCCGAGTTCCCATGAAGGGAGCGTTGCACTGTTAGCACCGTCAATGACAGGGATCTGGATGAAGCCAAGCCAGAACCACCAGCTGATTTTGCTGCAGCTGATGATGACGAAGACGAACATGAAATTGACGATGGGATTCTTGAGCTCGAGGAGCGGGGTATATTGCTGTCGTGAAGTGCATCAGTCAGCAATGGAACGTCTGCCACAGCAACAGTCACAATAACCGCTGCTGCTGCCATTCCTGCTCCTCCTCCCGCTACTTCCGCCGCTTGTTTACGGCTAACTGCTATCACGACTGTGCAGTCGACGAATGCTACTGCTACTGTTACTGCCGCTGGCGCTGCCACTGCGACTGCTGCTGCTGCGACTGCTATAGCCAACAAGCTACCAAGCCACCAGCAGCAACCAAGACTACTAGAACTACTACTACTACTACTACGACGACGACGACGACTACTACTACTACTGCTACTGCTACTGCTACTGCTACTGCTACTGCTACTGCTACTGCTACTGCTACTACTACTACTACTACTACTACTACTACTACTACTACTACTACTACTGCTACTGCTACTACTGCTACTACTACTACTACTACTACTACTACTACTACTACTACTACTACTACTACTACTACTACTACTACTACTACTACTACTACTACTACTACTACTACTACTACTACTACTACTACTACTACTACTACTACTACTACTACTACTACTACTACTACTACTACTACTACTACTACTACTACTACTACTACTACTACTACTACTACTACTACTACTACTACTACTACTACTACTACTACTACTACTACTACTACTACTCCGACTCCGACTCCGACTCCGACTCCGACTCCGACTCCGACTCCGACTCCGACTCCGACTCCGACTCCGACTGCGACTGCGACTGCGACTGCGACTGCGACTGCGACCGCGACCGCGACTGCGACTGCGACTGCTACTACTACTGCTACTACTGCTACTACTGCTACTACTACTGCTACTGCTACTGCTACTGCTACTGCTACTACTGCTACTTGATAGTGTTGATATCCTTCAACGTTCAAGCCGACCCAGGTGAAGTCCACAGACGACCTGCCACTTCGTCTGCATGCGCGATTAAAATAGGCGGCCTTAGCACAAGAAATATAGACCCTGAGTAGTAGGATCCTCAGTGTACGGGCCCCTCAGCAAGGGACCCTGATGCCCTAAGGCTTCCAGGTTGCGAGTCCGTTGGCAGTCAAACCGAAAAACAATCAGAAAGTACTGGGAGAACAAAGGCTGCTGGGTCCTGGTTAAGGCAAGGAATTCAATTTAGGTTGCCATACTACGGCTGCATAGTAACTGATACGGTTCCCTTATTGCTGTAACTGAAAGGAAGTTCTTGAACAAGAGCCGTCTATGTTACACCTTCGAGCTGTCGTTTGGGCGGGTGTCGGTTTCGTGATTTCCCTCCACCTACTCGCGTCCCTAAACCCTAAACCCCTAAACCCCTAAACGCTTAAACCCTATTCCCTGAACCTTGGAACCTACACAAACCCCTTGGGCTTCGCGTGTAATTTAGGGGCCTAAATAATTACCGTTCCATTCTATCTCGGGGGCTCCTTATTGTAACAGTCATACTGCCTTCATGATTAGAATAATAGAAATAGATTTGGGGGCCCACAATGCTACATTTATGTAGCATTATGGGCCCAAAATCTATTACTATTATTCTAATCATGAAGGCAATATTATTTTAGGGGTTCCTCATTATAAATGCAGCATAATGGGCACCTCAAAACCCTATTCTAATCATGAGGGCCCCTATATTGAAATTCCGGGGCCGAGGGCTGCCAGCTTTTATGGTCCGGCTAGGGTAGGGGAATCGATGAACCGCTTCCCAAGAAGCTGAGCTGTTAGTTCCAGGCAAACACGACAGATCAGTGGCTGCTGAATAGAAGCCAGAAACTTGGAACATGACTTCAGGAGGATTAGTGCTAGGATCCCTTATACTTTACCTTTAAGGCCGTGAGGATATTGATGTTCCAACTTTCTGGCTTCTACTGTAATCAACGGGATCCCAAATGGGAGTTTCCGAAAAGAGGGGACCCCACAAAAAGTACCTTAAATAGCAGGATCCTTGTTATAAGGACCCCAAAGTAAGGTACCCCCTAATTTTCGGACAATCCCAAATCTAGAGATGTACCTGGATGATGGAGATAAGAGTCACTCAGTAGACAAGGTCTCACAAGTTTGATTGGATTTGGGTGGTGCTAGTCGGTCAGAGTCCTCCCAACAACCCTGCATTACCTTAAGGACCCTAAACCATGGAATTATGGTCTATTCCTTATTATAATAAGGAATAAACCATCATTCCATGGTTTAGGGTCCTTAATATGGGGGATGCAGGATTTATATCATCAACCGAAGCACCCCATATAGAACCTGTGCAGAACCCTCACAGTCTGAGATCCCGAATGCTGAGCAGTTTTCGGGGTTTAGGATTTAGGGTTTAGGATTTAGGGTTTAGGGTTTAGGATTTAGGGTTTAGGGTTTAGGATTTAGGGTTTAGGGTTTAGGATTTAGGGTTTAGGGTTTAGGATTTAGGGTTTAGGGTTTAGGATTTAGGGTTTAGGGTTGTGTTTGCGCTTGAGGTATCCGGTGTCACAGGCCCGGCATTTCAATGATGACGGCACCTTCAAACTCCAAGCGATGGTATCTTGGCCTGCAAGAACCCTAGGCATCTAAGGACTCATATATGAAGGCTTTTGGACCCAAAGGCCATATTTTAGAAGGCTTTTGGGCTATTTTGATACCCAGGGGAATTCGTATCTTGGCGTAAGGGTGCGACTGGGGCTGCACAAAGGGTTATTTCTTGGTCAAGGCTTACAAGCTGGGGCTGGCGGGTCGAGCTACCGGGGGGTGTTTAGGGTTTCGGTTACGTGAGGGAGCAGGGGGTTTGGGGTCCATCGTTGAGTGAAGGATGTATGCTCGTCGGGCTGCTGGAGAGCTTTAAGTCGAAGACACAAGCACGAGCAGGTCTACTTTGCCATTGGCAGTCTCTAACTACACCGGAAAGAGCTGCAAGATGAAATTATCCTGGGGCTCAGGTTTAGATGCCAGAGTAGCTTCTGGGAGTCTGGATGCTTCAGGCAGCCCGGAAGAAAAAGTCTAAACCCTAAGCCAGCCCGAAGGTAAGTTCCGTTTACACACACATACACACACACACATATATATATATATATGTATATATATATATATATACGTATATATGTATATATATATATCTGGTTTTGGCCTTGGAATTCTTCCTTAAATGGGTAGTTCAAGGCCAAAGTATATACTATCTGGGTACACATGAAGCAAGCTGCCGCAGTTGATTTGAGGCTGACCCCTTCTTGAAGGACACAGCGCCACCCTCCTCAGGCCGCCTGAGTTTCCCTAAGGCCCCAAAGTAGTTGCTTTTTGGGGTTCGTATATAGAATCCTATAACGTAATCCCAAAAAGGAACTACTTTGGGGCCTATATAGCCCGAAAACCCACAACCCTGAAAGGTTTAGGGTTTAGGGACTGGGACCCCCGCCGCGAGGTCCTTGATAGAGGGTACTTGGTTGGGGAAGGATCATGGGACTTCGTAGCTAGGGTAATAGAAAAGTAACTATACTTATAATTACTTGTAACCTCAATTAGGAACCCTGAACCCTACACCTTGAACCTGAAACCCTAAATCCTCACCGCTACGCCGAAGTTGAAGGGTTCGGAATCTTCAGCCTGAACCAGACAGATCCAACAAAACCACGGGACTTTCGGTAGAGAAAGGGCCCCTTTTATGGCTAGTGTTCCGGGTTTAGAGTTATCGTGTGGGCGCCTAAACTGCCTGGTCTTTACTGTAAGCACCTGGAGAAAAGGACCCCGAACTCATGTACTGTAGGGGCCTAAATAATTGCCAGTACTATTCTTTGGGGGTTCCTCATCATAATTATAGTATGATCGGCCCCAAAACCCTATTCTACTCGACCTCCACATGTTTTGCAGATCTTCGGCCCGACTCTCCTCTTGCTCTTGTCGAGGGCTTGCAGTTGCTTTAAAGCCATCGGCCAGGGTTCACAGGTTAGGGTTTGGGCCTACATCCTGGCCAAGGGCTGTATACCTTAAACGACCCAAACCAATTTTGTTGTAGGGTCCCTCTAAAGTGCTTATTGTGGCTTGTAGTCAGAACTTACACAAAGGTCGATTATGGCAGCGTGAGGCGGGGTTTATAGGATTTTGGTTTGGGCCGACATCCTCCAGTGCACTCGGATCGGGAGTCACGGGATTTAGGGTTCAGGGCTTAAAGGAAACTCCAGAAAGTTGGAATATGGATTAATGGTAGGATCCCCTATAATTTACCTTAAAGGGGTTACGATAATGATATTCCAACTTTCCGGCTTCTACTGTAGCGTTTAGGGCTTAGGGTTTGGGGCTTAGGGTTTGGGGCTTATAGGGTTTCGGGTAGAACTTCCAGGTCCCAGAAGCCTGCAAGCCCAGATGTCGAGGGCAGTAGGTTGATGATTTTTCTTGGGAAGACCCAGGCCCACTATAGTTTTAGGGGTATTGGGTAACATTTTACATGTTTATGGGTACTGAAACCCAATAGGTTTTGGTACGGTTGATGATATAAACTCTGCATTACCCATAATAAGGAAGATACCATAATTCCCATAGTTTAGGGTCCTTAAGGTAGTGCAGGATTTATACCTATACTTTTATACTATCCAAGGGTAAAAGGACGGACCCTTAATAAGGACCCCCATATATACCCGTAATATAGCCATTATATACCCATTATATAGCCCATTATAGGGTAACGGTCCCCAATAAGGGTCCCTCCTTTTCCCTTTGATACTAGGTAGGCCTTTGGGACATTTTATGTTTTCCCCTTACTGGGCTAAAGAGGATACTACTTACGAACAGTTTTCAGAGGCTTTAAAGGGCCAACCTAGTGTAGTTTTAGGGATATTTGGTTTAGGGATTTTGCCACGGTCTGAATGGTTCAGGCCTTTCGGCTTTGTGGTTGAGGGAGGTGTTGAGCAGCTGAATCCGTGCTTTCTTCTTTGTGGTGTAGACTTCAGCCACGTCATTTCGGTTTAGGGTTTAGGGTTAGGGCCCTAAGCCCTAAACCGTAAATCGTGGTCGGATGTTTGTTGTTTGGGCATGACTTGTACAATCTTGTAATCTGCCTCTTCGTGGCGATTGGCATTGACAATGTCAATCGCCATCGTTCTCCGCCCTCAACCATCAACCCCCAACCCTCAACCCCAAACTCAGCAGCCCTTGAGACAAGGAAAAGACCGAAAGAAAGACAGAACGCAAGAACGAACGAACCAAAGAAAGGAAGAAAGAAAACGAAAGAAAGAACAGCCAACCTTACGCCCTGCTTCCCACGCTTTTCGGAGGTTGGCTGGCCGCACCAGAAGCCTCCGGATATGTCGAGCAAGAAGCTTTCGATCTTGGTATGAAGAACTTAGGCGGTGGGGCGGGGCGGGGCTGTCTGTTAGAAGGGGGGTTGCCATAAAGTTACCATGAGGGGTACTATAAGGTTACCATAAAAATACCATAAAGTTAAATAGTATAAGGTTACCATAAAAGTACCATAAGGTTACCATAAAATTCGGCCGGGGTTTTTGTGTTGCTTGAAGTTTGGCTTTGAGGTCTGGGGCTTGGGCTTCGAGTTTAGGATTTTGGGGTTTCCAGGGGGCCGGGCTCAAGTTCAGATCCTCACTACAACCAAGTGCATGAGGAGCCAATATGGGGGTTTCCGAATATTAGGCGTACCTAATTTGGGGGTCCCTATAACACGGATCCTACTATTTAGGGTACTACATTAGGGTCCCCTGTTTTCGGAAATCCCCATATAGGGGCCTAAATAAATACCAACAGCATTCTTGGGGGTTCCTTAGATATAATGGGCCCCAAAACCTTATTAAGGCCCCTACATTACTGCGCCAAGATAACTCCCCTCTTGTTTCTGTGGGTGTCGGTCCCCTGCAGGTCTGGAATCTTGGGCTCTGTTCCTAAACTGGGCTTTGGAGTACCATACTTAAATACTTTTTCTTAAAGGAACCGTAATGAAATAGAAAATTATACTTTTTTCTCCCTGGCTACTTAACAGCCCAGTGAAAGTGCAATCTCGAGGGTCGGCGTTAGCCTTTTGGAACTGAAGAGCTTGTTCCTTGCGGTTCAGCGGCGATGGTTGAGCTTGGGACCAGCTTGTAGGATTCCTTGATGTTGACTGCTGGATGCTCGGGGGGGGGGGGGTTCGCAGGTCCAGTTAGCACAGTACTGCATAGTAAGGGTTTAGGTTTGCGGGGTTTAGGGGTTGAGGGTACTTCGTCAAACATGAAACATGGACTGGCGGAATTGCACATATGTTCATACATATAACCCTAAACCCTAAAAGTCATTTTCTTTGAGAGTGATTGGGGAAGTTGCTTTGAGAACAACCCCTGGAGCTTAGGCTGTGGAGTGAGGTTTCCGTGCTGTGACTTCGAGTTTGCGAGTGTGGGAATCCCTGAAGCTGCAAGCTGATCCAAAAAGTAGATCCCTTAATACCTTTAAGTATAGGGCCCCAAATTAGGGGATCTACTTTCTAGATCGAACCTTAAATTCCAAATCCGAGAACTCCATAAACTTCACAAGTAATACCCCAGCTCGACCCTCAATCTGTGGTGCACGACCTGGTACCCTTCTGTCTGCGCCCCAAGTCCGAAAATTTGAACACAAAACACATTCGAACCATGTAAACCCTAGAAGCCTTCATCATAGACTGCAGGAGCCGAAATCCTTAATCCCAAAGCCCCACCGAAGCCCAAACTCTAAAACTTAAATTACTCAAAACCTAAGCCGTAAGCCATAAACTCCGAACCCCCTAAACCCCGCAAACCCTATAAGCCCGAACGAAAGCTTCGAAACCGCGCAGGCGTGGAGGAGTCCCAGGCAACTGCACTGGCAAGCGTGCTGCGGAGTCAGACTTTGAAAGGTGAGACGGTGATTATGCGCAGGCCCGGGGTTCGTTTAGGGTTGAGTTTAACTATACCTATAGCCTCCATTGTAGTTCCTTTTTTGCTTAACCAAAATCTCCATTATAGGATCCCAACCATAAAACTGGTTAGCCATAAAAAGGAACTACAATGGAGACTCTAGGTACTATACCCTAAACCCTAAAGATCCCTTATAGGAGCCCTTATAGATCCCTTTAAAGGGTAGCCTAGGGTTTTTGCATGTTGGGGTTGAGGGCTCGATTGGTTTGCAGGCGGCTCGTGGCTATAGGGTGCCCTGAGCTCTACATCCTAACCTTGCTTGGAGGATCCTGGGACTTAGTAAGGTTATAAGTACCTCAATTGGGGTTATAAGTAGTTACAAGTATAGTTACCTTAATTTATATCCCTGGTTACTAACTCCCATGATCCTGTAAGTAGCATGCTAACCCTAAACCCTAATCCCTAAACCCTAACCTTAGCATGGATGTTGAAGGGCCGGAGCCCTAAAGAAAAGGCCCGGTCCGGACAAGAGCTTCGACGAGGAGTGGGCGAAGCTGTCGCGGAAGGAGGACTGGGTTCTCTTTGTCATGGTTGGGTAACAGTTTACATTTTTATGGGTACTGAAACCCAATTGGTATTGGTACGGTTGACGAGATAAATCCTGCATTACCCATAATAAGAGGAATATACAAGAATTGCCATAGTCTAGGGTCCTTGAGGTAGCGCAGGATTTATATCATCAACCTTAGGGCTTTCGGGGTTTCACAAGGGGTTTATATAGGGTCAGGGTTTGAGGTTTAGTATTTCGGCTTTAGGGTCGAGCGTTTGAGGTTGAAGGTCTAGGTTGAATGAAGGACTACTTAGAGGATCATGGGACTTAGTAAGTAGGTAATAACTGGGGTTATAAGTCCCCTAAGTGGGGTTATCCTAATTATAACCTACTTATAACCTTACTTACTAAGTCCCATGACATTTCAAGTAGACTACTGGATGGTCCAGAGGGTTCCGGGCCCAGAGGGCTCAATGCTGTCATGTACTCTTTGGAGATTTCGATTTTGGTGCCCGCTGATGGACGGTTCTTGTACCTGGGTCATGGAGGCTCTCCGAAATACTGACCGGTGTACAGTCTGAGATTTACGGTTTTGGGCAATGTTGGCTTCAGAGTTCACCTAAACCTGAAACCCTGTAAACAAGATGGACGTTTCGCAACACAAGCTGCTTGGGATCACTTGATGTCGAGCTCTCTGCAGGGAAAGCAATCCCCTAAACCCCTAAAGCCCTAAACCCCCAAACCCTAAACTCTCAAACCCTAAACCCCCAAATCCTGACCCGAAACTTCGATATGCGTACTCCCCCGTCTCAACGTGTTTAGGGTCTCGTCGTCCGGACCCTTGGCCCTATACCCTAAACCTATAAACCTTAAACCCTAACCCTAAACCCTTTACCCTAAGCTCTACCTTAACCCGGAATAACTTACTTTTCAGGACTCATACAAAGAAATCATAAGAAGGACCCCCAAAAAGGAAGGCTATGTGGGGTTAAGGTAGCGCTGAACCCTAAACCGAACTCCGGGAAGCAGCAGAGGATGCCTCAACAGCCTGGAAGGCCGCTTGCGCGAAGAGTCGAGCGGAGACTGCAGGGCTTTCCTTAAGGACCAAATGACCCATAAAAATAAGGACCTATTGAAAATTTACTATGAGTCCTAATAAGGTATATGAACCCTAAACCCTTTTTGGGTTCTTTTCGTCCTTAAGGTTGTTGCAACGAATTCAGTGCGGGAGGGGCGGAGGGGGGGGGGTTCGGGTTAGGGGCAAGTTGTTCGGGTTAGGGGCAAGTTGAGGGTTGAGGATTCTTGGGTGAAATTCGCTTGCTTTCTGTTCATCCCAAAACCACGGGTTAAGTTCTCTGTACATAGGGTTTAGGGTTTAGGGGTTTAGGGTTTACATCCTGCCGGGATACTACGGTGGCTCACACTCGCGACCCTCTGAATTTCTCAAGCAAAGCAGCTGAGCCCCAAAGCATCGGCTCGGCTTGGGGGGATGGTTTCGGTTGTACGAAGTCGGGCTGAGCTTATTGACACCCTGCCTGACTCCTCTCCTCCCTCCTCCCCGGTACCATGTTGGACCGATGCACAGCCGCCTCGACTGTTTACTCAACTAAACCCCGCACTCTGGTTCATCCCAAAGATCGTTAAGCCTATATCATACGATAGTACATTATGGTCCACCGTATTATGTTGCGACATTCTAATTTGTAGTAAGTTAAGTTATGTTGTGTTAGACCGATCGCTTCCATGAGTGCTTTCTTCTCTGCTTTCATACTTGCAGGGTCATGTCACGTAGTAACTATAGGGTTTAGGCTTCCCTATAGACCCTAAACAAGGGAACCATACTTACAAACACTTATAGCCCCAATCAGGTACTTCTAACCGAACTGACTACGTCCCCTGATGTCAGGCCCTGGCTCTCGCTGCACAGAGTTGCTTCTTCGAGAAACGCGGCTTCCCGGCTGGTACTTAGGCTTTAAAGGGTTCCCATGTGGGTACTTTGAGGCCTAAGTATATACTGTTGGGGTGGATGAAGCCTCGGAGGAGTAAGCAGAGGTTGCCCAAACCCGGAACCCTTGCCAAAACCAAAGTCCTGGAACAGCTATGCAAGCCTCAAAAACACACGCATACCCCAATACAGACCGTAAGGTCTAGAACTTCCCAAAAGCATGGACCATGAAGATATAGACCCCAAGTGAACAGTTGTAGCACGGCCCAGATGCCACCACAACAGACGCGAAGAGTTCATGTTCGGGCTTAAGCAACGGGAAAGGAACCGGGTGAAGTTCTGCTGAGGGTGTTGGAGACATCAAGCTTTGGACATTCTTGAGTGTTTCAAAGAAGCGCTCCTATGTTGAATGTCAGTTTGCTGTTGTTGACGCATACCGTTCCCGTCTTATAGGTTCTGGGCTTGTGCATTCGGTTTCAAAATAGGCCGGGGCCAAGACTTGTCTCTGACGAGGTGTGCCGAAGGAAGCTCAAATCATCCAGACTGAGCATCCCTATCCCGCCGTCTCGCACAACTGGAAGAAGGACCGAACCGCTTTTGAGCGAGTCCCAAACCCTCCACTGCGCGAGCACTAAATGCGAATCCGGTTCGCAGCTAGGTTCGCTAGGTGGCCTAGGTAGCCAAGTACTTCTCTTGATGATATAAATCCTGCATTACCTTAAAGACCCTGAAGGTATATTCTTTGTTATGGGTAATGCAGGATTTATATCATCAACCGGTAGATGGCCTAGCCAGCTAGCTAGCTGCCATGTAGCTAGGTCCGGGTCGGTAGCCAGGGAGCCACATACCGAGGTCAAAAGGGAGGCAGTCACTGAAAGGTATCGCAATGCTATGAACCGACAACCCTAGTAGTACAGTAGGTAACCTTGAACTTTTTTGTGGCTAGTATATTCCCTATATAATCCCCATGTTAACCTTCAGTTCCCCATGATACCAGACAAGTAGGAAAGATGCACCATAGTTCAGTCGGACACAGCCCTTGCGGCATGATCGGAATTTACCAGCCCTAGTTTGCTAAACTGTACTAAGCCCCGTAACCTAAATACAAGTCCTATATGATCATACACCCACAAACCCTAAACCTATACATCTGAAACCTCTTACCCAAGCCTTTGATGTTCGAACTGCAGCCGTGGCAATCTTATATGAAACGCTGAGGGTCATTGAACCTCAGGGCCACTACGCAGAGCCTGCAAGAGTTGGATCGGGTCTAAGGAGGGGTGCGAAAGCCTTCTTTGCTGATGTACTTGGAGGATCAGGGGACTTAGTAAGTAAGGTCATATGTAGCCTATTTGGGGTTATAAGTAGTTATAAGTTATAAGTAGAGTGACCTTGTTTATAGCCCTGGTTACTAAGTCCCGTGATCCTTTAAGTAGGCTTGGATATGCAGATGTTTTTCCCCATGTCGGTCTTGAAACCTATGACTCCACACAGCGGCCCGCGTCAGGAAATCCAGATGCCCGGCGAGAAAGGCATGACGTGCCTGGCTTTGCAGCCTGTGGTTCTGCTGTTCTGGGAAAGGTCCTGGGTTCTGCTGGCGAAAATCTTGCGCCATGCACACATTGGTAGTTCTCTAAATTAGTTCCCGTTTAAGGTCCCCAAAATAGTGCGGCACCCTTATAGAACGGCCCCGAATTTAGAGAACTACCCACAAGGCACATCATCGATCAACCCCAACCTCCAAAACCGGAACCCTCATTTTCAATCGAGAGGTGCAGACATGGTGATGGGCTGATGGGCCATATCATGAGTCGGCATCTGTTTTGAGTGGGCCACGGTGGTTTCGGATCCCTCCCCACACAGATTTAGAATACTCTACTAATTATGCTAGACTGTACCGTATCATACTATTTCGGCTTCAACAACAGGTAGATCCTACTTCCCAGCCAACATCACCCAAACCAACAGGGTCCGAAACCTCAACTCTTAACCGCCAAGGCCAGCATGGCCCCTAAATCCTGCACCTCAATACAGGGGCCTAAATTGGTTCCGAGGGTTCCCTTTAAAGAGATCCTTAAAGGGGCCTATAAGGGATCTAAAATATGGTTCTACAGTAGGGGCCAAAATAATTACCAATACTATTTTGGGTGGTTCCTTAATAAAATCACAGCACAATGGGCCCCCTTTTCTAGTAGTTAAGGCCCCTATACTAAGCCCTCCAAGGGTCGTCTTCTCGCAGAAGTGCCTGACCTTCGACAGCTGCGCGAGCTTGCGCGTCAAGTCAGGCCGATAAGAGGAGAAATTCGGGTTTATAGGGGTTATGGATTAATTAGGGGTTAGGGTTGAGGGTTTGCGGCACGGAGCATGCACAGTTTGACATGTTAGGTTGAGGCCTGTGCAGCTCTAGGATTGGGATTCGCCAACTAATTAGGAATCATCGCTGAGTGCGTGAAGCGGTCAAGCGCCTATAGGCCCATGGCTTTGGGTGTCATGTTTAGGGCAGCAGCACGGGCCGATGACTTGAGGTTCGGGGATGTGGGCGAGTACCGTTCTAGCGTGGCACGGCTTTAGGATGAACCTCTGAAGCTGGTGTGAAGGCCGCGTGAGTCCACAGTTGGAAGTAGATTACTTGAAATATTCTCCCAAAGGGTCCTATGTACTGTTATGGGGGATACTTCCCTAAGTCATATTCGTAATTCCTAGTATGGAAACCTCTTTTTTGATATCAGTACATAAGACCCTTTGGGTCTGGAGCTTCCTTGAACTTCAGCTTCCGGGTCCCTGACACATGGATTCCACAACTTACCCTATCCTTCCAGGGACCTTAAAGGGAACTCCAGAAAGTTGGAATATGGTTTCAGGGTAGGATACCCTATAATTTACCATAACGGGTTTAGGATAATCATATTCCAACTTTCTGGCTTTTACTATATTATTGGATTCGGTCTAGGTCCCTAACAATAAGGTCCTTGGAAGCGTGGGGTTATGGTGGCTTCTGAATTTCTTGCGCAAGCTGCCAAAAAGACATGCTGAACGCTAGCCCTCAAACCGAAACCCAGAAACCGCTCCTCGAGGTGGGATACCAAAGTCCACGATGGGCCCCGGGCTGCGCGTGGAGGCGTGCGGGGTTTCCAGGACATAAGGGCTGGAACCACAAGATTTTTGGGGGTTCCCCTGTCTTTTAGCTGTATACGATTCTACACCAGAACCCTGAACACTATTTGCTTCAGTCTGGCACATACATTACTTAAAGGATCATAGGAGACAGTAATTGGCAATGAGGGTTACAAATAAGGTAACTGTACGTATAATTACTTATAACACCAATTAGGGTACTTATGACCTTACTTACTAAGTCCCCTGATCCTCCAAGTATTGGAAGGATATCAGGGGGCCTGTAAGGGCACTGAACTGCAACGGCTCGATAAGGGTACTGGGGTTTTGGCTCAGATTTATGGGAGCACGGGCGTTCGTCAGAACAACAATCATCACTCTGCAAACGAATGTCACAGATTTATGGGAGTTAAAGGGGTAGCCTACAAGGGATCCATGAGGGTTAGGGTTGAGGTTTTGGAGGACTTCTTGGATTTCACTGTGTATAGGCTTCAGGGTTGAGGGTTTGGGACTGAGGGGCCCGAGGCTAGCCATTCAGGATCTTATGTTCAGGTTTTTGTGCGCAGCGTGTTCGGAGATTGAACTTTACTTAAACGAACATGGGACTTAGTAATTATAGGATCATTTTACATGAGGTAAGTATACTTAAAACTAAAGTTTACATATATCCTCGGTCATATACTTATAATCTTGCCTACTAAGTCCCCTGATCCAAGTAACCAAGAGAAACCTTCAACCGAGGACCACTTGAAAAGCAAACCGGGCTCCGAACTTAACTGTGCAAACCCTAAGCCCATAACTTTAACCCTAAACCCTCAAACCCAAACCCTAAACCTTAAACCCTAAAGCCCAGTTAAACCGTAAACTGAGAGAGGATCCTGAAAGCTTCAACAGGAACCGACCTTAAGGCACAGTTTTGGCGTGTGGAATTCGCCATTTTGAAGCGTTCGGAGGTTGTGCACATGTGGTTTAAAGGTTTAGTCTGTAGGGCCGTCGGGTTATTGTGAAGACTTTTGTATGCTCCCATCCCATATCTTCATCCCGCTGCGACGCTCAACGAGCTTTACGAAACAAGTCTTCCTGAAAACGCACGCCGCCCAAACGAGCAGGGAAGTTGATCTACCAATCTCTCGACTTCTAAGTGGGTTCTCGAATCATTGCACTGCCAGGGTTTAGGGTTCGGGGGGCTGGGTTTACAGGTTTAAGGTAATTAGGGTTCAAGGGGGGCATGTTGCAGTACAGCACAGTCTTTGTATAAATATGTATGCATTCAGGGTTTCGGGTTGATAGAAGCCAAGCCAGTGAAACGCACAAGTTCGGCTTTTCTGTATGAGGCTCAGTTTCGCATGTCAGGTGCAGCGCCGTAGTTTCGGCGCAAGCCCACCCTAAATCCCAAATGCAACCTGTTGAAGCCACCCACACCCCTCCAACCCAACCCCTCAAAATTAAATGGCGCCTAGACTCAACTCCAGCCCACAACGCGCAGATTCAAACGAGGAGAAATCCTTGAAGCCCTATACAGACCTCAAACCTGTGAGCCCCTAAAAAGCCTTAAATCCCGAACTCCAAAAACTTCAACGACGTCGTTTAGTCCAGGTCGATGGCCTGGATGGAACTCGAAAATTTGGCGCCATTTGCGAGGCGTGCTGTCAAAACGTGCACAGTTTAGGGCTTGGGGTTTAGGGCTTAGAGCTTAGAGTTTAGGTTGTGGGGATAAGGTTTAGGCTATGCCTGTTGCTTTTGCTGCTGTTGCTATTGTGCTTCTCATGTTCATTCTTGTTGTTGTGGTTGTGGCGGAAGTGCTGAGCCCACTGGATCCGAAACCATACACCCAAACCGTATGAATCTTTCACCAAGCCCCCCCCATAAGCCCTAAACCCTAAAGCTTTCAATGAAACGAACGGATTCTCTGTAGCCACCTTAAGACTGTCGAAGAGTGAAGCAAAGTCGTGGAGTTTGCGCCAGTGGTGCAGACTAGTGCACGCTCAGACTGAGTGAGTCTTGTGCAGAAAGGGAGGCTATTGCACTTAAACAGGCCCGAACCTATAAGGCCTAGACCCTCTTCCCTGCTCCAGGCTTTCGTGGAGGAGCGAGGTGGACGCATGATCAAGCTCGACTCTGACGAGGCGTCACAGATGGGTTTAGAGTTTAGGGTCTCGGGTTTGGGGCAATACGAGGGCCTTAAGAAATAGAATAGGGCTTTGGGGTATATGCTGTTGGAGGCCTGAACAAGACTCTTCCTCGGTGTTCGTGATGATATAGTTAAACTACCAACGAGCACTATGCCCAAACACAAGACGTGACTAGTCATATACTCCCTCGAAAACGACTTTTGTTCGATTTTTTCAAACACCCGTACCAAAAACTCTCCAAGCAGCCCTTGTGGTAACCCTTTAAGAAGCCTTGAGCCCTGTTCGAACTGTTCAGGCCCCTGCACTAGGTTGTCGGGGTCAGAGTCAGTGTTTCGAGAGCCCTCAAGATTCGGGGTTTGGGGGTTTTAAGATTGTCTAGTTGGTTTAGGGCTTATAATAGGATGTAGGGTATATCGTTATCGTGTTCAGGTTTTAGAGTCTATGGCTGGTAGGGTTTAGGGTTTAAGGTTCGCCAGGCTTGGGGTTTGGGGAACCCCAACCCACGGCCTGTTCTGCGCAGCTGCGACACCGATCATGTTAGTGGCAGCGCATCCTGTCTCTTCATAGTTCACACAGTTCAGTTTACAAGCTGAATCCGGCTGCTTCTTCTTGCGCAGCACTGCCGGTGGGTGGCAGCCAAGGAGGAGACAGCCAAGCAGGATGCTCCACCGACCCCGAAAGACATCTTTGCTGCCTGGAGTGCAAGGATTCTTTGGCTAAAGGGTTCTGTCGGTTCGAATTCATTTTAAGTTGTGGTAGTTGTTGCAGCTTGACCTGCTCGGTGCGTGCTAGCTACGCATGCTGTTCTTCTGGCACATCCGCGGACTTTGCACCTTCGGAGTATGTACTGCCCTTTCTGGTCATAGGCCCGATGAGATCATCACCCCATTCCACCTACTTGAGGCCTAAGTAAACCCTACCTTCGGGGTCATAAGGGCTAGTATAAGGGGATCTATAAGGGTACTATAATAATGTACCTAGAGTCTCCATTGTAGTTCCTTTTGTTGGTTAACCAGTTTTATGGTTGGGATCCTATAAGAGGGATTTTGGTTAACAAAAAAAAAGGACCTACAATGGAGGCTATAGGTAACCCCTAATCCCTCCAACAGCTTCCGACGCAGCCATTTCCCAAAGCTCCCTGGCCCCACACTTCTTGGAAATCTCGAGATCCATGCCGAACACGACGAAAGGCCCTGAACACTAAACTCCCGAGCCCTACAGTTACAGGGATTCGGGTTTGAGGGTTTTAGGCTAGGACTGAGGTTAGGGTTCATGGAGGGGTGCCGAACCTTTCAATACCGAATCCCTTGCCGAGGCTTTCGTGGTGGACGAAAAGGAGTCCCTGAGGCCAAACGGTGTTTACCCGCGGGGCCTGAATCAGTAATGAGGTTCCCTTGTAGTCCGTATGTAGTAAGAATTGTGTAGTCCGTAGTCCATAACTTACAAAACGCTGTAGCAGGAATGAATAGTAACATCCCGGTATTGCCCTGAATAAAACTATAGGAATAATAGTCCATTAAAGTCATTCTACGTCTGTGTGAGTTGTGATCTTCCCATCTAGTCCTTGTTTGACAATGTAATGACCCGACACAAAAACACCAGAGCCCGAGAATCTCTGGCGAAGCCTCTCGAGTTCAGGGTTCAGGGCTTAGGGTTGCTACCCGGGTCTACCTTACCCCTGAATAGCCTACTTGTTGAGGCTCCTTATTCTGATTTCTTCATATAGGTCCTTAACAAGGTAGGTTCTTCGGGGTTAAGGTAAGGCTTCGAGTCTAAGGCTTTCGGGTGTTTCCGGGTGTTCTCGGGATGTTTGAGTTTCGGGGTTTTGGGTCTTTCGGTGCCATGGCAATCGGGCTCTTACCTTCAGAGTACCTAGCTAGGGTTTCCTTAAAGGGCTCCGTAAAGGGATCTATAGGGGTTCCTTAAAGGGTTCTATAAATTATCTATAAGGTTTCGGGTACTCAAAGGATCATGGGGCTTAGTAACTAGGGTTATAAATAAGGGAACTATACTTAAAAGTATAACGGCAATAAGGGGACTTATAACCTTACTTACTAAGTAAGTAGGTTCGGTTACAGCAACTTCTTGTTGGCGATGCTTCGCCCGTGTGAGGATCGAGTACGATTTCAACGAGTTTGGCAACCCCGGCAAGGAGAAGCTCGCAGAATAATCCTGGGTCTATGGTGTAGTGTAGGGCGTAGGGGTCAGGGCCATGCAGTGAAACGATCGTGGGCTTTTGGATGTAAGGTTAGGGGTTGAAGTTCAGGGTTTAGTTCAAGTTTGCTTCTTTGGAGTCCCAGTCTCCTTGTAGACTGTAGAACCTATGAGTGGAAAGCAGCTATATGGGAGTTTCCGAAAAGAAGGGGTACCTTGTCTTGGACCTTACAAAAAGGATCCTACTATTTAGGGTACTATATTAAATATTAGGGTCCTCCATTTTCGGAAACTCCCAGATCGGCCTGTACTGTAGTGTGGATGGCTCTCACTGCAACGAAACTCAAAGCACACATAGGGTTTAGGGTTTAGCCTTCAGGGTTTTGGGTTTAGGGTTCAGACAAGTTGTGAGATTTGGAGTGCCTGGGACATCGGCCTTTGCATGTGGGCGTTAAGTTTACAGTAAGCTTTGCAGGTTGTTCCAATTCAAAATCACTTGGGAGCTGGCTGGCGGATAGTGTAGCAATAGCTGGTTTGTGGCATGGCTCTTGGTTAGGTAGCTTATCCGCACTCCTTAAACTCCGCAGCCTACACACCGGTGACACACCGTAAGTTGCCGCTCTTGTTGCCACCATCATTCACAACGAGTTTAGAGTCTGAAGGGGTCGTTGACCTCCCTTCCCGGCAAGACAAAGGACAAACATATCTCGAACATTCGCGATCTCTGGAGAGGTAGGGCACAGGGCTGCGCCGGAGAGCTTGATTCCCAGTCGAATCGCGGAGTCCAAAAGAAGATGATCAGGATGGACACCATTTAACCGGTCCATCGCCAGGGCCCCCACCAGGCTCGCGGATTAGTCGGGCAGCATCTTACAGCTGGTGAGATCCGAAAGCATCCCAGTTGGCAGGTCAGCCGAAGAAGTGGCCCTAGAGACTGTTGTTGCCGTTTATACGGCAACAGAGTCGTCGGCAGCTTGCAGCGGCACGGACCTGTCTAGAACGACGGCCGGGAATCCCAACAGACCTGAAATTAGAGTGAGTTGTCAAAGCCCCTATACTAGTTACTAGTCCCGTTTGACTCATGAGGGTCCCTGTCCTCAACCCTGTGCCTACTAGTTACCGGTCCCCTTGACCGAACATCGGGGCCCGTATCTCACTTGGAGGATCAGGGGACTTACTTAGTGAGTAAGGTTACAAGTCCCTTTATTGGAGTTATACGCAATTTATAAGTATAGTTACCTTATTCACAACCCTAGTTACCCTAGTTTCTAACTCCCATGATCCTTTGAGCACCCTAACCTTATTGATCCATTATAGAACCCTTTAAGGAAACCCCTATAGATTCCTTTAAGGAGCCCTTTAAGGAAACCCTAATTACTAACTCCCATGATCCTTTAAGTACCCTACCCTTATTGATCCATCATAGAACCCTTTAAGGAACCCCTATAGATCCCTTTAAGGAAGGACACCCTAGCTACTAACTCCCATGATCCTTTCAGCAGCTAAAAGTTTTTGACAGGAGATCAAAGGTTTGGTTCTGGATCCATCACGACCGCACCTTCCTGCCGGGCCCTTGGTTCGGTTTTTGGGTTTAGGGTTTCGGTTTAGGGTTTAGGGTGTAGGGTTTAGGGTTTAGGGTTTACAGTAAACCCCATAAAGTTGGAAACCTGATTACGGCCAAATAGTGCTGGGATTCCCTCTACATTACTCTCAAGGATTGAGGCTATGGAGTTTCCAACTTTTGGGCTTCTACTCCAGGGTTTAGGGGTTTAGGGTTTAGGGTTGAGATTCTAAAGCCCAATTGGTCCAAGTAGCAATATCGTACCATACTTAGTAGGTGTTTGGCCCCCCAAAAGCACATCGTATACTAGTACTTGGATCCCTGGGGAGGTTTCAAGGTTCAGGATAGAATGTATAGGGGCCCGAAGAATCAATAATCCTATTCCTGCAGGTTCCTGTATATACTTCTCATATAGCATGCCATGTTATACCTTCTTCCAGTCATTACGACTGGGAGCATGATTAGGGTGGAGGCTGGCGGTTTTCGGATTTAGGGGTTGGTGTACAGGATTTGTAGCCAAACCCGAAGTTCCTGGATGTCTGCAGTCTACCCAAAGTATCAGTTAGGACATCTTCGAATATCCCTTAGATATCGCAGAGATCCTTAACAACAAGAGAATGCTACTTAAAGAACTTTTTGCATGTTCCGCAGACTGCATTAAACCCCTAGACCCCAAGCCTTAAACCCTAAACCCCAAACCCTAGGCCAGAAATCCGAGACCCCAGACCCCAAACCCGGGCCCTAAACTCGTGAACACAATCGACATCTTTGGTGACTGAGTCAGTGTCAGTATCAGCCATGCCTTTACTGCGCAATTCGATACCAGGGCTTAGGGTTTAGGGCCTGGAATTCCATGCAACATCTTGCCCCAACAAAGTGGGAGTTTCCGAAAATTAGGGGTACCCTATTCTGGGGTCCTTATAATAAGGATCCTACTATTTAGGGCACTATACGTTAGGTCCCCGATTTTGGGAAACTCCCAAGTCACGTCAGCTGTGAGTCAATGCTTGCGTGGCACGACTTTGACCAACCCAGCATACCGAGCGCCAGCTCCCTTTTTGCAAGGTGGCTAAAGCCTACGTAAAGGATCATGGGACTTAGTATCTAGGCTTGTAAATAAGGTAACTACACTTATAATTACTTATAACCCCAATTAGAGTACTTTTCCACCTTACTTACTAAGTCCCTACAGCCTCAACCCCCATAAATCCTTTATAGACCTCCTTCAAGGAGTCCCCAGAGGACCCATAAGAAGCCCACCCTTCAAGTTAGAACGTCCCATGAAGCCTTTAAGTGCCCTAAACCCTAAGTCCTGAACCCAAAACCACTCAAACCCACAGTCCCTAAACCCCGACAACCTAAATGCAAAGTCCCTAAACCGTAAAACCCTAAACCTAAACCCGAAACCCAAAAATCTAAGACCCTAAACCCCTAAACTCTAAAATCCCAAAACCCCTAAACCCTAAACCCTAAACCCCTAAACTCTAAATCCCTAAAACCCCTAAACCCTAAACCCCTAAGCTCTAAAACCCCAAGACCCCTATACCCCTAAGCTCTAAATTCCTTAAAACCCGAAAGGACCCCTCCTTTGTAAGGTGGCTCTATCGGGCTTCAGCGAGTCCGGCCCGGCCCAGGCAGTGTTTGTTCTCCTTTGTTAGGCAATTTTTAGGGGTTTCGGGCTTTAGGGTTTTAGAGTTTAGGGTTTAGGGTTTAGGGGTTTGGGGATTTTTGAGTTTAGAGGTTTAGGGTTTTAGATTTTTGGGTTTCGGGTTTAGGGACTGTGAGGACTTTGGGGTTTTGGGTAAGTTTTAGGCTTCAGGGTTTAGGTTTAGGGTTTTACGGTTTAGGCCTTTGGGGTTCCCCAGTCATGGGTTTAGGGCATACCTGGAGATCCAAAAACCTACCGTTTAAAGGCTTGGACTCTATAATGAAGGGGTCATAACCTACTATTTTGTAGGGTCTGAGGTCACAGGTAGGGTTTACAGGGTTTTTAGGGTTTGTAGGGGTTAGGGGTGGAGGCTGAATTTTAGGGTTTAGGGTTTAGGGTACCTTTTTGCACTTTTCCTTCGTGGGTTCTCCCCAAAGGGCTCCTTAAATGGCTCTGCAAGGGATCTATAGGAGGTAGTTGTAGTACCGTTTTGCACGTTTTCTTTCTGCGTTCAGACGCGCGAAACCAAATCTAACAGGGACTAAACCCTACCTAGAGTCTCCATTGCAGTTCCTTTTTTGGGTTAACCAGTTTTATGGTTGGGATCCTATAATAGGGATTTTGGTTATCCAAAAAAAGGAACTACAATGGAGGCTATAGGTAAACCCTACACCTAAGAATGCAGGGCCTTCAAACGGGAGCACTACCAAGGAGTACTCCGAAGAGATGACCACAACGTGGGTTTTGGGGATTGGCGGGGTGAAGGCTTGACACGTTGTATGTTTTGTTGAAACTTAGACCTCAAAGCCCAAAAATCCAACTTAAGGTTTAGGGTGGGAGGGCCAGTGCGGTTGAACCATCCCCGGCCTGCATCCAGAATTGGTTGAGGGGTCTGGGATTTAGGCTGTGAGAGTTTTGGAAGGATGGTGAATAAACAATTGACGCCTGGATGTTCGTTAAAGCTAATTAGTAAATAGAGTCCCGCAGCCGCGGGCGGTTTCGCAACATAGCTGCTTGGTTCAGGTGCTGCGACGGCAAGACTATCTGTGGCAACGGTGCCCGATCAGGGACAAACCAACTCTCGGACGGCCGTGTCCGCCAAGGCAGCAGTTGTTTCATTCCATGGCCATAGCAGCGCCGGAGCTGTGGGCTCTCCCTGCTCCCTTATCAGACCTGCGATGCTGCGTCGGGGTTGCCGGACACATCGGCGACGAGCCGTCAGGAAGAAGTAGGTCGGTGCCATTTCCGCCACCCCACGGACCGGTCTGTTCCTAAGAGCCCGCATTGCTGCAGGCACCACGGCAATCAAACACAGCTTTCAGGCTTCACCCTATACCCTATTCAAGCCCTAGCTGGGCAGCTTTACACTCGCGGCACTTCTTGCCCGAGGTCTGAACCCCAAACCCCGCACGCTTTTGGGGCTCGAGGCTCTGGGCTTAGGGGGTCTAGGGATTCGGATGTAGGGTTTAGGCTCAAGGTTTAAATTTAGGGTTAAGGATTGACGGCTCACGGTCTAGGGTTTTAGGACGTAGACTTAGGCTCCAAGTTCAGGCTTCAGCGTTTTGAAAATGCAGCCTTTACATGTTGCTTCCGGACTCGAGGCCGCAGGCGTGAAGGAGTGGTGGCGATTGGATATCGCTCCTCGGTTGTGTTACCCGAGAGGTCCCTGTACCAAACAGTATATACTTTGGTTTTAAAGTACTTGTATAAGGACTACTTCACATCCAAAGTATATCGCTGCCTAACTTGTTTTTAGTAGTAAAGTAAGTCACCGTTGACTTTTCCGGTTGCAATAACTCCAAAGGTTAACCTTTAACTTCTGAGGGACGCTGGACAAGTATGTTGTTTGGCATCTCAAATTCCCCATCCTTGGTTTTGAGGGTTTTTCTTCTTTTCCCGTGTGCTGGCTACCCAGAGGTTGATACTGCTTGTTACTGTGGCTTCCATGAACCAATCGGTTGTTAACTGTGCCGTTACTGCCTAAACCGTAAACCCAAAGCCCCTGAACCCTAAACCCTATAAACCACAAGTTTACAACCCTAAACCCACAAGTGACATGGTCTCCGAGAGCTTTGATGCCAAACTGGTTGTGGTCGTTAGCGTCGTCGTCCTCTTCGTCGTCGTCTCTGTGGTTTTGGACGTGATGGCGTTTTCACAAGCCAGCCGTATTGGTGTATTCGCCAACATGAATCCCGAGGTTCAAACGCTGCTGGGAGACTCCCAGTATGCCTTCGAAGCAATTCAAGGCGTCCTGTCTTCACAGAATTGGGGGGTTCTTGCTTTGCAGGTATGACCTGCTGTACTAGGTTCCCCGAAGTACCCTTTTGCCCTTTCTGTTTTGATGCACCCTGATTAAAACCAAATAATGGGAAAAAGGGTACCCCTATGATTCCGGGGTTACTGAAAAACCTAGGGATGCGCGTTTCGCAGGCATACCCCGCTGCATACACCAGGCTGAGGATGAAAGACTCCATGCAAGGCAGAAGACTGGATGATCTGCCAGTTGTGTGCCATAGTTGGAGAGGTGTGTTGCTACCTTTTGTGTCGGTGTGCGTCATTAACCATATGTGTGTATGTATAAGCATATGATAACATATGTATATATATATATATGTATATATGTATATATGTTTATATATGTTTTTATATGTATATACGTATATATGTATATATGTTTATATATGTATATATGTATATATGTTTATGAATGTATATATATATATATATATATATATATGTTTTTACAAGTATTTATGTATATATGTATATATGTATACATGTATATATGTATATATGTTTATATGTTTATATATGTATATATGTACACATGTACATGTGTATTTCTCTTTATATAAGTATATACATATATGTATGTACGTATGTATGTATGTATGTATGTATGTGTATATGTATGTATGTATGTATGTATGTATGTATGTATGTATGTCTGTATGTATGTATGTATGTGTGTATGGGTACGTGTATGCGTACATGTCTATGTTTTTGCCTATGCTTATGTCTATGTTTATGTCTATGTCTCTGTCTATGCCTATGTGTATGTATATGTACATGTGCATGTGTACGTATATGCTTATGTCTATGTATGTGTGTATGTACGTATGTGTATAATTATGTATACATATATGTGTAAGTATACGTATATGCATACCGTGCATATTATACATGTTTCGCATATCATGCATTCTGCTCATATTATGTATGTTAAATTATCCTGCATAGTATGTATAATATTTACGTTATGTATAGTATGCATAGCATTTACATCATGTACATTATGTAGAGTCTGTATAGTATTTTTAATGTGTATATTATGTATATGATGCATCATATGTTTATGATGTATATTATGTATATTGTGCATATTGTGTATACTATGTATATTATGTATTATACATGTAATATGTGTAATATATGCTATGTTTGTGATATATTTAACATATGTAGTATATGTCGTTTATGTACTATATGTAGTTTATGACGTGTATGCGTATGTGCATGTGTATGCGTGTGTGTATGTGTCTGTCTACATGTGCACGACACATGTATGTAGGTATGTGTAGGTACGTAGCCGTAACCTTCGTGCTTATATGGTTGTAAGAAGCCCATTTAAAGAAAAAAACACATCACGGAAGTGGCTCGGCATGCAACATCCATGCATGCAAAGTTACATGAACACACCAACACACGGGGACAGAATCATTGCCACGATCTCACGCCATCCTGGAAGCTGCAAGCCCCGCCAGATTCTGTTATGCCGACGCTGCCCTAGGCGAAGACCTGGGCAAAGCCCCACAAGACGCTGAAGATATCATGCAGGAGCCCTAGTGCAGCCCAACGACCTTGTCAGTCGTGGGTTTTCGGGGAAAGGCACCCAGATAAACGCTTCACCCTTAATTAAAGCCTTTCGGGAGCGCCCAGCGAAAGCTTGACTCAAGTTGTGATCAAACGGTGTTGGGTCTGAGTTTCTGATTTAGGGGTTGGGCCAAACCAGGGCCGTGGAGCTTTGCAACAGGACCCGTTGTCTCCGCTTGGACAACGCTTGTAAATTAAGCTTCGACGCACTTAAGGGGGCCAGAATACACGTCGTGCATTCGTCCGTTTCAATAGGTCCGGTTCCGGAAAGCAAGGACTAGGGTCGCAGACACAGCATCCCCAAGCCAAAAGATCTCATGAGACTGTAAAGCTCGAGACACCGTCGCACGGCCGACGCTCCGCGGCGTCGCCCACGACAGCCGACACGCAGTCAACACCCAACTCTAAACTCTTCGCCTACCAGGACCCTCGAAATGCCGTTTAATCGAGGTTTTACGGTCCTTATACGAATGCGTATTTAAGCAAAAAAGAGGGTAGCTGGGGAGTCTAGGGAGACCGTAAACCCTGCTCCAAGCCAAGGCAGAACCTGAACGGCTGCTTTCGTCGACTTCAGGCGCTCCTCTGGGGCTTGGAAGAATCGGACCTGAAGGGTCCTTGTATTCAAATAGCATATACTTACAAGGGTTCCTTTAAAAGGGTCTATAAGGGTTTTGATAAGGGCTTTTAATGGATTTAGGGTTGAAGGGTTCATGTATCCAAATAGTATATACCTTTGGCCGTAATTTAACGCCCGATTAACGCAGCCTTTATGCCTCTATCGAGCTGTTGTTCTAAAACCATAAGCCCTTGACCCTGTGCCCTAACCTCTGAACCCCTAAACCTCTAAAACCCTACACCCTAATTCCTAAACCCTAAACCCCTGTAATTACCCTAAACCGCCTAAACCCTTCCAGCCTAGACCCTGCACCTGCTGCAGCCAAGGCTTCCTTCTGGAGCCCTGCAGAGTTTGGGGTGGCTACACCCCTACCCCCTATATAGTCCCCTATGTTGTTTCTTAACTTGTCTTACTTGCTCATTATCATGTTTGTTGTGCTCTTTCATGAAATCTTTGTGTAGTTTTAGGGTTATCTTTTGAACTGTTCTTATCCCCTACATGTTATGATGGCTTACTATCATAGGGCTATGTATAAGTTTGAACCAGGACCCTACCCCGTCATTTTATGTTGTTCTATGCCATAAGTTTAGGCACAAGGTTCCTTCCTTAGTCTGTTTATGTCGGGGTATCATGCATAATATTCTGTATAATATTATGTGTAGGTTTTTCGTGGTGACTCCTAGCCATACCCCTTGTAGAGTTTGATGTGATACCTAACCACAAAGCAACCATCACCGAAACCGACTTCATCGTCATTGTCTCCAGCCGGTGCGCATTGCATGTTTTTGGGTTTGAAACTGCTCCGCTTGACTTGTGATGGGCATTGTTCTAACATGCAGACGCAGAGCAATCAAAAGCATTCTGTGATTTTTGCTGGCAATGTTTTCCTCTTGGGATTTAGAGATCCCAGCCTTCAAGCATCCGAACAAGTTGAGTGGAACCGAGACATGCACTTGTTTCTCGCTGTGCTGAAGCCTGAGGGCTTTGCGCTAGTGAGGGTGGAGACGGGGGAAATCGTTGAAACGCTTACCTTCCAGAACGCTCCCTGCGATTGTCCTGCAGACCTTGAGACCCTCATGACACGTGAGCAGCTCCTGAACATGGTGCGACGCCTTGGGACGCAGATTAAGACAAACGCAGGAAAGCACGGTCTCTTTGAGTATGCTTCCGAGATTTGGGAGACCCGTGAGCTTGACCATCTCTTTCGCTGGCCTTCCATGGGGAAAGGCACTGTCATCATCATCCACAATATGAGCGGTCTCCATGCTATGTTGGCTCACTCGGGTGACACCTTCACACTTCAAGGACTTCGCGAACTTCAGCCTAAACCCTTAAGCAAGGAGATGGCAATGCACATGTCAATCACCGAGCTCAAGGAATTCATCAGAGACAAAGCCCTGGGGTTCAGGGTTTGGGGTTCAGGGCTTAACTAAAGGGTGTAGGAGCTGGTTTTCAGGGTTTAGGATTCAGGTTCAGGTTCAAGGCCTAAGGGTTTGGGGTTCAGGGTTTGGGGTTTAGGGTGTAGGGTTCACGGTGCGGGGTTTATAGGGCTTAGGGTATGAAGCTCATTCTGTCGCGAGGCAGCTTTAACCCACAAGTTCGACGAGGAGTCCGACTATCAGGAGCGAGCTGCACTCTGCAAGCTCAGGGTTTTTGATGTATGGTTGAAGGTTTCGGGCTTTAGGTTAGAGAAAGAGTCTAGGATTTAGGTTTGGCCAGTTAGTCGGGCAGTTTGCTGTTTCAATCGTTTGGGTTCCGCAGGGGCATCAGAGGAAAGGAGCATTGCTGTGTCCCAGATCCGTCTATCCGTCTGGGTGGGACCCGATTCAACAGCAAGTGGCTCACAAAACCCTAAACCCTAAACGGGAACAGAGAGTTTCCATTGTTGTTAGCGTTGAGGTTCGGCTGCTTTCGTGCTGTGCCCCCAAGCCTTGAACCTTGCAAGGCTTTTGGGATGGAGGGTTTAAGGGTTGAAGCTTCGGGCAACAAGGATAGGCATGAAATGCAAGTGGCAGGCTTCTAGAGCACTTTAGAACATGAAGATGTCATGGGTCGCAGCATGTGGCTTCGCCTTACAACGCAGAGCCCTACCCTGTCCAGTCGCTGACATTCTACTTCGTCAACGGCGCCCCGGCTCAAGGAGTGAGAACAGCAAGGTCGATGCCGGCATATTTCGACGTCTCTTGACCCCTAACCCTAACCCTGACTAAACTCTGAGCCCTTAACTGTGTCCTACTCTAAAATCAGCCCCTGAACTCAAAACTCTATAGTTCATGAGATTGCATGCAGTACCTTGCTGAATGGCTTCTTGCAGTTGCTTGCTGTCCAGACCTTGTTACGAGAGGCGAGCAATAATATCCGTGGACCTCACCACAGGTTCGATCATGCTAGAAAGCGTATATCGTTTTTTTCACATTCGCGCATGTACTGGATACAGAGGTGAGTTGAGTTGTCGCTCCTGTTGCTGGTATAATTGTCGCTGGCCCATGTGCGTTTGTGATTGAGTACCTTTCCACCAACGGATATGGGAATTTCCGAAAATGAGGGGTACCTTATTGTGTGTTTATCATAAGGATCCTACTATTTAGGGTACAAATTTAGGGTCCCCTATTTTCGGACACCCTCATATTACAGAGTGCTTTTAGGACGCCGGGCACATCTGCTGGATGTGCAGCAGCCAAGGGTTCCGGCGCTTGTGACTAGATTGTGGCGATGTATGGGTTGGGCGGGGCCGGTGGTGTCATGGGGTCAAGAGTTTAGGGTTAAGGGCTTTGGTAGTTTAGGGGTTTAGGGTTCAGGGTTAAGTTGTTCGCCTGAGGTCGCGCAGCCTAGCCGTGCCGACTGAGGCCTTGAGTACAAGCTTGTGCCAGAAGCCCACATCACCTTCGAAGGCGAGTCCTGATCGTGATTCCGACGACTATTATCCTTATTGGTTCTAAAAGATCTGGCGTCCTCATAGCAATCGTATTTCCTTGGGGTGATATACTACTACTACTACTACTACTACTACTACTACTACTACTACTACTACTACTACTACTACTACTACTACTACTACTACTACTACTACGACGTGCTCCTTCTCCTGCTCCTGCTGCTGCTGCTACTGGCACGTCGGCGACACCACTATTACGACCACTACCATATGCTAGCACTACTCGTACTCCTACTACTGAGTCTGCTGATTCTGCTCCCTCCTTCTTCCTCCTCTTCTCCCCTCCTGTTCCTGCTACCAACCCTGCTTCTGCCCCTGCGAATGATGATGCTGCTGCTAGTGCTAGTGCTAGTGCTTCTGCTAGTGCTTCTGCTGCTGTTTGTACTACTTCCACTACTTCCAGACTGCTGGGGCAGCTGCTTCTCGTAGCCGGAAACCTAAAGGAACCGTTTAGGGTAGGGTTGAGGGTTTCGGGTGCCATATACTGCTGTGAGAATGCTGCCAGCCAGCCTTCATGACGGGTTCATGGGTACTCGTTCAACGAGCCTAAATACTTGCACTTCTCTATGTAGTCTTCTCGGCAGATTTCTGAGGTGTAGAAAATATGCTGCAAGCCCAGGTGCTCCATTAGCTGTCAGGCTTACCGGTGCATTTCGACGGGTGTCCTGCTCCTTGGAACCGTGCGCTTGTGCATCAGGCATTTGAAGTTAGCTTGTCTAACATGACACTGGGTGATGGCCTATACATCTGTCGTGGATTCCTAGGCCGCCAGCCCAAAAGATTTACACTCTAAACTCACTGTGCTGATTACGGTATTGGAGCCCGGATCTAACGTCCCCGGACTCTCGGCTAAACCTGGATGTCATGGATGTCATCTCGAATTGCACCTGGAGTGCGCAGGAGTCACCAAAAATACACTATCACCCCGCAGCTGGTGTCCTTTGCCTTGCCTTTGGTTATTAGGGAATGGAAGAATGGTAGTAATAGTAGCTATAATTGTACCCCATTCCTCCATTCCCTACTAACCCAAGGCAAGTTATCGGATTAGATAATGGCCCCTATATTACAGTACCCTTATAGATCCCTTATAGTAAGCCTTGTAGACCCCTTTCTACGGCCCCTTGCCTTGCCCTACTGACCCAAGGTAAGTTACTATTTGGCGTTGATTTTTCAGTCCCACACTGGGAAGGCCGGAAAGTGTCAGACGAGATCAAGTCCTTCGACGACCCAGCCTCAGCTTAAAGGATCATGGGACTTAGTATAAGGTTATAAAGAAGGTAACTATACTTAAAATTACTTGAACTCAATTAGGGGACTTATAACCTTGCTTACTAAGTCCCCTGATCCTCCGAGAGGGGAGGAACTGTCAATTCAGCCCGGCCACATGGGCTTAGATTTCAGAGCCAACTCATGTGATTGCATGTACCATCGTCAGGATGAGGGCGGAACTTTGATGAACCCGAAAGTGCCCCTTGGCATGGATGTCCTGTTCGGCATCTGCGAGGTTTCTGAAGATTTCTGTACTAACATAAATGCTTGAGTAATTCGTAACAGTATTCTGTCGCTCTACTCCCACGATATATACCCTGCACTGATATAGTGCTCTAGGATACTCAGGCGCCTAGATTGCAGGATATGGGTTGCAGGAGTCGAAGCAGGGCTGCTCGAGAATGACTTGTGCGCTTGTCTGCTGAGGTGTTGTCGTCATCGTCAGCTTTTTAGGGCTTGGGAGTTTAGGATTTAGGGTCTAGGCCATTACTACCGTGACGTGTGATGGCCTTTCATGACCTTTCTGCCTCATGCTAGTTTTGCAAAGCTGGAAAGTCAAAGCTGCATCAGTTCCCTTTACCCTATCTTGTGCTCCATTCGACAATCGGAACAACGGCTGTCAGCAAGAAGATGTTCAAACCCCTTTTATATAAACCCTAAACTTCTCCCCTGGTCTGCTTCCAGCCCAGGAAAGAGTTCAGTCGCCAAGACGGGCCCCTGTTTGCAGCGGGCGTCTCGCGTCAGCACATCCTTCTTTTTGTAGGAACGATGATAGGGTCAACAGGAATTGTACTTGGAGGATCAAGGGGCTTAGCAAGTAAGGCTACAAATACCCTAATTGAGGCATAAGTATTTGTACGTATACTTAGCCGATTTATAACCCTAGTTACTAGGTTCCACAATCCTTGAAGCACTGCTCATTAATCCAATGACATGGCAGCGACGTCTCATGGCCATGTTGCTCATAGTATTACCCGGAGTGCCGGTGCTGTTCGCTTGCGGCCTACGGCAGTACATGATGTTTGTTTCTTCCGAACCCTTACTAAAGGGGCCTGAATAGATACCTGTACTATTTTGGGGGCTCTTTATGATATTACAGTAGAATATGCTCCAAAGCCCTATTCTACTTATGTGCATCCTATCCTTAAGCACCCTAAACTCTTATTGATCCCTTGAAGGGACCCTTACGAGGAACCTTTAAAGGATAGTTCTTAAGCTTTAAGCTGTCATCGAAGGTCCGTCCAGGATGGATTCTCTCCCTGGAGGATACTTTCTCCGATGATTCCTGGCAGTGTTGGTGACACAGGGTTTGGGCGTTTAGGGTTTAGGCGTTTGGGGTTTAGGGTTTTTGAGGGTTTTGGGTTATAGGGTGTAGCGCGGTTTAACTTGTTAGTTGGGTTTATTGGTTTTTCTTCTCAAAGCGTCTGTTGGAATGTGTTCAGAGCTGAAGGGCAACACATCTTGGGGCCATGGAACTCCCCAAAGGGTCCTAGGTACTGTTATGGGGGATACTTTCCTAAATCGTATGTAATAGTAATTCCTCATACAGAAACCCTACATTCTACCATAAACCCTAAACCCTAAACCCTCGACAACCGAGCATCTCAGCTTCGCGCTTCGGCTCGGGATTCGGGTGCCGAAAGATCCCGGGAACCTGAGACTTTGGTGTTTACCCAGAAACTCCAATATCCCTTAATTAAGGAATATTCCTTAAATCATATGAGGGATCCTACTATTTAAGGCATATCCCTTAATTAAGGAATATTCCTTAAGTCATATTAGGGATCCTACTATTTAAGGCATAGTCCTTAATTAGAGGGTATTGGAGTCTCTGGGTAGGGCTTACCTTAACTCTGAACAACCTACCTTTTTAGGGTTCCTTATTATGATTTCCTTATATAAGTTCCTAAAAAGGCAGGTTCTTATTATGATTTCCTTATATAAGTCCTTAAAATGTAGGGTTTTGGGGTTATAGGCGGAATGTCGCCCAGAGAGTGCGGTACAATACAGTTTTGGGTTGCGGATCTGGGCTGCGTACGAGACTTCGAGCAATGTCCAGTTTCTTTTGGGTAGTTGTTAAAATTAAGGTACCTTTTTGGGGTACCCTAAATAATAGGTGCCGTATTATAATAAGGACCCAAAAAGGGACCCTAATTTTGACAACCACCGTTTTCACTGTGACCCCTCCACTGTTCTGCCTTTTGCATCCCTTTTTTCACAGCCGGTTCAAGGTTGCATGATACCTCTACATGACACTCTGGGCTTACTAAGTACTGGAACCTCCCTGCTTTGGAAAACCACAATGGCCCGAATTCGGGTTTCGGAATAATCACGTACAGCATTCTTTAGGGTTTCTCAATACCGTCGTAAAAGTCTACTGAGGGTTTCTCGGCAGGTCTGGCGCTAAGTCATCAAGGCACTCTCTCCAACACCGTACTCGTAATACAGGGGCCTTGCTAGTCATTTTGGGGGTTCTTCATTATAATTATGAGCCCCAAAACCCTATTCTAATTAGTTATGTAGGTCCCCTATAGTGCTGTCTGCCTAAAGCCTTGATTTGGACCTCGAACCTCAAAACGCCAGTATTTGCGTTCGCCATGCCAACACCGAAACTTCAAGAATGCCCAAGAGCCTGTGGAACCGTCCGAGGCAGGAACGCAAGCTTTAATTTGTGGTACGCAGGATTTCAGGTTCTCTGTGCTTTGGACTCAAAGCACCACCATAAATCCCGAAGCCCTATCTAAACCTTGCGAGCGCTACACCCCAATTCCTTCAAGCCTGAACTCGAAAGCCCCTAAACCCTTAAAGCCCTGAAGCCCTAATCCCTGAACCCCTAAACCCCTAAAGCCCTCAAACCCCTAAAGCCCTAAACCTAACTTTCAGTTGTACACGGGCCATCTGAGGACAACCCGGACAAGAAGCCTGATCTCTCCAAGGATGCTTGTGCTCAGGTTTAGTGTTTTGAGGGTGTAGGTTAAGGTTTTCGAGTGCTGCATCGTGCAATCTAGTCTTTACGGCCTTGGGTTTGAGGTTTAAGATTTCGGATTTAGTTTACAGTTTGGGCTATAGGGCTTCGGATCGAGAGCTTGGCTTGGGATGCATAGGGCCTAGTAGTACGTGGGGTCTGGATTTTTTTCAATTTGGGGTGCAGGGTGTGTTTAGGGTTCTAGGTTTGGACCTCTGCATGCGTCATGGAAGATGCTCAAGCCCCCAATCAAAAGCATAAGCCCCTAAACGCCTAAACATCGGAATGCCTAAACCCTAAACCCCAAACCCTAGACCCTAAACCCCTAAACCCTAAACCCCAACCCCATACCCTGCACCGCGTCAAAGCCCAGGAAGACGTGCAGAGTGATCCTTCGAAGGTTCTTGACCTCGAGATGCTCGGCTAGATGCAAGGGGGTTCAAAAACAGTGCATGCTAATACAGATGTGTGTTTATGTGATACTAGTATATAGAGACGCATATGTATTATATATAAATATATAGTGTCTACATTTTTTGTACATATGACATATAACTGCAGAGGAGTACATATTTGTTGTTGTGTTGTGTCGGGATTGCAGTCTGCTGCCTTAGGACAAATTGCTTGCAACCATAATTTCTTGCCAGCATCGGGTTGTTAGGATTTGGGGATTTGGGTTTAGAGTGTGCGTTCTGCGGTGCTTGGTGAAGATACAGTAATATGCATGAGGCCTTACCGTACGCCCGAAGCATGCGGATCCTTACTTCGCAAACATCCGGAAGGATGAAGAACGACTTGAAGTAACCGCCAACCATGTCAGACGAAGATCACCAAACTCCAAGCCTACGTGGTTCATATACGCCAAACCCTATTCCAATTATTGAGGCCCCAAACGGCCTTTCTTGCTGAGAACCCACGGCCCATACTCATACTCCAGGAATGTCACGCTCGTCTTCGAGTGTGAGGAGCATGGGGCCGTGCTTTCCGATAGTCTCCATTGTAGTTCCTTTTTTTGGTTGACCACTTCTATGGTCAGGATCCTATTCTAGAGATTTTGGTTAACCAAAACAAGGAACTGCAATGGAGACTATAGACTATAGGTAGGGTTCTGCAATGTCGATTGGGGCTCGGATACCCCCTAACCCTAACACACCTTGTAGGTCTACTGTCTCCGGGAAGGCAGGACAACCGCACAAGTTTGATGCGGCAAAAGCACAACAGCTGGAATGCCAATACGTGTTCAGAATGCCAGTGCGATTCAGTACTATATTGCAATGCTTGGAAATTCCGGAGTGGGTCTGACAGTGTTGCACACGGACATCAGCAATACCAGCGCAACAAGCTTCATGCATTGATGCCAATATGAACACTCATTCAAAGAGATGAGCAGATAGGATAAAGTAGAGTACATGTAAGGCTGCAAGGATGTTGCTGGTGTCACGCCATGCGTCCCACAGTCATGGAAGGCCATAAGTGCTACGTCGAAAGTTTGCGTTTGTCTTGAAGTCCCGCAAAGCCTAGCCCAGAGCCCTGACGCCTTTGAAGGGGCCAGGAGCTGTGAGGTACTCTTGACTTACATTACCCCCAAACCCCAAACCCCCAGCCCCTAAACCCCAAACCAGAAGCCTTAAACCCAAACCCTCCGCACAGATCCTACCTAGAGTCTAGAGTCTCTATTATAGTTCTTTCTTTTTAGTGTTGGGTTCCTATGATAGATATTCTCGTTAAGCAAAACAAGGAACTACAGTGCAGACACAGGTACATCCTAGACCTGAAACCCTGAACTCTAAACCCCAGACTCCCCCAAAAACCCTTCTAAGAAACCCTCCAAGGAACCCTTAAGCAGCCCTTTTAAGAAGCCCTTTTAAGGAACGATAAGTAAGGCCTCAATGCCAATACCCCTAAACCCTAAACCCTAAAGCCTAAACCTCACAGCCCGAACCTGCAAAAAAGTAGGGTCTCTATAAATTCCATATTAGGGTTTATAATAAGAACCTACAAAAAGGTAGGGTTTGGTAGGTCAAGGTAGCAATACACGAAAACGAAGCGGAGGATGCTGAGCCCATTGAGCGCGGCCAGTTCTATGGGGAGGGTTCGTCTTCCGTCTCGGCTTAGAGTTTGGGTTTAGGGTTCTTAGGTTTCCGTTAAAGGAAACTGTAAGAGTTCCTTGGAGTTTGGGAGGGTTTGGGGGGTTTAGTAATGTAGGGCTCTAGGGGTTTTGGGTTCTGAGGGTTTTGGTAATGTAGGCCATTGAGGGTCTGGGGTTTAGGGCTTGGCTTTTAGGGTTTGGGGTTTAGGGTTTGGCGTTTAGAGTTTGGGCAGGTTTGGGGTTTAGGGTTTAGGGAGTTTGGTAATCAGGGCCTGGCGGGGATTTCCGGAAATCTAGATAAGATGTTCTCGGGGTTACGGACAGGGTTGCCGCACGGTCGTAATAAGGGTTGCAGTAGGGTTGCACAACTTCAATCAAACACGCCGTCTAATATCATGTGCTTCGATACATGGCATGGTTGCTTAAGTCGTGCGGCCTTGTATTATTCACCCACTTGCCAGCACTAGCAGCGCTGCACAATCACCCATATGGAGCCAGTGACAGCTGTATTTGTTGCTGTGGCAGCAGCCGTCCTTCACCCCTAAACCCTAAACCCTTAACCCCTAAAAAACAAAAAGCCTTGAACCCCCCTCCCCAAAACCCTAAGCCCCTACAGCGCTGAATTACTGAACCCCTAACCTCAAAACACAAAACCCTAAAACCCTAAACCCTGACAGCCCTAAGTTGACAAACCCCTAAAGCCCCTAAACCCCTGGAGCCCTAAATTACTAAACCCTGAACATCCTCAAAATCCAAAGCCTTCAAAATCTAGACCCTCAAATATCTTAACCATCAAAACCTGAACCCTAAAATCCCACTTGCCAAGTAAAGCAAATTGCTAAACCCTCAAAAACCCCCTGATGCCGTACGATTCTCAAAACTGTAAATACCCAAACCCTAAACGCCGGAATCCTTAAACCCTCGAAACCCTAAGCCCTAACACCCAAAACCCCCAAAACGCAAAACCTTCAGAATCCTCTAGATCCCTGCTTCGAGGAACCCTGCAGGGATCCCATAAAGGATTTTTGTAAAAGGAACCCTTAAAGGAACCCGCAAAGGTACCAGTACCAGAGCCTGGAGTTGGAAGAGAACATCTGCACGGTACGCCCGGGGTGAGCGGATAACCTCAGGCTTTGGGGTTTAGGGCTTTGGGGGTGGGGTTGGGGTTTCAGGTTTTTTCGGGTTTTTAGGGTCAAGGGGTTGAGGGTGTAGGGTTAAGGGTTTAGTTTAGGGCTTCAGGGCTTGGCATTGAGGGTTTAGGGTTTTAGTGCTTTAGGGCTGTAGGGGTTTAGGGGTTTAGGGGTCTCCGGCCTCCTATCAGGGGTCCTTTGAAAGAGTTCCTGTAAAGGGTACTGTAGGGTCCTTTAAAAAGGGTTCCTTTGAAAGGTACTATAGGGCTCTACGTCTTCGACTGTTTCGTAGTTTCGGCATTTCAAGTTTGGTGAAGGTCTTAGGCTGTCGGGCATTTCGGGCTCCCGCTCCCTGTGGCTCTGTTTGGCTCTCTGTCGTTCTCTTTGTCTCTCTCTCTCTCTCTCTCTCTGTCTCGCTCTCTCTCTCCCTCTCTCTCTCTCTCTCTCTCTCTGCTTGTCTCCCTTGTTTAAGCACCCAGTATCCGTGTAATGGTGTATATACAAAGCTGTACTGTAATTACCAGTGGGAGCTGGGGGCCACATTAGCTACTGTGGCCTTGGGGCTATGTTTCTAAGTCCGCTGCCTCGGGTTTACCAGGGTTGGCGGTTTAGCGAGTGTAGGCAGTGACCAGGATCCTAGGTGTGGGCTCTGTCGGCTTGTCCGTCCTGCAAGATCTTCGCGGGTTCCGAGGTCTTCGGACCCAGCAACAACTGATCTTCGCACGACAGAACAAGAGAATGAGTGTTCAGGAGAAGCAGGCTTGAACAGGTCAATGACGACGACGGTCACAGTACTAATCGACATGGTAATGGTGATGCAGGACGATGATGGTGATGAGGACAGTGAAGTCGTTGGTGGTGCTGGTGATGAAGAAGAAGATGCTGATGATGAAGAACAAGGTGATGATGCTGCTGGTTGGTGGTGGCGGCGGCAGCGATGACGCTGCCTTTTTGTGCGAACATGGTGTTGTTTCCAAGCTGCTGTTGCTGGTGTTCGTGATCGTTTAGTTCATGATCGCTGCTGTTAATGCTGTTGCTGCTGCTGCTGCTGCTGCTGCTGCTGCTGCTGCTGCTGCTGCTGGTGCCGGCGCTGCTGCTGCTCTATCTGCTCCTGCTGCTTCTCTGCTGCTATTGCCTATTGTTACTGATCCTTCTCAGATCGCTAGAGTCAGAAACATTTGTTGAGAAAAACATGATGGCATGATTTCAACTCGCCAGCCACCATGTCTATCGTGCGCGGCATTTTAGGTGACTAGCAGCTCTGAAAGATCAGATATAGGATTGCCACGCATGATGGGTTACCTGCAGGCCTCGACCCAGGGTTGATATGGGAGTTTCCGAAAATGGGGGTACTCTTATTTTGGGGTCCTTATAGTAGGAAGCCTACTATTTAGGGTAATTACTATATTAGGGCCCCTTATTTTCGGAAACTCCCATATGGTGTTTCCGGCAGCCCTGAGAAGTTGTGCAGCCAGGTGTCTTGGGAGACGGATGGTGATGGTGGTGGCTACTCGGCTCCTGAGGGGCTCCAGCGCAAGATGGGGAGATTGCAGTCTTCGGGTTGTATGGCACCCTAAACCCTAAACCCCTAAACCCGAAGCCCTCTCCGATGAATCTTGAAGCCTCTCATCCTGCTTCCTTTTAAGGCCTGTTGTTTCAACTAGGCTCGCATGATGACGTTTGGGTTTGGCCGCTGCTGCTGTGCATCCAGAGATGCAGCATGTGTCTCTAGCTTGAGTCAGAGTCGCAGTTATTAACCCACTGTGTTGCCACCAATTAGAGCTGCTCACCGTGAATTTCCGTAGAGAAGTGCTGCTGCTGACGCCATTCTTGGCATTGTCCTCGTGGATATTTTTTGCTACTGCTATGGACAAGGGTATCGGTATCGGCAGTGTCATTTTTGCTTTTGCCGCATTTTTGTCCATTGCTCTAGCATGAAGCAAGTGTAACCGTAACGCTGAATAACCTACCTTGTTCGGGTTCCTTATCATGAGTTCCTTATATAAGTCCTTACAAAGGTAGGTTATTCGGGGTTAAGGAAGAAAGAAGTCAAGACAGGCACGAGGTTTCAATCCTCAACACCAAACTCTCAACCCTGAAAGCCCCAAAGCCCTTGTTACGCTACTGTTCAGCTTAAACCCCTAAGCCCTGATCCCAAAACCCTAGGTCCCCCAAGCCCCGAGTCCGTAAGCCGCAGATCCCCAGGCCCTACTCACCCAACAAGAGACTTAAACGAAAAAGGCCCATCTTCGACGTGAAGGCTTGCCGGCCAGCTCTAAGCCCTAAAGCACCACTCAAACAAAAAACAACCCTAAACCCAAAGACTGCACTCAAAAGAAAGCAACCTAAACTAACAGCCCTAACCCCCCAAAAAAACAAGAAAACCAATGCAAGCAACATTTAAAAGCATCCGAAGACACGCCCTAAACGAAACCGCTCCCCGAACCCAAGAGACGAATCTCAACATCTTCAACCCTGAATCCCTAGAGCCCTGACACAGGGGGCCTCAATAAGTAGAATAGGGTTCCTTTAAAGGCATCCTGGAAAGGTTTGTAAGGGCTCTATAATAGGGTTCTATAGTAGGGGCCTCAATAAGTAGAATAGGGGTTCGGGGCATATTATACTATACTTATAGATAGGAACCTTCCAAGGGGCCTTAATGATTAGCATAGGGTTTGGGTGTATATGATACTGCAGTTATAGATAGGAACCTTCTACAGCGGTTCTGCGGCGCAGCGGACAGAAGTCTGGTGCGAATGACTTGTGCATCCGTGCAATCCTCAGCTTAGCTGCTTAGCTTTGACCTGATCGATTAACTGAGCTTTGTGATAATTCCATCTATACGAGTAGGGTTTCGGAGTACATAATCCTATAAAAGATAATGAGGGGCGCTAAGAAATATTATTGCTACTGATTTAAGCCCTTTACTCAAAGGATCATGGAAACTATAGTAACTAGAGTCAAATATCAGGCAACTATACTTGTAAATACGTACTTATAACTTATAACCTTACTTACCAAGTCCCCTGATCCTCCAAGAAGACCCGAAACCCTATAGATCCCTGTCAGGAACCCGATAGATCCCTTTAAGGAGCCCTATAGATCCCTTTAAGGTAGTAGCTCTGAAGGCTCGCCGGAGCGTCGCTGGGGCATCCTGGCGCTGATTGTGCCATCCGATTCCGAGCCGAAGGCTGGTGCGATAACATCGGGCCGTAGGGCGTATAGGGCTTACCTTAACCCTGAAGAACCTACCTTTTTAGGGTTCCTTATTATGATTTACTTATATACGTCCTTAAAAAGGGTAGGGTTTTAGGGGTTTTACGGCTAAGGGGGACTTTCGCGCGATCTAACTTCGGGTTTAGGGATTATCGGGCTTAGAGCCCTAATACCCGTATAATGTAGTCCCAAACTAAACCCTAAACCCTAAACCCTAAACCCTATTCTGACTAGTAAGGCCCCTACATTAGCATGGGGTGCTTGACACGGGTTGCTGTAGGCGCTCCTTTGGAGGGTGCCTTTATGGGTTCCTTGAAGGGCTCCGCTTAAGGGTTCTTTCGTGGGCTTGGGGCTGAGGGTTGAAAGTTTAGGGGTCCTTGTAAGGTTACCTTTGAGGGTCAAGACGATAAGGGATCCAACAAGGCTAACAGGGTATGGGGTGCAGGGAGGGACCTATGTAATATGTGGTTGTGTTCCCGGGATGCTTTCAACGGTTCCATAAGGGTGCATTGTGCACGGCTTAGGGTTTAGGGTGCACTCTACTTTAGTAAACTATTCCGTCGGGTTCCGCATTATGTTGGTAGCATGGTATTCCTTGCACCATATTAAAACTTATCAGGGCCTCCGTTGCTACTTGGGGATAGGGTGTCGGGGGTTGCGGTTCGGGGATGATGGTAGGGTTGAGGCTTGCTTGCATGCGTACACCCATGCATGCCAGCATGCATGCTACAGAGTATGTATGTATGTCTGTATTTCTGTCCGGCTGTCTGTCTGTATGAATGAATGTATGTATGCAACTTCCTGCACATGCACATGTACGGTGTGCATATACTTATTAATAACGTGTGCGATTTGACAGGAGACAGCGGCTGCCAGAACTCCGCACAACCACCCCACTATTGCATCAAGGCTTGCAACAAAAACACCGGCCCCCCTCCCCGGGTTCAAACCTTAAACCCGAAACTCTTAAGCTCCAAACCGAATGCGACCCCGAGCCCGGACCAGGTCGAGGGCCCTGCAAGGCCAGTTCTGCCGGGAATTCGGGCACGCCCAAAAACCCCCGAGCCCCTACGGGAGATTAACTGTCTGGTTCTTAGTAGGGAATGGAGGAATGGATTATGAAGAAGACCACTAGTGGGGATTATATAGGGACTACCATAGGGATCCATTCCCCCATTCCCGGCAGGAAACCTCCAAACTTCTGAAACCACAAAGCCTTCACCCTCACCGTCGGATTCTGCACCTCCCCGAGCCCTGGAGGGGCTGGATTTTATTTTCGGTCGGGTTTACGATGTACGGTTCTCTAGTTGGGGTATCTGAGTGAAGTCTGAATATTTACCAAGACTTCCCTGAGCCCCAAAACCCTCTTCTTATTCTGAAGGCTTCGTTTCCTGAGATTTGGTTTAGAGCCGGTTTACGATGCTTGGGGGGACGTAGGGCTCCATTAGGGGCTCCCAGCGGGCCACCTTTCCTCGAAAGGGTTCAGAAGGGTTCAAAGGGTTTAGAGGGTTTAGGGTTCAATTGAAAGTTTAGCTAGGTTCCTTCCAGAACTATATACTTACAAAACGTACCCAATACTAAAAAGGGAGCCCGTTCTATGGCAAGTAGATCTGTTATCGTAATTAACCTTGAATGGAACCCGAGAATTATCCTAGGTTGCATTCTGGGGTTTATTGGTTTCCGGCTTGGCTTAGCAGAGCAGCGAATTTTCAGTCAGGCAAGGCTTGGCTGAAGCCTGCGCACGGGGAGAAGCAAAGTCCAACCAACACCCTCAATTGGGGTTTCCACGGCGGTAAAGTTTCAAGTTGCAGGGCTTTCACAGTTTCCAGGTAGTGTTTGGATAGGATTCGGGTACTAATGTCGCCCCGTACATTTTTCTTTGCCCTAAGCCCGGTAAACCCGAATCCCTCGGCCCTCACCTGCTGAGCTAAACCACAGCTCTCATGCGCAAGGTGGCGATTCGAGCAAAGTGCCTTGGAGCTGGTTTCTTCCCTGGTTGTAGAGTAAGTAACCTTTAACCTGTTTTGGGTAGTATAGTCCCTATATAATCCCTATATAACGGAAAAATTAAGTTTTAGTTCCCCATGATACCCGACAAGTAGGCTTCTTGTATGCCGAGATGTCCATGTACCCCATCAGTATATACCCGGGCCTTACAGTACCTAAAGAGGGACTGCACTAGGGCCACAGGATATACAACTGACAACATGCATGCATGGACCCTCCGGGTATCAGGTCCGAGAGATTCAGGCTTCAAGAGTGCGGCGTTTAGGGTATCGGATGTCTGTCAGCTCGCAGGCTTGAATAGGGTGTTCTTCATTGCGGCAGTTTAGACTAGGGCCCTCAATTTCAGCTGGTTTTTGCTTTCAACCGGCGTCTATATACAGATATCAAGATTGAAAATCCGAAGCGCCCAAGCCGTGCTCGCTCCGTATCTGCATACTTCACCCTCAACATCCGGATTCGTTGCAGTATCCGGAAGCCCATATCCTGAATCCTCGGGCCTAGTCCAGACATTTTGGGGTTTAGGATTAGGGTTGTCAGATTCCAAAGCCTCAAAGCCCATGCTGAAACTACACCCAGAATCCCAAAGGCCCGAATGAAAGCCTCGATCGACAGGGGAGTATCCGAAAATTCGTGGTATTTTCTTTTGAGGAGGGGGGGGTGCTTTTTTACTTAAGAGTCCTACTGTCCAGGATATTTTCGTTAGGGTCCCCTATTTTCGGAAACTCTCACATGGCCATCAAAGGTTTCTACTTTGTAGACTCGCATCTACTAGGTCCCAGTGGATCCCTCCAGTTACTCCAGCGTAATTTTTTTTTCTGCTCTTCGGCGGCTCCCTGTTGAAGTCAAGTGTAACAAAACGGGCTCACCCAGTCCTGAATGTCCCCACGGCCATGTGCTCGACTCTAGACCGTAGACCCCGGTAGACCAGCCACCCCAAGCACTGAAGTCTACAAAGCCCCCAAGCCCCTGTGCCTAAAGCCTAAAATCCTGACTTTCCTGCAATTCGGGGCTTCAAGATGGTCCTAAACTTCCTAAACTAAACCCTGAACCCTAAAACCCTGAACCCTAAACCCTGAACCCTAAGACCCTGAAACCTAAGCCCTGAACCCTAAATCCCTAAACCCCACAACCCAGCCCTGAACTCTAAACCCTAAATCTTCCGCACCCCGAGCCTGAACCAAGCTTACGACTCCGTGCGGATCCTCTCCGCGATCGAGCCTGTGTCTTGCCTGCCGGTTTAGGGGTTTGGGATGTAGGGACCTCGGGATTTAGGGTTTTGGGGTTTAGTGTTTCGGGTCTAGGGTTTAGGGTTTATGTGGGATGAATTAGGGTTTTGAGATGTCGGGGCCTAGGGATTTAGGATTTACGGTTTAGGGACCTAGGGATTTAGGATTTTACGGTTTAGGGTTTGGGGATTTTAGGGTTTAGGGTTTTGGGATGTAGGGACCTATAGGGATTTTTGGTTTTTGGGGTTTAGGGTTTCGGGTTTAGGGTTTATGTGGGATGAATTAGCGGTGGGGTGTGGGGGTTTGGGATGGTGTCTAGGGGCCAGGGGCCGTACAACCCGTAAACCCTAACCTTAACCCATGCTGCCCTTTCAGTTGGCGTTTCGGGGGCTTCCTTCGCCCAGGGCTGTCCCTGGCAGTGGAGGATATTTTGTTAGCTGCGATTTGTCGTCTTGATAGGATTATATGAGGGTTCAGGGTTCTTTAAGGGTTTTGCAAGGGGCTGTAGGATTGCAGAAGGGGTTTATAAGGTTTTTTCGTTAGTTATACGGGCTATAGGATTTTATGAGGGGTATCGGTGTGTGTTGTGTTTGTTTTCAAGGCTATTCCTTTCAATTAACCGAGTTGCCAGGCCCAAATGTAGATGCAGCTTACAGCCGTTCATTCTCATGAAGCAGTTCAATTACCATTGCAGCAGAACATATCTTGTATGATTCATGGAATACTTGGATCCTCAATAGTCTATCCTCTTCAGGGCTTGAAATTAAAGTATCACAAGGAAATCAGAATAAGGAGCCCCAGCAAAGTAGGTTTTTTAGGGGTTGAGGTATTGTTTATTGAGGATGTGATGGAGTCTCTGAGAAGTCTTGCAGGAGTTCTCCATGTTGTGTCCTAGCAGTCAGACATGAATCGCGCTGAGATCCCAGCGGAAGTGCATGGACAAACAACCCGAAACGGCGTCGAACACCTTCACCATGCGAAGTTTGCTGATTCGGTTTATTGTTGAGGTTTAGGGTCAGCGTCCCACACCCTGCTTGATCCCTTCCTTCCCTGAACCTGATCAGCAGACGGCTTAACCTAACTAACTATTAGGCTGGTGATGAGGACTGTTTGGCCCGTCTCGTCGAGACTGATAGTAGACACAGTCCTGTCTCTACTCTTTCATTTTTTCTTAGTGCGTTTCTGCTAAGAAGAACCCCAAACCTGCGTACTAGAAACCGTGACCCCCCAAACTGTAATACAAACACAAAACCCCTTTGCCAAAACCCCAAAACCCTGAAATCTCAAACCATAAGTCCTCAAACCGTTTAAACCCTGAAGCCTAAACCCTCAACAAACCATAAGCCCACAACTGTCTGGTTCTTAGTAGGATAATAGGCTCCATAATCCATTCCCCCATTCCCTACTAAGAACCAGACTTAGTACGCATAATATAGTACCCCTTATAGTTGTCCTTATAGACCCCTTTAAAGAAAACCCCACAGCTATTGCTGGCCCAGGCCTCTAAAGCTTCTTATGGAGCACCAAACCCCGAAGGGGTTTAAGGGCTTTAGGGTTTTAGGGTTTTGGGGTTACGGGTTTGAGGGTTTTAGGGTGTAGGGTTTAGGGCTTTTGATGTTCAAGGCTTAGGGTGGTCAAAAATGCTAGGAACAAGAAGTGTACAGCGATACTTGTTTTCATGAGGCTGTAGGGGTAGTAGCAATAGCAACAAGAATAACACAGTAATGCTTAAGACTGATAATACTCACAATTATTATGCAACCTGTAACCTCACAAGATCAAAAATACAATAATGCTTATGATGAGTATACTCATCGTCGTCACTTCACGCCCTAAGGCCTTCAAGTACGTCGTCCTCTGGGAAGAGGATTACACTTTCGAGCAGTCGCAGGACCCCCGAAAGACGGATTGCATGGAGGTTTTCATGGTTTGGGTTTTGTGCATATCTCCCTAAACCCTGAACACTAAACCCTAAACCCGAGGTACCAGTAGGTGATATGGGGTGTGGGTGCTTCGGGTGATGGTGGGTTACATAACATAGGGCTTCGGGTCATGAGACTTTTGACGGATATAGGGCGCCTGGACCTTCACCGCTACACGCCTCCACACCTCACCCGCAACCGCGTAAGCCATAAACCTTCAAATCTATCAGCCGAAACCCGACAATCCGAATCCTGAAAAACCCTCAACCCGGTGATCGCTAAGCCATCTTATGAAACGCTTACATACTTAAATGAAAGTCTCCTAGAAACCTTATAATTAGAACAATTACAGAAAGCCTTGTTAAAGGACTCCGCCTCGACCCTTCTCCCTTGCAGTCCCTAAGGCCTGCATGCATATGTAGCATGCCAAAAATCTCCAGCCCAATTATCGCAAGGGCCCCTACACCAAGCCCTTGTTGGAACCCTCGGAATTTATGAACCACGATTCATTCTCGTACCTTAAATGTTAACCCCGAACCCTAAACCCCAATAAAACCTAAATCCCAATTGCTCCAGTGGCCCCCTCTTGCCAGGACGAGGGCTTCGCCGACTTTGAGAAAGCGAAGGAGAAGTACGACTGGGCGGTAAGCCAGGGGCACCTGGGAGTTGTTTTAACAAAGAGCGTGGAAGCAACGGATGTTGGTTGGAAGGTTTGGGGCTTCGGGATTTCAGGTGTTTAGGGCTTAGGGTTCAGGGTTTAGGGTCCTCTCTCTCTCTCTCTCTCTCTCTCTCTCTCTCTCTCAATGCTAAACCTTAAACCCCTAAACCCTAGAAGCAACGGGATATTTAGGTTTGAGGGTGGTTAAGGCTTCTGGCTTTGAGGATGTCCAGGGCTTAGGGTGTTTAGGGTGCTACGGTTGATGGTATAAATCCTGCATTACTCTAATGACCCTCATTTATGGGAGTTATGGTATATTCCTCATTATGGGTAATGCAGGAATTATCTCATCAACTGTAGGGCTTCGAGTTTTGGGGTGTTTAGGGTTGTAGTGTCTAGAGTTTGTAAGTCTTGCGTGTGCGTTCTGCTTCTGCTCGGTGAGACGTGTTTTCCCGATCCCTAAACCCTAAACCCTCAACCCCTAAACCCTAAAACCCTAAAACCCTAAACCCTAAACCCCTAAAGCCTAAACTCTAAACCGTGTATGGACTTTGAAGATCACGGCCTCAGTTCACACCGATCTGGGCACGAATTTGGGGTTCAGGTCTGGGATCAGGATCCGTCTTTGCGTTCCAGGTGCAACTACGTAGGGGTACTTAGAAATATCTTTTAGTTTTTTTATAATCCCTAAGAAACAGCTAAAATTACAATCTTTGCTAGGGTTCTAAGTTCAGTATAGACTGGGGTCTTGGGCATTTGGGTCGAAGATTCAGGATTTAGGGTTAAGGGTATAGGATTTCGGGTTTAGGGGAAGTGTAGGGCAGTTTAAGGTTTTGGGTGGACCTTGGCCATTTTAGCAGGTTCTATTGGTGTCGTTTCTGGTGCTGCTTCAAGTTAAGGAATACGTTCCAATTCTTACTAGGGATCCAATTAAACTTCAATTAACGTATTTTCCTTAATGAAGGCGCTTGGAGTCTCTGGATACTGCTAGTGAGTGTCATCGTAGCTATCGGCATTCCTTGCTGGTGTTGTCAGCATGCGAGTTTTTCTTTGTTGGGCTTTGGAGTCGTTGTACCAGAGAACCGAGTCCCTGGCTTCAAGCCAAAACTCCAAAAGCTCAGACTTATACCGGAGCCCGACACCCGAAAGGCCCGATATCCTAAACCGCTAAACCCCTTAGCCCCAGACCCTAAACCCTGTAAGCCCGAACCCTGACCTGTACTATAATAAGGTCGATAATTCAAAAACGATAATCGCAGCACGAATGTGACCAAGAAAAAGTAACGCTAGTGACAAAGATACCGGAAATCGAAACCTTGACTTAGGTACTCTTGCATCTTGGTGGAAGGGCACTTCAAAGACTCTTGGCCGACTGTAGTCTGTCCGGGATAACGGATTTCGGTGCAGGGCTTTCGGGGTTTACTATAGGTGCATTTGTAATTGCCCATACTATTCTGGGGGGGTCCTTATTGTATTTCTAGTAAAATCTACTCCAAAATCCTATTCTAATTATTGAAGCCCCTACAGTAGTGCTTAGTTGTTCGGGTGCAATATATAGAAGCCTGTTAGAATGTTTACCAACATTATTCCGCAGGGTTCCTTATGATAATATATTATAGTATACCCCCAAATCCTATTTCATTTATTAAGCCCCCCCCCCCCCCCGCCTATTTCAGGCCTTGGTTTAGGACCCGAAGATCAAAGCTGTTCGGGTCTTGCATCAGACTGTCTGATTCTTAGTAGGGACTGGGCCCCTTCAAAGGGGTCTCTCAGGACTGCCATCAGGGCTACTATAAGGGCTACTATGTGGGTACTAGACTGTCTGGTTCTTAGTAGGGAATGGGAGAATGGATTATGGAGACGATTATTGGGGATTATATAGGGAATACTATATGTAGGGTATGTAACTATTGGGGATCATATAGGGAATACTATACGTAGGGTATATAATTATTGGGGATTATATAGGGACTATTACAGGGATCCGTCCGCCCATTCCCTACTTGGAGGATCAGGGGACTTACTAAGTATGGTTATGAGTACCCTAATTGGGGTTACAAGTAGTTATAAGTATAGTTGCCTTATTTATAACCCTAATTACTAACTCCCATGATCCTTTAAGTACAAGCACCAGACAGCAGAAGCCGCGGATCGGCGACTCGTAGTCTTTCAAGGCCAAGGGTCCTCCCCGGATGTCAAAAGGGGTTTTACTTGAAGGCTCATGAGACTTAGTGAGTTGGGTTTAGGATTCCTTTTAAGGGTAGTATAGGGTTCTGTAATAGAGTTCCCTTTAAGGGTTTAGAGTCTACTAAAGGCTCATGGGACTTAGTAAGTAAGGTTATAAGTAGGTTATAATTAGGATAACCCCACTTAGGGGACTTATAGCCCCAATTATAACCTACTTACTAAGTCCCATGATCCTCTAAGTAGGGTTTCTCCTTGGGTCCAACGGACTCACGGTACTTGGGTTTAGGATAGTAGTTATGTAGTGTAATAGTTGGGAGGGTATATGATTATCAGGCACTTGGACCCATAGGGTTTAGGGTTTGGGTTTAGGGTGTACGGTTTGCGGGTAGAGGGTTTAAGGTTTACGGTTGGCGGGTTTAGGAGTTTGGAGTTACATAATTATTCCTGATCCAGTAAGCACCTCATTACCGGATGTCCTGGATGTACGACAAGGAAACTCAGCCTACTCAATCTTTTCACCACAAAGCACGCGTACACTAAAAGCCCTAAAACCACAAACCTTGTACTCATCCGTGCAAGCGGGCCATAGCAAACAGAACCCCTTGCACCCTCATAAAATAACGCGAAAGCTCAATTCGGTGCGTTTGATACCCGACGACAGCATATCACGCACCCGAAAGCAAAGGCCCTGCACGCAGAAGCGCTTGAGGCAATTCTACTCCTAGACCCCTAAACCCTATACACCTACACCCTAAACTCCTAAACCCTAAGCCCCTAAACCCTAAACCCCAAACCAAGCAACGGTTGCACCCCTGTAGATGCAGCGAAGATTGAAACTTCACATCAACTTTCTGAAGGCACTCGCAACACCCACCTCAGCCTCGAACTAAGGAGAAAGAACAATCTGGAGGTGGGACTTAGGGTTTAGGGTTGAGAGGGTTTAGGGTTTAAGTTTAGGGAGTCTCCTCCCGAAATAGCGTGATGGACACCTTTCAGTTTACCGTAGACATGCAGTTCTGCATCGATCCGGTTCTCTTCCTGGCATGTTTGCTTGGGAGATGTCCTGGATTGCCGTCTGTTGTAGCTTGGGTACATACCCCTGTTTGCTCTGTGTTTTGCCGGATGATCAGCAAAAAACCAGTCTGAGCGTTCTTTGGCCTATCGACTTTTCGCAGTTCTTTGAAAGGATTTATCAGGTTTGCCACGACCTACGACGAGTTGGTGATTTTGATCTCTGTGTCGAGATGCTCTCGTTTTGTAATTTTCCAGTAGTGCGATCGGCAGCTGAATCTTCACCTAAGCAGCGTCTATTCGGCCACACTCTTAGCTGTGCATGATGTGTCTAAGGCATGTACCGCCCTGATTCTCGACCTATGCCATTATGTGTGTGGTCGATCTGTATGTTGTATCCGTTGAAGAGCCTTAGCAGCTCTAGCCCAGTCCCCGCAAGGCACCGCTATGTATATAGCCTGCGACGGACTTCGGTGGCTAATAGACTGTCGGAAGTGGAAACTCAATTGAGTTCTTAGGGTGCTAGCCCTTGGCATCTCTGTGGCGTCTACAAGCTCTGAATCGCAGATGGCCGCGTCGGACGGCACGAGACCGAGCCTAAATTTCAGGATATTTGGTATGGGTTTAGGAAAGTTTGCATTCAGTGCCTTCCGGAGCCCAATACCCGTGAGAAAAATAACACATCTTAGAATTAAAGGGGCGCTACAGCACCATCATAGTTCACAGTATATTGCGCGTATCTAAGAGGTATTGGGCTCTCCCTGACTCCTTGATGAGGGACCCACCACTTGAATCAGTTGAAATCTCCACATGAGGACACCAACTGTACTGGAAGACGCGCTGGGAAGAGAATTACCAGAAGGCATCGTAATGAGCCTGTGTTACAGTGGGTTGTGTATGGTTTAGGCTCTACTGTAATGTGTCGGGCTGATTGTTTCCGGATTTGGTTTGTTGTGTACTATAAGACCCTTAATAAGTTACCTATACTATCTATACTATTTTTTGGGGGGGTTCCCCAATATATTTATATAGTAAAATATATATCCCAAAACCCTGTTCACATGATTGCGGCCCCTATATTATGGTATCCTTATAGAAACCCTTGTAGGATCCCTTTAAAGTAACCCCTATTCTTTACCAGGGCTTTTGGTGCATCTCCGGGAACTCATGTCAGGCTCACGTGTCGAGGTATCGCGAAACATGGGTGTAGCGTTCTTAGGTTCAGGTTTTAGGTTTTAGGGTTGATTATATGGTTTAGGTTTTGGGGTTTAGGGTTGATTATAGGGTTTAGGGTTTGATTAGGGTTGGTTACAGGGTGTGGGTGCATTTGGGGTGCATGAGCTTCGGAATGTGAAACCGCAGAGCATGAGACGTCAGTCCACGACCATCGGAGGACAAAGTCTATACTGCTTATAGTCTATAACCATAATCATAGTACTTCCCAGAGAGAACACTACAGTTGGCGCTTCTGGTTCAGGATACAGGCGTGTACTTAGAGGATCATGGGACTTAGTAAGTAGGTTATAATTGGGGTTATAAGTCCCCTAAGTGGGGCTATCCTAATTATAACCTACTTATAACCTTACTTACTAAGTCCCATGAGCCTTCAAGTAGATCAGGTTTTCACACTTTGAACCATCTTCCCTCAGACCGACCTCAGCAGTCTATCATGGGGCCTGCACAGCGCGAGGGTCCCACAGAACTGCTTCTTTAGACAAGGCCCCGAAGGTCATTTTTGAAGCCTGAATATTTACCTATCTTATCCCTGGTACTCCCGATTATTAGATTGGCATGACACCACGATACACCCCAAAATTTCAGGGCCCTAGTCTATTCATTAAGGCCCCGATATTACCTTCTTCAGCGCTGTCGTGCAGGTGGCTGGACAGAAGTTGGATCCAGACGTCGAAGATACAGTGAACGTCGACGAGGAGGTGGTTCGGGGAATACAGGGGTCGGAATAGTTTCTAACATCGTTTATTGTTCACGCTGTCGTTATAGACTTGGCCCCTGTTCTACTACAAAGGCGCCTACCGTCTGAATCACCGTCAACTTGGCCAGATATGGGATAGTTCAGCACGGGGCGGGTTTCTGCCAAGAAAGGGGGGGGGCTGGGGACATCATCTTTAGTAGGGCGTGAGTACATGGTTTACTGATATCCCGTGTAGTCTCCTAAACCCTAAACTCCTAAACCGTGTTACTACTTGTAATATACGCTCGAGCCCTGTTCTGGTCGTGAAGGCCTTTTGATCGCAAGTATACTAATGTAGGAACCTGATTAAGAAGCCCTGGGCCTACAACCCCAAAATAGAACCCAAATAAAGACCCAAGGTTTCTTAATCATGTTCCTACCATTCGCCTTGAGTGGAGACTACATGTGGGCTCGGTGATCCATCAAAGAAACCGCTATCCACAGGCTAGGCTTTCGGGTTTAATGCAGGGGTCGGAGCAACTCGTACTATTTCTTTCTTCGGGTCCAGTTTAGTGTAGGGGTTTAGGGTTTTGTGCTTTGGGTTTAGAGTACGTTCCTTGATATAGCGGTACCTTTCTGGAAGCTACTTGAAGGAGCACTCTCTCTGAGAATGCAGCAGCTGTGTTTGATTTATTGCTTTGGCAGGTTAAGGGAGAAGACGGGGAAGTCCTGCTACTTGGCTGAAGCTGCGAGCAATCACAGGCATGCCCGGGATAGGATTGATTCCGGTACTCAGACCACCCAACTACTGAATAAGCTACCTTCAGTTGCAGGCCGCACCTGTAAACTATGATGGAGGAACCCAACTTGCTACCTTCAGCTGTAGACCGCACATGTCGACCATCAGGGACTATGAGTGACGCTGAGGCGTCTAATCCGGCACTTTGGAGACATTATCCTGAGATGTCCTTATACATATAACGATACTTTACAACCTCCAAAGCCTGTTCTAAGTATTGAGGCCTCTGTATTAGGGTATTTTGAGGGTGTCAAGCTCCTCCCCGGTTTCACGGAGCGTAAGAAGCTGCTTTCTGCAAGATGTTACTGGGCAGAGGCGCCATGCAGCACGAGCAGCGACTGTTGCAGCGAAAGTCATGTATCCAGTTTCCTACCGACTCATCGTTGAGGTTGATGTTTGATGATGCTTTTGCAGCTGCACTGCTCATTTCGGGAACCTTGTCATTGTTGTCATCACTTACTGCACACATGGCAGCCGCCAGAAGCGACTGTCATCATGATCTCGGCACGAATGCCTTTTTGTTTGGTCTTTGCTACTACAGTGTTGCGACCACGTCTGGCTGATGGGTATCTCTCCTCACCAGTCTTGCTGTCCACAGCCACGGTTGATCTGTGCTTTCGCTTTGAGCACCGTTGCAATAATTGTCCCGGATATTGTCCTAGCACAGCAAATCGTCGTATCTCTTTGTTTAGCCAGTTGGTCCTCAAAACCTAATCCCAAAACCTTACCCCTAAAGTCTGAATGCTTGGTTTCTGGTTGTTTGTTGTTCAAGTTATTGCACTTCTGCCGCCGTGGGTGCTTCGTGATTCAGTGATGGCATCGCGCACCCTTCAAAAGCAAAACCCAGGCCTTTCGTTCCGAGTCCTTTCTCCCTTGTCTGTCTGTCTGTGTGTGTGGTTATTTCTCTCTCTCTCTCTCTCTCTCTCACTCGCTCTCTCTGTCTCTGGCTATTTGTTTGCTTTTTGTGTATATCTCTTTGTCTTTCTCTTTGTTTCTCTCTCTCTCTCTCTCGCTTTCTCTCTCTCTCTCTCTCTCTCTCTCTCTCTCTCTCTCTCTCTCTCGCTTCGACAAACACACACACACACTCTCTCTCTCTCTCTCTCTATCTCTCTCTATCTCTCTATCTCTCTATCTCTCTCTCTCTCTCTCTCTCTCGCCCTCTATCTCTCCATCTCTCTCCCACTCTCCTTGACACGAACACACAACACGCACACTCTCGCTCTGTCTCCCTCTCCTTTCTTTATCTTTTGATGTGCTTTGGGTTGGGTGAATGTGCGGTAGCCCCCAGGTACATCAAGCTTTCAGATGGTCGTGGCTATGTCGGGGTTTTCGATGGCATGCAAGAGAGGCTGCTGGGCGTGAAGTGCGAGTTGGGCACACTATTCGGCACACTCCAGCCAGTAGTGCCCAACCCCAGAACTCTTTTTCACCTTCCTCCAGATACTACGAGCCGTAAACACTTGCCTTTTACTTCACGCCCTCATAATACAAGCACTTTCCGGAAACCCACCAAAAGCATCCCTGCCTACTACAACCCGGTTCCGGAGCAAGAGCAGGAGCAAGAGCAGGAGCAAGAGCAAGAGAAGACAAGAGCAAGATCCGCACATGTGACAGCAGATATCACCGCACCCCTAATGATGAACACACTTTTCGAGTTTCCATTGCAGGGGCTACTACTACTACTACTACTACTACTACTACTACGACTACTACTACTTCTACTTTTCCTCCTACTCCTACTACTACTACTACTACTACTACTACTACTACTACTACTGCTACTGCTACTGCTACTGCTACTGCTACTGCTACTGCTACTGCTACTACTACTACTACTACTACTACTACTACTACTACTACTGCTACTGCCACTGCTACTGCTACTGCTACTGCTACTGCTACTGCTACTGCTACGGCTACGGCTACGGCTACGGCTACCGCTACTGCTACTGCTACTGCTACTGCTACTGCTACTGCTACTGCTACCGCTACCGCTACCGCTACCGCTACCGCTACTGCTACTGCTACTGCTACTGCTACTGCTGCTGCTACTACTACAACAACAACTACTACTACTACTACTACTACTCCTGCTGCTGCTGCTGCTACTCCTGCTACTGCTACTGCTACGGCCTATCGCTACTGCTACCACTCCTCACCAGGATCCTCAAGACGACACCTTTATAGAACTCGGAAGACTCATAGATCAAAGTTAAACTCCACACCAAGGGTTCCCTAGGAATCTCACTAACAATAACAAGTCTGACAACAACACTTCCAGTATGAATAACAGTGAGAACAGTAGTATTACGAATACTCGCAATCGTGGCAGCATTTTCATTAATAACCTAATCCCTAAAGCCCTAAATCACGAAACCCCCCAAACCCTAAAACCCCCAAACCATAAACCCTAAGTAACCTTTACAGAACCCTTGTGGAACCCCTATAGATCCCCTCAAGGATCCCCTAAAGGAGCCGTAAACCCTAAACCTCAAACCGAAACGCTAACCCTAGGCTTTAAAGAAGCCTTATGTAACCCTATAGATCCCTTGAAGGAGCCCTAAGCCCTAAACCCCAAACCTGAACCCTAAACCCTAAACCTCAAGCCTAAACCCTAAACCCCAAACCTAAACCCTAAACCCTAAACCTCAAACCCAAATCCTAACCAGGATCCTCAAAAAGTGTCAGCCCTGGGACCTGGTCATCGCAGAAGCCTCGGAGGCGACTGCTCGATACTTCGATGGTCGGTTTTTTTTCCTTTGCGTGCTGGGTTTAGGGGTTAAGGCTTTAGGGTTTCAGGGTTTAGGGGTTTGGGTGTTCAGGGATTTGGGCGTTTAAGGGTTCAGGGTTTAGTAACGGTTTAGGGGTTCAGGGTTTAAGGGTGTAGCGTTTAAGGGTCTAGGGTGCAGGGGTTTATGGTTTGGGCTTTTATTGTGTCTTATAATGGGCTTTATGTAGGGGTTTCTAGAAGGTATGCAAGGGTCTTGGAAGGTTTAGTTTGTAGGGTTTCTGTTTTTTTTCTTGGGGTTTACAATGTTCTAGCAGAATCAGGTTGTATGGGGTTCGGAAGGGTCCTATAGGTCTTCAAAGGGTTTTAAGGCCCGCGGAGTGGTTGGGGTTTAGACCAACAGTCAGTTTTATGCCGACAACGTCCCTGAAACACTTGGCAGTTTGCTTGTCCGAATTTACGGCACGCGGTGGTGGCTTTCACGCAACCAACCCTCAACCCTTAAATCCCAATTCCCTCATGCAACCAACCCTCAACCCTTAAATCCCAATTCCCTAAACCGCAAAATGCTAGTCCCTAGTCCCCTAAACCCCGTAAACCCCTCATAAACCCTAACCAAGTTATCCCGTAATGCCCTAAACCCCTGAAACCCCCCTAATCCCTAGACCCCTTACAAACCACAATCCCCTAGACCCCTCATAATTATAAACCCTAATCCCCTGATCCCCTAAACTTTAAACCCTTAATCGATGCTTTGGGGGTCCGCGACTACGCGGAAGATAACAGCGGAACCCTAAGGTCGATTCCATGGCCACCGCTACGGTTGATGATATAAATCCTGCATTACCTTAAGGGCCCCAAACAATGGGAATTATGGTATATTCCTTATTGTGGGTAATGCAGGATTTATATCATCAATCGTACTGTTTAGGGGCTTAGGGGCCTAGGGGCCCAGGGTTTAGGGTTTAGGGTTTCAGAGCAATTCGCCTAAAACCCAAAACCTCACTACAAAATGCGTTTAGGGTTACGGGTTTAGGAGTTTAAGGTTGCGTGTTAAGGGTTTAGGGTTTACTATCAACCCTGAACCCTAGGCACATCTAGACACTAGAAGCCCTAAAACCCCATTGAGCCACCACCCTTTGCAGCTCCAGCATGCTTATACGGTTGATGGTGTAAATCCTGCATTACCTTGACGAATGGGAATTCTGGTATAGTTCCTAGTTTGGGCAATGCGGGAGCTATATCATCAACCGTAGTATCATAGTAGACTATGTCTCCAAAGCCATGTTGTCAGGCGCTGATTCGGGCAGAAGGCCTGCGACTCTGCATCTGCCTCGTAAGGGGTTCGTGTACGGAAGCCAGCGGTTACGGGATTCGGTTCAGGGTTTGAGGTTCAGGAACGCTTGGAATTCCGCACATGATGTCGTTTTCAGAGACCTCGCAGGAGATGGGGACAAGATCCTCGCTTGCGTTTGGCATTTGAGCCAAGACTTATTCGGGCCTTCATTTATCTAGTACGACGATTCATTTTGCGATTATGGTTCTGATGATGACGATTTTTGCGACTGTTACTATTAGTACTAGTCTTGTTAGGTTCTGGGCGTGGATCATGATTGAGATCTTTCAACCTGTCAACCCTGTCAACCCTAAACCCTGGGTCGATCGTTTCCTCCAGGCATCGGCGATGCGACACCGCTCGCCTCGCGGGAAGGCCGTCCTGCTCCCAAACGACCTGACCCAAGGATTTCTTTAAAGGTTTTACCTTTTAGACACTCCGCATATAGTACCATTGTGGAATTAGGTCCCCGAAGCCATGATATGGATGGTCTTTTGGGACCTAATTCCGTAATTGTACTATATGTGGAGCCTCTGGGCCTTAAAGCCGCATAACCTACCTTTCAAACACTATCACTACATAAAGCATAACCATGATGCGGCACCCTAAGTAGGGTTCAGATCCACGCAGCATGAAACTCCAACATGCCGGCCGTCATCTTTAGAATGGGGGTTTGGGCGTACTGATTTTGTTGTGTGGATTGATTGTTATCTGGGGACTACAAGGGAATGGCATTACAAACTGTGTGCCTCTCGCGTTCCTTCGATACATGCGGCCTGAACCTGCTTCATATGCTGCGGCTCGCCGTGCCCTTGGGCATGCTGCGTCCGTTTAGTACAATAATACTGCTTGGTACCCTTGCCCCAGGGACACTCCTCCAGCGCCTGACGCTGAAGAGTCCACACACACACACACACCTCTGAGCCCCTAAACTCTAAACCCAAAACCCTACAATTAACCCAAACCTAAACTCCCGAACCCTAGAACCCATGCGGTCTGGCTGAGCGGTATCACTGGGTGCTTCTGTAAAGGTCGGACGGAGCAACGAAGGCTCTTCCACACTTGTTCAGGAACCCTAAGGAACCCTGCCCATATTGCAAGCCTTTTTTTGGAAAGGCTGTTTAGATTCGAGGTTTAGGGTAAGCCTTTGTCAGGAGCTTCGAGTATACATTACTCAACGAAATAGAGTGTGCTACTGAGCGCCCACGGCCAGGCACCGATTTTTCAATTCCCTTGTGGGCTTGATGCGGAACCAGAGTCGAAAAAGCTCCACACCGAATGTAAAGTATACGGAAGCCAAGCAAGCCGTGATGATAGTTGTTGCATCTTCAGTTCGTTCTCTGACGACGAAACCTTGCACCCTAATTGAATCCTATACCTTGCTATCAGCATACAAATTTGATATGGTCATCTTTGTTCAGTCGTCTGTGTCTGTATTTGAGTACACATACTGGTATGCCGTAAATCGTACAGACCTCTTTTAAAAAGATACCTTAATTTACGTACTTTCCAGAACCCGATAGCTCTCTAACAACCTCCCCTAAGTCCTACATGCGGGACTTACAGGGCGTGGGAGCACCTACGGTTTACATTGCCGGTTCACAGTACCTACAGTCTTGAGTCTGAACGCGAAACCCGAAATCCTATTGGCAGGGTGTTAGCCGACTCGCGCGACAAGCCTGACGTTTTAATTGTTTGCTTAGTAAGCGTATCCACCCTAAACCCAAAGCCCTAAACCCTAAATCACTGCTTTTGCTACGGTTTTGGCTGCTCGTAGTTCGATTGTTATACTCCTGCAGGACATGCCTGTCGTGATTGCTACCTGTACTGGGAGGATCAGAGGACTTAGTAAGTAAGGTTACAAGCACTTTAGTCGGGGTTAGAAGTAGCTGTAAGTGAAGTTATCTTATACTTAACCACTGCCACTAAGTAAGTCCCACGATATATACTCTAAGGAGGGCCAGGAATAGGACTGACAGTCGCGTGGTGCCGCGTGGTCGTTCCACATACGTAGTGTTGTACCGCCATCCGCTATCACTATGCTGTTTCTCATTGACCCTTATCCGGCCATGCTCTTCCGTGTGGTTCCTTAGCCTGAAAACCCTGAACCCCTAAACCCTAAACCCGAAAGCAGCCGGTTTTTAATTTTCAAGTGTCGGAGGCTGGGATGAGGCGCGGCTGAGGCCAGCAGGGCCCTGGTATAGAGTGCGGATTTGGAGTTTTCAGGGTTTAGGGCTGAGGGTGCGCCCTGATCCCCTGAAGGTCTCAGCCCCCATGAGTAGGTGCCTCTTCTTCGAGAGATAGCTGAGCGATTTTCGGACATCATGTTTACTTCTACACCAGAACCCTACACCCTAAACCCTATCACTACACTGTTAAAACAATTAAAACCTAAGACTTGTTCGCGCAGGGGCAGTCTTACAGGAGGAGAGGCTCCCCATGGGGCCCTCGATCGTAATAACTGTTCCTGTTGAGGCCCGTATTGGATCTGCTACTTGGGAGTTTCCGGAAATTGGGGGTACCTTATTTTGGGGTACATATAATGAGGATCCTACTATTTAGGGTACTACATTAAGGTCCCCTATTTTCGGAAATTCCTATTTTTTCTGGCAAGAAAGGCTGACAAATTGAGGGGAAGGCTGAACCCCAAACCGAGACCCAAATCTAAACCGAAGCGCGAAACCCCAAATCAACCTCGCATATAAATTCAGAATATCAGAGTTTCTGAGAATACGGAAGCCGAAGATGCACCCTAACAAACACGACCTTCTTACCTATAAGTGCCCTTATAAGCCCCATAACAACCCTAAGTTACAGAAAGAACCGGAAGAGCTGAAGGACTCCAGAATAACTTCGTCACTCGAAAGCCTTGGGAAGCCAGAAGTCCAGCATGCCCTGCAGACCCAAAGCCCCTACAGTAAACCCAACCTTAAGCTGTGGTAACCAGAACCATCCATAGCCAACTGTCGTTACAGCTAGGTTCCTATTATACGCCCTAATGGAACTTATTATAGGAGCCCTGCAGAAAATAGGTTTTGGTAGGTCAAGGTAGCGCAAGCCTTCAAAATTGCACCTCCTCAGCCGTAAGTCGTAAACCCTACACCCTACTCGGAGGATCAAGGGACGTAAATAGCAAGGTTATATGTACCGTCATTGGGGTTGCAAGTAATTTCAAGTATAGTTACCTTGTTCATATCCCTAGTTACTAAGCATCATGGTTCTTCAAGCAGAGCTCTTAAATCCACCCCTGGGCCTTGTCTGAACCCTAAACTTACCTAAGCCCTCAACCCTTCTTAACTTAGCGGATCACAGGGCTTAGTACCTACGGTTACAGATAAGGTATCTCTAGCTATACTTACCTGGTACCCCAAATAAGGTACTTATAGCCTTACTTAATTACTCCGTACCTCTAGCCCGAAGTTCTAAAACCCCAGCTGGGCTTTGTTCGCAATGATATGTTTATGTTACAGTAACAGAAGAAGAAGAAGACGAATAGTATCAGTAATCACAAAACAAGAATAGCGCAAATAATGATAGTAAGATTTAACAATATATTAACAGTATTCGACGAACGCCATAAAAACTCGAAAGCCCTAAACTCGAAAGCCCCAAAGCCGGAATTTGGAAATTATCTGGCTGTCTGCAGGGCACTCTGTGCTCGTCATGGTTGGGAGTTTGAGTGGATGAGCGAGGCGGTGTGCACAGTGGGGCCTGTCTGAAGGGTGCTAGGGTTTTGTTTTTGGTTAAGAGTGTTTTGTTACTTCTACTGTTACCACTAATACTACTGCTACTACTACTACTACTACTACTACTACTACCACTACTACGACGACTACCATTACAACTACTACTACTACTACTACTACTACTACTACTACTACTACTACTACTACTACTACTGCTACTAATACTACGACTACTACGACGACGACAACGACGACGACTACTACTACTGCTACAACTAGTACTATCACGACTACTATGACTACCACCACTACTGCTACTGCGACTACTGTCGCCACTGCTAGTGGCACTGCTACTTCTACTGCAACTCCTACTGCAATAGCTGCTTCCGCTGTGCTGCTGCTGCTACACCCCCACCACGCCTACTAGTTCGGCGACGACGACCACGACGACTATTATCACTATTACTACTACCGTTCTCACTACTACCCCCATGGCTAATCATTACTGCTACTACTACGACGACGATGACGATGATGACTGCCACCACGTCAGCGACGAAGACCACCGCTGCGACGACGGCTGCTCGTGCTGATGCTGGTGCTGCTACTACGACTGCAGCTTTCCCTCAAAGCAGTCTTTCCACGACTGTTGCTGCCACGATTTCTTTGACTACCACATAGCGACCACTAGCCCCATCGGACCTGATGCTGTCGCCAGTGCTACGAGAGATGCTCCTATCCTTGCTATGATTGCTTGCATGATCGCACCAATAATAGTAGCAGCAGCAGCAGCGACTCGTCGTAGTCAGCAGGCCTAGTGTAAGCAAGTGCCAGCGGTTGTAGTTGATTTGGAGGCAATCATAGTGACCCCTTTTGATGGCTCTTCAAGGCATGTCTTGATCGTAGTATCGCAAGCATGCAACGCTCGACAGGACGGTGAGCGACGTCGTCGTGGCGCAGAGCGCCAGAGCATGGTGCGACCACCCAGACCCTCACAAGACTGTGAAAGATGAAGATACAGATTCCAGCTCAGTGCTGCAACCGCGAAAACAGCTAGCAAGGGCCGGGATAGAGTTTGCAGATCGAAGGGTTGTGGGATGTTGAAACCAGCGTCACATTCTGGGCTGTTCGTAGGGTTTCCTGGTTAGACATCCCTGGCACCTTCACCCTTAACCCAGATCCTAAACCCTTATCCTTAAACCCTACCAGTATCCCCAAACCATACAAAATAGTAGGTGATGACCCTCTAATTATAGAGTCTAACCCCTAAAACAGTAGGTTTTTGGATCCGCAGGTGAACCCTAAGCCCGACCTGATGCCTTTCCTTCAGATGCCGCTGCCCGCGGTCACCATGAAGGCGGACACGCAGTGCCAGGGGGCCCAGACTGGTGAAGGTACGGGGTTTTGTGGTTCAGGCTAGGGTTCAGGCTTTAGGGTTTAGGGTTCAGGGCTTTGGGGTTGAGGTTTAGGGTTCAGCCACGTTTCGTTTCCGTTAGGTGCAGGAGAAGATGGTAGTTATGCTTTACCTACAGTCTCCATTGTGGTTCCTTTTTTTGGCTAACCAGTTTTAGGATTAGGATCCTATAATAGAGATTTTGGTTAACAAGAAAAGAACGACAATGGAGACGATAGGTATACATCTTGCGACCCCTATATTGTCCAAACTGCTTGTGTGACCGTGAAAGCTCCTTGCCTGACCGACCCATTTTAAAGGCCAGTGGAGGGATACTTAAAAGATCATGGGACTTAGTAACTAGGGCGATGAATAAGGTAGTTATAGTTACAGCATCTTGCAACTAAGCTAATTCTGTCATTAATCGAGCTACCTTTCTCAGTCCCCTGCTTCTCCTCATAGACTTACCCTTAAAGGAGCCCTTATAGAGACCCTTGTAAGAACCCTGATAGAAACCCTTACTTCCTAAGTTAAGTCCGTCCCCTGCTCCTCCAAGTAGACCCTAAACCCTAAACCTTATAGATCCCTGTAAGGAGGTCTAAGGTTTAACGGCCGAACGAAGCCCTGAACACAGAACCCCCAAAGCACCGCAGCCAGCGACGTTGAACCCAAAACCATGCAAAAACCTGAACCCCTGCACCCGAAATCCTAAATCCCTTATGGTACCCTGAAAGAAACTATGATATAGCCCCTATTCTCTTCAAGGGACCCTTAGTTAAAGAGCAGCCCTAACCCTAAACCCCAAACCCCGAAAGCCCTAAAGCCTAAGCCGCCCCTAACCCCCGTTTCCAAACCAAGGCCCCGATGGATTTCAGCCGACCGCGGCCACGCAGGAGATCTCTGACAAAGCGGCCGCGGTAAAGGGAACTCCAGAAAGTTGGAATATGGATTAATGGTAGGATCCCCTATAATTTACCTTAAAGGGGTTATGATAATGATATTCCAACGTTCTGGCTTCTACTGTATGATGGTTGAAGTCTTTCCGGTTTTGGGCTAGGGTTCAGGGTTTTTCCTGGCCCTAGAAGCCCATAGACTAGGACACCGGCCTCAAGCATAAAGTGCACCACAAACCCTAAATCCTAAGCCCTCAGCCGAACCCTAAGCCCCTAAAACCCTAACATACTAAAAGCCTCAACCCTGAACCCCTATAATCGCCCTAAGCATCCCGAAACCCCTGAAACCCCAAACCCCTGTACATCTAAACGTAAACCCTATGCGCCTGAACTCCTAAATCCCGAAACCCCCAAACCCTAAACCCCCGTAAATCTGGACTTAGACACTTAACCCCCCCTCTAATAAGCCTGAACATCTCTAAGCCCTTTAATAAACCCTAAAGCCCCTTTAGATCTGACGTAAACCCCATACCCCTAAACTCCTAAATCCCTAAACTCCCAAACCCTAAACCCTCAACCCCGGAGAAAGGGTGCACATCAACTTTAAAAGAACCTTCAACCCTAAAGCCCTAGACCCGACCTCCCAAGCGCCGCAGCTTCCGTGCTCGAGCAAAGCCTCCTGGAAGCCGCGCGGTGCAAGCATGGGGAGCTCTGCCAACCTGGACTGCGCAGGGTTTAGGGCATATGGGGGTTAGGGGTTAGGGTTCAGGGCCTGGACCCTGAAGAACCTACCTTTTTTAGGATTCCTTATTATGTTTTCCTTGTATAAGTCCTTAACAAGGTCGGTTATTTGGGGTTATAACCTGGACTGCACAGGGTTTAGGGCATATAGGGTTTAGGGGTTACGGGGTTTAGGGGTTAGGCTTTAGGGCATATAGGGTTTGGGGCTAAAGGGGTTGGGGTTTAGGGGTTATGGGTTAGGGTTTAGGAGTTGAGGGTTTAGGCGCTATAGGGTTTAAGGGTTAGGGTTTAGGAGTTGAGGGTTTCGGGCATTGGGTTCAGGGCAGTGAGTTTAGGGTATAAGGCGCGAGGGTAATGAGGCTTGGCTTTTAGAGTTTAGGGTTCGGGAGGGGAGGCTGCTCGACGTCTTGTCGGGTCATTTTCGGCACATGGGCTACTAGAAGCAGACGTCAACCTTGGATCCGGGGTACAGCGACAGCGCCGGTTAAGAAACAGTTAACTTTTCTTGAGGGGGGGGGTCGATTTCTTAAGTTTGAAGCGTACCTTTATTCAGTAATAGAAACGTTTTGGGATTTGAGGGTACCCTGGATTTCTTAACCCAAATGTCTTAGTTTAGTTTGAAACGGCAGCAAAGAAAAAAACAAGTTCAAGAAATGAGAGCACAGAAAGATTTGAGCTCGCAGCACTTTGCATTCCAGCTCATCCGCTTATACACTTCGGCATGGCATTCAGTTTCTTTTCGTTACGGAACTAGTATTCAGCCCTTACCAGCTTTAGAGGGCTCTAGAGGCTTTGTAAGGGCTTAAATCACCAAAATATGAAACTAAGGTGCTCGATTTCGTAAATTTAGGAAATAAATTTGCTCGATGAGGTTCTGGGCTTGCCTAATAAGGGCTTAGTAAGGCCTTGATAATAACAGCTTTGGAGCCCTCTAGAGGCTTTGTAAGGGCTTTGCGCCGAGCTTTTGGAATCCGAAAACCACTCTTTGAGTTTCTTGGCTTCCTCTTTTGCGCGAACAAAACTAGCGAAGACAGAATGAGACATGCATGCCGGCTATCACAATTGCAGTCTGTTGCATGACTAGAGGCCACGCCGATTTCGAATTCGCGTGTCTGGCACAGTCCTGCTGCTTCGAGTGTGCCAGGAATCCAAGCGAGTGCCCCCACGGTGGCTGGTGGCTGCGGCGGATTGGAGCAACATCTTTGGAGGCTGCCGTGCGGATTTGGACATAGCAGAATAATGAGTAGAATAGGGGGTTTTGGGGTCCAATATACTATAACTCTAATAAGGAATCACCAAAATCACATAGGCATTTATTACGGCCCTTATAGCAAATTCTGAGTTTTCGGCCGTCCTAGAATTGCTCAGTTGCCTTGACAGACAAGAACTTGTGCCGAAACTTAGAGTCCCGAAGCCTTTTCCACCTATCATGTTGCATGCAAAGTGGAGGACTCACCCTGATCGTCCCGTTCACGATTCTGGCTGCTTGGTCATTCATTATGAAAAGAGGCAAACTTCGAATGCTGCGGCATGTTTTGCAGAGCAGCGCCTTTTTGATGTGACCTGATTTCAGTCTCAAGCTATCGGTGATTGCATGGGGTGTCACCACAATCGAGTGCCTCGTCTTGAAATCTGTCCGAGTTCTCGCCCAAATACCCATTGCGCGCGACCTCAAAGCCTCAAGCGCGCAGGAAGAGCCGATGTCGAGAATTGCCCGACATGCCCAGTAAATCGCTATGTGTAACCTTGCCTCCCTGAGCACTAGAGGTTGTGCACTCTAATTTCTGCACCCTAAACATCCCTAAACCCTAGATGCGTGAGGTTGGCACTGCTACCTTCAAGTGGTTTCAATTCACCGATGAGTTGGAGCTGATCTTTCAGGCTTAGGGTTAGGGGTTTAGGGTTCAGGGTTATAGGGTTTAAGGTTTGGGGTTTAGGGTTCAGGTTTTAGGGTTTAGTGTTTAGGGTCTGCTGTGGCCTTAAGCTTGCTGCAGCAAGTATTGTACTTGGTGGTTATCAACAGCAGGGTGTTGAGACTAATTTGGGTCTAAGGCTGGGGGATTTGGGTTTCGGAACTTTGGTTTAGGGTTTAGAGGTTTGGGATTTGGGTTTAGAGCCAAGCTTAGGGCTTCTTTTACTTTTTAGGCCGTCCAGGCAACCAGCAACCAAGCAGTCACCTGACAGACCATCTTGCCAGCCTCTGCCGTCACGTGGTCGTGGGTGGTAGTAGTAGTAGTAGTAGTAGGAGTAGGAGTAGCAGTCGTAGTAGTCGTAGTAGTAGTAGTAGTCGTCGTCGTCGTTGTAGTCGTAGTAGTCGTAGTAGCAGTAGTAGTAGTAGTAGTAGTAGTAGTAGTAGTAGTAGTAGTAGTAGTAGTAGTAGTAGTAGTAGTCGTAGTCGTGTAGAAAAGTGGTGGCGCGAGTTGGGAACACGAGCAAACAAGGCTAGCGGCCAACACTTGCACGCAGGTCTTCATGGCTGTGGAAGGCATCCTTTGGGCATTGGGCGGTGCGTGGCTGGGCTGGAATTGAGACTTCTCACTGACACCTTATTTAACTATATAAACCATAAACCCTAACACCGAATCCTTGGACCCTAACCCTACTCCCTAAACCCTCAATGCAAGTCCCAAAACAAACTCCCGAAGCCCTGAACAAACTCACAGCGTGCGCCAGGCTATCGGTTAGGATCTCGGGGTGATATATGTGTCTTTGAAACCGCTTTGTGTATAAATCCTGATAGACCCTACGCTGTTCTAATCATAGGGACTCCGATGTTGCAGGGATTAAATTTTTGGAGTAACCATCTTGCGTTTTGTGTTCGTCATAATGTAGGAACCTGATTAAGAAACCCTGGGCCTTACTAGGGTTCCATATATGAATCCTACTATTTTGGGCGTTATGTGACCAGGGTTTCTTTATCATCATAGGGACCCTGGGGAGGGGGCTAGGGGACTATACTTCCTTGAGTAGGCCCGATTAACTCCTGATTGTAGATATGAAGGCCCCTACCGCCCTCCCCCCTACCCGCCTAAGTGTCCTTGTGAAATCAGATTTCCTACATTAGGTCCAAGGCCAGCTTGGCGGGTGAGGGGGCCTAGGGCTGCAAGAGTGTAGCCCCTACCGAAGCCCCTAAGCTTAGACCCTAGAAACTTCCCAAAATTCCTAAATCCCAAAGCCCTCATTTCTTACCTGAAGCCCTAAACCGCCCTAAACCCAAACCCCATCCTTCGTTTTGAGGCTCACGGCTTGGACATTCGTGATCCGCAACGACGACGAGCCTCGGTGTGTCAAGCGCAGTCTTTTCAGCAGCCAGGGTCTGAACCCCCAAAAAGTCTAATAAGGTGTAGGGATATTGGGGGGTTTAAGGTGGGATCTAAGTACCACGTATAGTGCGTACTTTTCATTCCAAATATCCACTACTGTCCATTCTGTCGGCACATTCTGTAGACCCTTCGTGAGCTGCAGCCATCAGTCATGAGCTTGTGCAGCTGTTAGCAGACAGAATCAACTCTGTCAAGGGCTACCGTGACGATGAAAGAGTAATTCTTTTAATTCTTTCGACAAGAAACACTCAAAGATCCATGCCGTGAAGAAGCACCATTGCCATCATCATGCTATAGGTGTTGGGATTGTTAACGTGGTTCCCTGGGGCTCCTTGGTATAAGTATAGTTGAAGTGTCCCAAAACATGCTTCTAATCTATTAGACCCTATGTTTACCTCTTGCATGCTGTCCGTGCCCCATCCGCAACCGACTATCCAGACATCGCCACCTCGGCAGCTGCAGTGTCACTACCACAACCGCGACCGCAACACCATGGCTGCTGTCGCGAACACCAAACCAAGACCATCACCACACTATCAGCAGCCTCTTCCGTATCCTCCTTCGATGACCGAACTGTCACCATCAGCATTATAGCTTTGCTTCTCCCTCCCGGCTTATCATTACCGGAACTCTCAAAGCACCATCGAAATATCACTTGACGGCAGCACCCCAGAGCCCGAAACAACCGAACATCGCAGACGGTATAGCATCAAAAGCAGACGGAAAGCACTTGTTGTTACTACTGACGGCGTGGTTTATCTCGGGCTCCCTTTACTAGGTTGTTGGTTCTGTTGGCACTTGGTTTCAGATCGGGAGGTCACTCAAGACATATACCAGTTCATATTTGCAGACCTCTTCTAACGGCGTAACGGCTCACTTGCAGACTTAAGCTTCCCTCTGCAAAACTTGAGGAAACTTACATGCAGATTATCTGGTTGCGGTTTAGGGCCGTTGTTCCCTTGAGTCTATGCTCTGAGGCCTACGGGGCTATTTCGCACCTTTGCTGCATCAGTTCAGCACCTCCTTGCCTTCAGTTTTTCTCCACTCGTTTCGGTGCTAGAAAGCCGTTGTCCCTGAGGTACACTTCCTGAATCGATCATTGCATTCAGATTCAGTATTTTCAATCCCGGATCGTAGCATGAGAAACTGTATGCACGTGGCTCTTACTTTATCTGTTGCTTTTTCTGGCGGCCTGTAGATGCTTGCGTTTCACAGTGCCGGAAGCGTCTCATTAGGACTTCTGACTTGCGCTCGATTCCTCTCGTCTTCGACTTCAGCCATTGGTTCAGATTTTTGGTAGCGATCCCTGCCGGTCCATGGCGGCATCTGTGATCTTAGTCACAGGCACGGCCATGGTTTCTGATATTACTCTAGGGATGGAGCTTGCGTGGAGTAGATTCCGCAGTGGGGTTTGGGGACTACACTTACAAGGCTGCTACACTTTTGGGGATCATCTAGAGTGCTTAGCGGGTTTTGTTGCTGGATTGCGGCTTAGATGTGTGCGTACGTTACGACGGATAGAATTCGGAGAGGCATCATTGCTGCATGATTTACAGGGCAGAGTTTAGCATTCGGGGGAGTTGAGACATCTTGTCTCGTGGGCTGTACTGAAGGCACCCCCAAGGTGAGGCGGAGTCCCTTAATTACCCGGGTTGCATAAGGGTTCGGTTCTGGGACCCTGCGGGCAGTACGAGATCTCGACGAGCATGGAATAACTCGACATGTCCGGGATGGCCGGGACAGGTAGGATTTAGGTGGCTTAGGGCTTCTGCATGTTTTCGAGGAGTCGGATTATCGCAGTTGCGGGGTTGCGGCCTTGTTGAGGCACCCCAACTTCGAATGCTCACAGCCCAGAACCTGCTAGCAGCCGACAGTCAAGAGAGCCTCGAACAGAGTGACACCGAGCAAAAGGTGTTTCGCAGCCCCGTATGGTTGCCAAGTGGAGGCTTTGTGTCTAGGGCCTCGGATCATGTCTTTGTCATAGTTGGGTAACATTTCACATGTTTTATGGGTACTTAAACCCAATAAGGAATAAAAGATAAATTTGTCATCCTATCCCAACCATGAACTAGATTTGTTTACGGGTTTATCCTGTAAGGCTGACGTGGTCAGCTGCATTTCTTGGAAATTCAGCCGCTCTGTAGAACCCATGCTGATCCATTAGAAGAAACCTTCAGCTACAAGTTCTCCTATTCCTATCACCCTACTCCTGCTTTGCACCACTCTCAGACAGAACCGCTCGACTCCTGTGAAATGCTCCCCAAATACCCTAGGCCCTAAACCCTAGATTTGTTACAGAACCCGTGTGGGTAAAGGCTTAACAAACTCCCAAAAGACTTCCCTAAAACGTATGGCTGGTAGAACCTTGATAGATCCTTAAGCCCCCCCCTCCAAAAAAAAAAGAAAAGAAAAAGCAAAGTCCCTGACTGCAGGTGGCACGGGCCTTGTTGGCAAAGGAATCCAGAAGGCTGGCTTTCGCTAAGATTTTAAGTTCAGGTCCATAGGTTTTTTGCCTTTGTTCAAGGTCAGGTCTTTAGGCTAGGGTTGTGGAAAAGGTTTGCCATAGGGGCTACTGTGCGGATTACTACATGGGTTTTAGGGTTTATGAGGTGTTTAGAGTTTCTTCAACAGTCGGGTTTTTCGGGTTTCAGCGCTTCAGGGCTTTCTAGGCTTGGTGGCTTAGTGTTGAGGGCTTCTCCCCCTCCTCCTCTCTCGGGGGGTGGGAGAGGCTGTTCCAAAGCAGGTTTTAGCGTTCCTTTGAAGGGTTTACGGTTCCTTGGAGGAGTCTGCACGCTGAAACTAGGATGCCCAGTAGTACCCTTATTCCGACTTATTCCCTTTTTGTAGTCCTAGATTCCTTATAAAGTTACCCAATACCAAAAAGGGAGCCCTTTTTGTTCCTAGGCTACTGGGCATCCTAGGAAAGGGTTCAAAGTTTCTGACTGCAGCCTTTGATACTCACCTAATTATAGAAGCGCTCCCAGGCGACCTGATAGTCACGGTATATACCCCGCTGAGCAACCGCAACAGGAAGCCGACACCTTGAAGAAAGAACACCATAAAGCCTCAGTTATGCCCCATCAAAGCGCTAAGCGCCCCAAATAGGTCCTAACCATAAGCCCTAAACCCTATAAGCCGTGAGCTATCGCCAGGTGATCGCCGAAGATGACCTCGCCAAGAACGAGAAGTGGGTGCGCCAGTGCC